CCTGCAAACCTGGTACATGTCCTTGACTGGAATCGAACTCAGGACCCTTCAGTCCTAGGGCTGACACTTAACACGGAGCCGAACTGGCTAGGACCTGGCTCGTTCATTATTGCTGTTCTGTAACATTCTGCCGCTGTCCTAGCCCTGCCTTGCTGGGCGTTCGGCTTGTTTCCATGTGGGGATGTGAACATCTGGGGTGCGCCTCGGGGGCTGCTGTGTGACAGGGAAGGCGTATGAAGACTCACTGACATTCCCACAGCGTGAGTTTGGGAGGCGCCGGGTGACGTCAGGCCATCTCACTCCCTCAGTGACGTCTGCCGGAGGAACCCTGCGGAGGGAGCCTCTCCATGTGGCAGGAGGAGGGATGATCTCCTTCACATGACAGTCAAGGCCCTGGCTCCCACACCGGCCTCAGAAGCTGCCATTCACACACCAGCCACACTGACCGTACACTCCAGCGCGCGGCCGAGGCAGGCGGAGGCATTCACACAGGACTGGGCCTGAAGCTCAAGGCTCTTCCATGACAGAGAATAAACAACTTCCTCTGGTGCCCAGGTGGCGCTCTGAGAGGGGGTGGTCACAGGCTGCCCCTCAGTGCCAGAGGCCTCTGACCCCAGAGGCTGCACTCCTGACTCTTGGCCGAGGACGAGCCACGCCCTTCCCGCTCCCTGGCGGCTCTGAGCGGAAGCCGAGGGCCAGTCACCCAGGCTGGACCCCTTCCCAGCCTCTCCGGACAGGACCTGTGACCGCTCCAGTGGGAGGTGAGAGATGACGGCCACCTCCAGGCCCGGACTAGAAAACCGCCATGGGCCTGAGCATTCCTGGCAGTGACCGTGGAGTCAGGGGTGGAGGATGGTGAGGCCACAAGTCCGTCCTGGAGAAGTACCGCCCACCGATCAGCTGAATCCCACCATGAGCCTTACACAAACACCAAGTCAGCCCCACTGCGTTGGAGCCTGCATTTTAAGTTTGTTACATCAGCCCTTGTCCCTAACAGGCACAGCCAGAATAAACAGTACAGTGTGTGTAACTAACAAAGGTAACAACTAGCTCCATTTTACAGACGGAGAAACTGAGCCCGGAGAAGCTACAGAACTTGATGTTAATAAGCGGAGAGGCCAGGATTTGAACCTGCGGCCTGGTTCTAGAGGTGCACTCCTAAGCACTCTGCCGAGGCGGAACCCACGGGCCCCGGCCATCTCAGCCCCACCCCGCCTCCTAGGGACCTTTGCCCATGAAGATGCCACACACACCGCAGGCTGGAGAGAGAGATGGTTTCCCACAAGAAAGGGGCCCTCCGGGGAGCCGAGGAGAGGCGGACAGAAGCCTCACGCCCCATTCTCCGGGGCTGGGCCCATCCACCCAACCAGCAGCCTGGTTTCACAGAAGTCAGACATCTGGGGGAAGAACTCAGTACCACAATACCACCGTCCTCCTCCCCAATCCGCACTCTCCCTCATCAGCCGGGTCGCCTCTGACACCCCCGCCCTCCATTAACTCTCCATCCTGTCCCTTCGCCCCTCCCTCACTACAGGCCTGCGTTTCCACCATCTTAAACACAAACAAAAACTGCCCTCCTCCTCCCCCTGAGCCGCTGCTCTCATCTCTGCTTCACACCCGGAGCAGCTGCTTCCTACCACCTGCTTCTCACCTCCCGCCTTCCCTCCTCACCTGCAGCCTGCGGGTGTCCTGCGTTCCACAACTCGCCTTCCTTCTCCCAGACCCGTGGGTGGGCACTACCGATGGACCTGTCTCCTCTGATGGAGCGAGGTCACCTACTCTCCAGCCCCTCCACCCTGCTCAGCAGCCTCCAGGCGCTCTCCCCGTGTCCCCAGCTAGAAAAGGCCTGCCCCAGTGGCTGCAGAAAGAAACCGGAGTCCTTATGGTCCCCTCCCTCTCAGCACACGTCCCGCGACCATCTGTGCCCGAGTCACTGCTGGCATAGGCGTCAAGTCTGCCCACTGCTCCCAGCCTCCCGCCCCGCCTCCCTGAGCCAAGGCCCTCACAGCACATCTGCCCATGGACACCGCAGCACCGGGTGCAGAAATGAGTGGAGACTGAGCGACGTCACTGTCCTGCCCACAGGCCTTCAAGCTCTCCACAACCTCCCTCCCTCCCTCTGCTCCCACTGCCCCTTCCCGCTCTTCCTGGCACCGGGCATAGCTCTCCAGCTCCTAGTCGGCATCCCGTCCTCCCTGTGCGGTGCCCAGAGGGCAGTGGTCTCCCGCAGAGGAAGAAAAGGCCGTACAGAGAAAGGGAGAAAGCTGCCGGGTCCTCCAGTGTAAGACAGGCTGGCCCTCGCAGGACATGCACCCTCCCCCCCATCCTTCCACCAGCCCCTCCCTCACTCAGCGCTGCCCGCCCTGCTCAGGGAGGGGAGCCAGGTGGACGACAGGACGCTGGCCACAAAGCCCCGCACAGAGGCCGGGATCAACACTGATGTTCCCTTTTGTTTATTTATTTTTTTAATAAATTTAAGAACAGCTCTATCTTCTCTCCTCCGCCCAGAACAACTAAAACCAACTAAAAGGGGGTGTGGCCGGGGACAGAGGGTGCTAGGAGTCATAGTCCTCTTCGTCCTCTGCGTCAGGTCCTGAGGGGCCCGGGGGTGCGGGGGGCAGAGGCAGAGTCGAGGTGAAGGGCAGGAAAGGCGTTGGGGGGCTGCGGGGCGGAAAGCAGGAGATCAGGTCACTCTCCGGTGCCCTCTGAGCCCACAGGGAGCATGGATCCCGTACCCTCTGCATCAAAGGGGGCCAAGCCAGAACAGGTCCCTCAGCCCCCATCCAGGCCCCAATCACCGCCCCTCCCAGGGGACGGGAGCTTCTGAGACACGGTCTCCTGTCGCTAAGCCCTCCTCAGTGCCCCCTTCCCATTCCCCAAGTCTGCCACCCGGGAAAGAAGCGAGGGCAGAGTCCTGAGGACAGGCTGCTGGTGCCTTCCCGGGCCACGGCTGCTTACCTCTGGAAGTGGGCAGGGGGGCGGCTGGCCTGGGGCGGGGCCTGCGGTGTCTCCTCATCCCCGTCCGTGTCCGTGTCCTCAGACTCATCCTGGGAGCGAGAAAGGTGCGGGCCCATCACGGAGAGCCCGGAGCCCGGGCATGGCAGGGGCGGGAGCCGGCCTCGCTTACAGAGAGGCCCCAGGTGAGGCTGGATCAGGCTCCCGCCAGCGCGGAGGGCTCACCCACCTCCTGCTCCGAGTCTGTCCCTGAGAGCTTCTTGTCCTTGCCTTTGCTTCCCATCCCGCCGTTCTTCCGGCCGCTGCCTGGCTTCCGGCCCCTGCGGGAGGCACAGTCCGTCTCCCCGTCCTTCACCGGCCCCGCCGCCCCCCACCCCGCGGCCTCGGCCTTCAGCACCCGGACCCTGGGCCTGGCTCCCCACCTGCGGGCGCCCTTGTCCCCGTCCATGTGGTTGTCCTCCCCGTCCCCCTGCATGTCAGGCACAGCCGCCACCAGGTCCTTCAAGAAGTCAAACTGCTGCTCCAGCTCAATGCACTGCTTCCTGGAAGAGGGAGGGGGCGGCGGGCGGGGCGGTGAGCAGCTCTGGGTGTCAGGAGAGAGGAGCCCGGAAAACCTCCACCTTACCTCCACCCCCTCCTGGCCCTTGGCTGTGACAGCCAACTTTTCCCACGTTCAAACCACCGGCCCCTAAGGCCTCGCTGGTCCCCGGAACCCTCCCCGGACACCGGCCTCAGTGCGCCCCGGACAGAACCCGCGGGCCCGCACTCACAGGTGGGACGTGGTCATGGTCTTGGCGTTCCGGGACTGAGTCACCTGGCAGGCCTTCTTCAGCAGCGACTCCAGGAACAGCTCCAGGGCCCGGGCTCAGGGCGTCAAGGAGAACCGGGAGGGAGCGCCACCGGCCCGGCGCCCCGGCCCGCCCCGCCCCCCGGCCCCGGCCCCCGGGTCCAGGCACCCCGGACCGCCCCGCCCCCCACCCCCGCCCCATCGGCCCCGGCACCCCGCCCCCGTCCCACCGGCCCCGGCGCCCCGGGCCCCCCCGCCCCCGCCCCCGCCCCACCGGCCCCCGCACCTCGGGCCGCCCCCGCCCCCCGCCCCCCGGGTCCGGGCACCCCGGGCCGCCCCGCCCCCCACCCCCTGTCCCCCGTCCCCGCCCCATCGGCCCCCGCACCCCGCCCCCGTCCCACCGGCCCCGGCGCCCCGGGCCGCCCCCGCCCCCCGCGACCCCGGCCCCGGCGACCCCGGCTGCCCCCGCCCCCGCCCCGGGCCGCCCCCGCCCCCCGCCCCCGCCCGGCCGCCCGGCAGGATACAGATGATGACAGGCACCGCCGCCGCCACCTTCCCGATCTCTTCGTCCGTCTGCATTATCTTCTTGATCCGCGCCTGGGGAAGAGGCAGGGCGCTCGGACCCCATGGCTCCCGCCCCAGAAGACGGCGTGGGGGAGCGGGGATCCCGGAGGGAGGGGCGGGGGGCACCGGTGGGGAGGGTACGGAAGGGGGCGGGGCGTCGGGCCCAGAACCCCGCGATACGCCCGCCCCCCAGCGGGGCTCGGGCCCGCGCCTCCCGGAGCCGGCCCTCTCCCCGAACGCGGCCACGTGCTCACCGGCGGGAACCGCGCGTTGTACTTTTTCTTCTTGCTCGGCATCTCCGGGCCTTCGCCGCCCCGGCCCAGCGCCGCCGCCCGCAGCCTCCCGGCCCGGGGCCTGCTCTCCGCCCGCCCGCCCGCCGAGGCTCCCCCGGGTCCTGGTGCCGCCCGCTCCGCCCCGCCGCTCCCCACCGGGTCCTAGCGCCGCCCGCGGGGACGCCGCGCCCAGGGCCGAGCGCCCGCCCTCGGAGCCGCCCAGGTGGTGCGCGTCAGGCCCGCAGCGCCGCCGCTCCGGCCCGTCCGCCGGCCTGAAGAGCGAACGTTAGCCACGCCCCGCAGGCCGCCCCGCCCCTTTCCCTGGCCCCGCCCCGAGGTCACACCGGCCCGCCCCTCCTCAGGAGGCCCCGCCCACGGCGCCGCCGGCCCGGTGGCCCCGCCCCGCGCTGCGCTTGTCGATAAAGTTGTTGTTGAGACGGCGGGGCGCTAAGATGGCGGCGGCGGCGGCGGCCGTGGCGGGGGCGGGGCGCGGCGGCGGCGGCGGCGGCGGCGGCGGCGCGGAGCCCGGGCAGGAGCGGAACCGGGCCCGGAGCTGGGCCGGTGCCGAGCGCAACGAAGGCCGAAGGTGACGGCGGGGCGGCGGGAGGGGCGCGGGCCGGGCCGGGGCCTGCCTCTGGCCGTGGACGCCAATGCGGGGGGCGGGGGGCGCGGCGGGCCGCTGGCTGGCCTTCCCGTGGGCTCTGAAAAGCGGGAGTTCGAGCCCGGCCATCGCCCCAGCGGCCTCGGACCCGGCATTGCCCTCCCGGGCCTCAGGGTCCTGGTTGTTAAGGGGACCGGATAGCGCCCTCCGGAGGCCTGGCCCCGCGGGGCCTGCTCGGGGCTGCGCGAACGCGGGCTCCTTCGCCGCCCGCACCCACTGCCGGCGTCCCGGGCGCCTGCCGTCCCTGGCGGGCCGGGGGCAGCCGGGCCAGTTGCTCCCCCACCAGCATTCCCATTTCCGCCCAGGCGCGCACTGCAGGTGTGACCTTGGGTAAGTCTCTTCTCTCTGAGCCCGGGAGAGTGGTGGTAACAGTAGCCACAACGCTTACATGGCGCTTATTCCACCGCAGTGTTTTAATTGTCAGCAGCAAGCACTGTTATCCATTGTAAAGATGAGGCAACTGAGGCACAGGGACCGGAAGCCTTGCCCAAGGCCACACAGTGTAGTTCGGTGCCTGGCGCCCGCGAGGGCCCGTGGAGCTGCAGATCTGTTATGAACCCTAATTCGGTTCCCTCACACCAGGGGAGACCCCGGGGAGGAGCTGGAGGAGGAGGACTCTCCGGGCGGCCGTGAGGATGGCTTCACCGCGGAGCACCTGGCTGCCGAGGCCATGGCCGCTGACATGGACCCCTGGTTGGTGTTCGATGCCCGTACCACGCCCGCCTCCGAGCTGGATGCCTGGTTAGCCAAGTACCCACCGTCCCAAGTCACCCGCTACGGGGACCCCAACTCGCCCAACTCCGAGCCTGTGGGCTGGATTGCAGCGTACGGGCAGGGCTACACCCCCAACTCTGGCGACGTGCAGGGCCTGCAGGCGGCCTGGGAGGCCCTGCAGACCGGCGGGCGGCCCATCACCCCCGGCACCCTTCGCCAGCTGGCCATCACCCACCACGTGCTCTCGGGCAAGTGGCTGATGCACCTGACGCCTGGCTTCAAGCTGGACCACGCCTGGGCCGGCATCGCCCGGGCTGTGGTGGAGGGCCGGCTCCAGGTGGCCAAAGTGAGCCCGCGGGCCAGGGAGGGTGGGCGCCAGGTCATCTGCGTTTACACGGACGACTTCACGGACCGCCTGGGTGTGCTGGAGGCGGACGCCGCTATCCGTGCAGCGGGCATTAAGTGCCTGCTCACCTACAAGCCTGACGTCTACACCTACCTGGGCATCTACCGGGCCAACCGTTGGCACCTCTGCCCCACTCTGTACGAGAGCCGCTTCCAGCTGGGGGGCAGCGCGCGCGGCTCCCGCGTGCTGGACCGCGCCAACAATGTGGAGCTGACTTAGGGGCCGCCTGCGGAGCCCGCCCTCTGCGCCCCGCGGGGCTGGATCGTCCTGTCTTCCTCCTCCTGCCCCACGGGGCCAAGCCCCGGCTCTGAGGACGAGGTCGAGCTGGAACTGCCTGCATCTTCAACCCCTTTGAACTTCTGCCCTCTGTGCAGGGCCGGCCGACGCCCCGTCAGGTTCCCTGAGGGCCGGACCCTCAGACTGTCTCTCAGCTGCTGCCCCTCTGCCATCCAGAACCACAGTCCGGGGCCAGACCTCCAGGACGAGGCCCCTCCTTGGCCATCCTCATCCTCGGTTTTACCTCCCCTTCCCGCATCCCCCCTCTTCTCTTTCTCGCTCACAAGAGAGAACACTTAGTGCTTCCAGTCCCTCTCCCAGGAGCGGAGGCCCTGCAGGCCCGAGCATGCCACTTTCTGGAGGGAGGGAGGGAGGGAGGGTGATCGCACCCACTCAGCCCTGGGCAAAGGGGATGCCAGGGCCATGGACACGGGGTCTCCCCCTCCCTGTCGCCTCACAGTCTGCACCCCCTTCCCCCTTCCTTCACTACCTTGTCATGTGCCTGCTCTTGGCATTTCAATAAAACCCAGCTTGGGTCTGTGTCGTGAGTGTTTTTTAAAATACTGTTAGTGAAAAAAATAAAATGAAAATAAAATAAAATGCTGTTAGCGGTTACCTGCTTTGGTTGCTGGCCCTCTGCCCTGGCTGGGCCCTCCTAACTGCCCCTGTGATAAGATAGTCCTGCCACGAAGGCCGGGACCCTCTCTCAGAGACTCCGTCAAGCCAGCCCTGCTTCCCTCCGTCCCAAGAAGCAGAATCAGTTTCTCAGTGACTTCCCACAAATCCACGGGTGGTGGATCTATGCCTGTGAGAGAGAGGACCCTCTTGGTCCTGGCAGTTCTGGGTCGGATCACATGGTCTGGTGAACGGAGGATGGCTGGACATCCGTGTGCAGGGAGCGACCTGCAGGACCCGAGCGCCTGAAACCGCCCATTTCCTCCGCTCTCACCGCCTGCTGGCACGGGCACTGGCTGGTGCAGAGCACTCTGTACACGTTACTCACTCACAGCCCGTGTGAAGGAAATGTGGTGCTGAGCTGTGGTCAAGGCGATGGAAGCCGGGAGGGGGAGTGCCCTCAGGCCGTGCAGTGAGCCAGGCAGAGCCAGGACTTGTACCCGGTCCCCACTTCCTATTGGTGCGGTCCTGGCCTCACCCACAGGGGGCGCTTCCCAACCGCCAGGCACATTCACAGGCTCCCGCTGCTGGCTCCGCACCCTCCCAGCCCCGGCGTGGCCTGGGCTCTGGGTGGAGGCCAGGGTGTCTGGCAGGAGCCCCTGGGGACGCAGCTCTCGTGCGGGAGCTGACTCAGCCTCCAGCATCCTCACCGAATTGGAATTTGGAGCAGAGGAGCGGAGATGCCACTGGGCTGACTGGGTGGAAGTGGATGAGTCATGAGACGCTGCCTTGGCCCCCTCCCCAGCTTCCTCCCCACTCGCAGCTTCCCCTGGTCAGTCCCCAGAGCTGGGTGGTCTACACATTGGAGCCTGGTGCCCTCCTCTCAGACCAGCAGTGCTTTGCTACCGGGTGGGCCAAGGCTTGTGGGAATCCTGGCCAGGCCCTCGGGGGTCCCACAAGGATGACAAGAAGTATCAACACCACCTGGTTCTCCTGTCACTAAGGACTTCACACACTCTTTTCCATCCTGTGGGCCTGCTTTAGCCCATTCCTCCCAAACCATTGCAGCTTGCCTCCCCTGCCCTGTCCCCTCCCCCTCTCCCCCTGTCCCCCCACAGCAGCTCTCCTGCAGAGCTCCCTGGTCCCTCTCCTACTCAAAGCCCTTCTGTGGCTCCCCAGCCTGTAATACAGAGTCTCTGCTTGAGCAGCCACAACCTAACCCCCACCCCCACCTTCCCTGAGGGGCCTCTGCCCATGCTCACCCCATGGAGCCAGCTGGCACTTCTTCCGCCCCTAGCAAGCAGCCCTGAGCCTCCGGCTGTCCCTGCTGCCTGGACACCTGTCGTGCCGCAAGGATGGAGAGTTACTTATGTAATCACTTGCCTGATGTCTATCTCCCACTGACCCCTAAGCCACATGGCCAGACCGTGCGCTCAGCGAAGGCCGCAATGTCTAAATCTCAGCCCTGTCCCCAGCGCCTAGCACAGTGCTTGGCTACAACCACCTTTCCATTCATTATTAACCGGTTAACTACCACGTGTCCCAATGGAAACGATCCCACAGGCCATGAGATATATATATTTTTTAATATATTTTACTGATTTTTTTAACAGAGAGGAAGAGAGAGGGATAGAAAGCTAGAAATATCGATGGGAGAGAAACATCGACCAGCTGCCTCCTGCACACCCCCCACCAGGGATGTGCCCGCCACCAATGCACATGCCCTTGACTGGAATCAAACCTGGAACCCTTGAGTCCGCAGACTGACACTATCCACTGAGCCAAACCAGTTTTGGCTCGCCATGATATTTTGAATTTAATTTTAAAAATCAATTTTCAATGAATATTATAAAAATAAATATATTACAATTCGGGTGTTCTTGACTGTTTTCAGCTGAAAACTCATGGGAAATGATTTTAAAGTTGGTCAGGGCTGCCACTTAGGGAAAACAATTTTTATGGATGCGTGGCGTGGGGAAGGTCCACCGCCTGCATCTACAGCTGCTTATGGCGAACCATGTGCTAACTGAATGGAGGAGTGTGCAGCCCGCACCCAGCCCCTGCCAGTGGCTCTGCCCGTCTCTCCATCCCTGCTTCACCTGCTTGTTCCAGAATCCTGAGCTGCCTCTGGTTTCCTTGCACACGTTCTCGCCTCACTTGTGTGTTTTTGCTTATCGGCTGTCACCTCTGCTCGTTGTGCCTCACCTCCCTGCTTTCCTGGCCGACTGCGCTTCGCAGAGCCACAAGCTCATTTTCTCAGGTTTCTCCTCCCCATTCATCTGCACTTCAGGCTCCCATAGCAACCCCACCTGGGGCTCTGTGTGTGGGGGCCCCTCAAAAACAGTGGCTGAGCCATACCCCTCAGAGTGGCCTCCCACCAGTGCCAAATCAACACTACTGAATAAATGAGTGATTAAATGAAAGTTACTTTTTTTTTTTTTTTTTTTTAGTTATAGTCAGGTCTTTATTAAGAATTTCATCTGCCAACTTAGCGTTTTCCACCTACACGGGGAGCAGAAACCTTCACCGGCTTCACAATCTTTTGCTTAGGCGCTGCCTTTGCGGGAGCCTTAGCAGCAGCCATTGCTGTCTTTTTAGATGCCTGCTTAGCCTTTTTTGCTTCCTTGGCAGCCCTGATAGCTTGCTCTCTCTGAGCTTTCCTAACTTCAGGCTTCTGGTTCCTCTAGGCCAGTATATCAGCAAGAGATGCACCGGTGATGGCCCTCCCAGAGGGCGGGTTCCTTTCTTCTGAATTTCTTCCGACTGCCCCTTTTTGTGCTTCCTTCTGTAGAGCACAGTCCAGTTTATCTGCCGAGGATTCCTCTTGGAAAGGAATGCCGACTCGCATTTTGCATTAAGAAACTGGAAAACCTTCCCGTCGGTCCTGGCATAGCGCCTCCCGGGTCCGGGGTAGATCTTGTAGCCATTGAAGCTGCACAGCTCGACCTTCATGGCTGCGGCCGCCGGAGAGCAGGAAGGACGGTGAAGAGGAAGGAGAGGATCATGGGAAGCTGAAAGTTACTTCTGTGTCTGGGCCAGTTTCCTCATTCTGTTCATAACATGAACCAGGCACTATACTGAGTGTTTACATGCATTATCTAAGCCTCACTTGACTGTTGTTGCAGAGGAGAAAACTGAGGCCTAGAGACGGCCAATAATTGGTTCAAGGTTACAAAGCCGTGAGCGGCAGAGCCACGGTATGAATCAGGTGCTCTGCCAACTCCAGAGTCCCTGATGCATCGCTGAGCCCGCTCTGTAAGGCCCAGCAAAGACTTGGGCTCTGATTTGTAAAGCACACAGGTTGGGTCCTCAGAAGCACCTAAAGGGAGGCTGGGTCAAGACCAAGATTATATACGTCAAAGAGGAAGGGAGAGGGTGAGAGAGAAACATCAATGATGAGAGTGAATCATTGATTAGCTGCATCCTGCACGCCCCACCCTGGGGATTAAGCCCACAACCTGGGCCTGTGCCCTTGACCAGAAGCAAACCCAGGACCCTTCAGTCCGCAGGCCGATGCTCTATCCACTGAGCCAAACCAGGTAGGGCCAATTCCCATTTTACTGGTAAAACAGGCCCAGAGAATACTCTGACTAAGCCGACCTTGGCAAGAAGGACCCCCAGGCCTCCTGTGGAGATTGCTGCCCTGCCCGGCCAAGGGCGCCCCACGACCCACCCCCTCAGGCTGGCAGCAGTCTGTCCTGTTTGGCCGCCCCTTCAGCGTGGGACAGGCTGGGAGAATTTGGACGAGCCCCTGTGCTCTGCTCCCTTATGAAACCACAGGAAGGAGGACTAAGGCCAGAGAGGGGCACCCCGCCTTCTCTCACAGGCCCTGCGAACCCCGAGCCCCAGAGAGGAGGCCAGGGGATGGGGAGAATGTCTGACCCCCATCCCAGCTGGGACCGGGCACGGACTCAGGAGAAAGCTTCATTCAGCCAGAGCCTTGGCAAGGTTCTGGGGATTTTCCCAGCAAGACGATTGCACCCCACTCCGCCTGCGGGGCGGGGCCTGGGCAGGGACAGAGGCTTGGGTCACACAGCTGATTCATCCGAGCAGGGAAACTCCCCACTTCTGACATGCATCCCCCACACACTGAGGGTAACCTGAGGGCACCCGGCCCAGACCCAGCAAGCCCATCTTTTCTTGATGACACCCCTGGGTGAGAACACTCAGGCTGGACAGCGGGACAGAGTTGGGACGGGTGGCAGGGCCGAGGGACAGCTTCCCGCGGGATAACACCAGGGACTGGAACCAGAGTGATGGCTGGACAAGGGCCCTCACCCATTTTTCAGATGAGAAAACGGAGCAAATACATACACAAACCTCCTCTGCACCAGGCACTGCTCTAAGCAGTTGGCTCTCATGTTGACCCTCACGGCCCTGCTATTGCTGCGAAGGAAGCTGCAGAGAAAGAGGTTAAGTGACTTGACCATAGTCAAGGCTAGAAGTGCTCCAGCCAACTACACAGCTCCCAAGAGGGAGCTGTCCCCGTCCCTGAGCAGCTCTGACGCCTTGGGACCTTAGAAAACCAGGGTCCTGGAAGCGGCTCCCGGGAGGGCCTGGGGAGCCAGGACCAGCTGAGCCTGCAGAGGCCAGGAGAGGGCAGCGGAGTATTCCCACCACGATTCCTTCTCTCGGGCTCTGACTCCTTTCCAAACCCAATCCCTTCCTCCCAGGGCCTCCCTTTCCGGTCTGCCCCTCCCCGCAGACGCCGCACGCACACCCAGGCGCACACATGCTCACGGCGAGTTCAGCGTCAGGCCCTGCAGAGGCCTGCTGGAGGGGAGCTGAGGCTCCATGAGACATGGCCAAGGGCCCCCGGCAGGCAAATTCTGTCCCATCTGGCTCCTACTCACAGGCTGCATGAGTCACCCCCTCACCCCCCATGACTCAGTTTATTCGGGTGCCCAGGGGTCCTCCCAGCGAGGGTGGGGCGGCTGACTAGCCCAGCCCAGGCCCTGCAGCCTTTCATCCCAGGATGAGTATTGCATCCCGCTCCCAGCCCAGAGCAGGGGCTGGCACCCTGGAGCCCAGGGTGGAGGAGCCTCAGGTCCAGGAGGTTAGGGAGAGCCCAAGAGCTGGGTGACAGGCCCCAACTGCCCTGGCCCAGGTCCTCAGGGAACGGGGCTGCTCCGAGAAACCTCGGGTCAGGCTGAGCGGCAGAGCCATCGGGGCACAGACAGACAGCCTTGCCCAGCTGACATGGCTCAGAGGCTGAGCGTCAATCTAGGAACCAGAAGGTCCTGGTTCCACTCCCGTCAGGGCACATCCCAGGTTGCGGGCTACTAATTGGTTTTCTCTCGTCATTGATGTTTCTGTCTCTCCTTACTCTCTGAAATCAATACAAATATATATATATTTTTTAAAAAAAGAGCCCTTGATACCCTCCATTCAGAGGAAATAGCCACGTGACACAAAAAACAGCAACAAGGAAATTCTCACTAGCGTTTATTAACTTCCCACTGTACCAGTCCTGGGCAGAGCACCATCCACCCCTCATCTCATTTACTCCCGCAACAATCCTGAAAGCAGGCACAACACCACCATGTCCGTTTACAAACGAGGAGACTGTGGCTAGAGCCTCCGGCCTGGGACTGAAGGGTCTGGGGTTGGATTCTGGTCTAAGGGTACTGCCGGTATTTTGGGCTCGGTCCCCAGTAGGGGGCGTGCAGGAGGCAGCCAATCAATTATTCTCTCATCACTGATGTTTCTATCGTTCTCTCTGAAATCAATAAAAATATTGGTTAAAAAGCTTATAACAAATAACAAATGAGGAAACTGAGGCATAGAGAAGAATGGCCCAGATCACACAGCCAGGAAGTGGCTGAGCAGGGACTCAGGCCCTCTAGCTCCAGACTGCATGTGGTCCCTCCTGCCTCGGAGAGCTGTGCTGGCTGGAACAGGGATGAGGGGCCCAAGGTCCCACCCACCTGCCTCTGCCCTGGTGGATCCCCATGGAAACCTCTGGTTTGAAGGACTACAGTGAAAGCCACTAATCTGCAAGAAGGGGAAACTGAGGCTCCCAGAGGGGAAAGGCTGACCTGAGCTCCAGTAACAAATCAGAGACGGCCAGGGCTGGCCCAAGTCTTTTTTTTTTTTTTTTTTTTTAATATATTTTATTGATTTTTTACAGAGAGGAAGAGAGAGGGATAGAGAGTTAGAAACATTGATGAGAGAAAATCATCAATCAGCTGCCTCTTGCACACTCCCCACCGGGGATGTGCCCACAACCAAGGTACATGCCCTTGTCCAGAATGGGACCCAGGACCTTTCAGTCCGCAGGCCGACGCTCTATCCACTGAGCCAAACCGGTTTCAGCTGGACCCAAGTCTTTGATGCCCCCCAGTGCCCTGGGCTGGAGCGGTGGCGGGTGAGGGGGGGGAACTCCAGGGAAGCAGTGGGGAGATGGAGCCCAGCTCCTTTCCTTCTGCCCAAGTCCAGCTCCTCAGCCTGGCACTCGAAGCCCCACTCAGCTCTCCTTCCAGCTCAGGGTCCCAACACCCATCCCACCAAATGCCCTTGGACCAGAGGAAACTCTGAGTCTCCCCTTCCACCACCGTTTGCCTTTGTGCCCACTGACTCCAACCCTAGGAATGTCTCCCCAACCTCAATGCTCCTGGGCCAGGAAGCCTGCTCCCCGCCCCCACCCCAGGGAAGAGCAGTCCTTCCCGGGTCTGCAGGGTCCGGAGAGGACTTTCTGGGGATGGAAATATTCTGTGTCTGCTGGGACTGTGCTCACATGGTGTACACAGTAGTCAAACACGTGGTCAGCACATTGAAAAAGTGAATTTTTTAATGTAAAATATATTTTAGTGAAGCAATTAGGAATTTTTTTTTTGGGGGGGGGGGAGTGGGGAATATTGATATATACTCAGAGGAAGGATTTCCCAGGTATAAGAAAACAAAACAAGGAGGAGCAAAACAAGGCTGTAGAGGAGGCTGCCTTCTGAGCACAAAGATAGGAAAGATCACTGTTCACCCTTTTCAGCTTCTGGGTCTTGGAGCAGGGAAATGGATTACAGTTGAAGAATAAATAACAAATTTCACAATATACGGCAAAAAATATAAATCATGATTTTGTGTGTTTTTTTGTTTGTTTGTTTGTTTTTTAAATAAAGATGGCCCTATTTTTTAAAAAATTGATTCCAGAAAGGAAGGGAGAGGGAGAGAAATATCAATGATGAGAGAGGAACACTAGTTGACTGCCTTCTGCATGCCCCGTCCCCCGACTGGGGATCAAGCCTGAAACCCAGGTATGTGCCTCGTGACACTCAGCCCTGAGCCATGCTGATCATGTTTTAAAATGATTTATTCACCTGGCCTTTCTGGCTCAATATATATATATTTAAATGGGCAAAACTAATCTCCAGTCAGACTAGTGGTTTCCTCTGGGTGGGGTATGGGTGTGGGAGGGTCACAGGGAGCTCCTGAGCTGCTGGGAATGTCATGTCTTGATCAGGGAGGTAGCTACATAAATTTATGTAAATGTAAAAAGTCATTAAGCTGAACATGTTGGGTGAGTCACTTCATGTATGTTAAGCTTCAATAAAATTATGTAACCATTAGAAGAAAATATAGGAGTAAATGTTCATATATCTAATAAGGATTTGAAACCTAGAATATATTTTAAAATTCATAAAATTCAACAACAACAGAAGCAAACAATCCAATTAAAAATTGGCAAAGCTCCCTAACCGATTTGGCTCAGTGGATAGAGCATCTGCCTGCCGACTCAAACTTCCCAGGTTCGATTCCGGTCAAGGGCATGTACCTGGGTTGTAGGCACATCCCCAGGGCGGGGTGTGTAGGAGGCAAGTGATCAAGTTTCTCTCTCACTGATATTTCTAACTATCCCCCTCCCTTCCTCTCTGTAAAAAAAAAAAAATCAATAAAATATATTAAAAATAAAAATTGCCGAGACCGGTTTGGCTCAATGGATAGAGCGTCGGCTTGGGGACTGAAGGGTCCCGGGTTCGATTCCGGTCAAGGGCATGTACCTTGGTTGTGGGCATATCCCCAGTAGGGGGTGTGCAAGAGGCAGCTGGTCGATGACTCTCTCTCATCGATGTTTCTAACTCTCTACCTCTCTCCCTTCCTCTCTGTACAAAATCAATAAAAAAATATATTTTAAAAAAAAATTGACAGAGCACTCTGACCAGTTTGACTCAGTGGATAGAGTGTCACCTGAAGATTGAAAGGTCAAGGGTTCAATTCTAGTCAAGGGCATGTACCTGGGTTGCAAGCTCCATCCCCAACTCGGGTTGGGGAGCATGAGAGGCAACCAGTCAATGTGTCTCTCTCACATCCATGTTTCTCTCTCTCTCTCTCTCTCTCTCTCTCTCTCCCCCCCTCCTCCCCCCTCCCTCCCTTCCGCAATGGGAAAAAATATCCTCAGGTGAGGATTAACAACAAAAACAACAAAAATGAGCAAAGGATTCAAATAGACATTTATCATGAAGCACGTGAAAAGATGTTCATTGATCATTCATTGATGATGATTAGTTTAAGGAAAAGCAAATCAAACACAAGAAGATACCGTGTTTCCCCGAAAATAAGACATCCTCTGAAAATAAGACCTACCTACAGGTTTCATTCTGAGTGAAATATAAGGCATCCCCCCAAAAATAAGGCCCCCCCTAGGCTCTGTCTCAGAATGCTATTGCTAAACATGAGAGATTTGGTCCACTGATTCTGAAAGAAATGGAGTCACAAGAAATTCACCAGGAAATTCAGGAATTGGATTGTTATGATGATGTTCCAGAAGTTGATGACATGATTGTCATTGAATAAATGAGTGAATTCTTGATACTGTAGGATTCACAGTTTGTCTGGTTTGTGTTGACAACTACCGTACTACCACCATACCGTATACAGGTAATAAATTTCCTTTATTTTCATTTAACAATAAATGTGTACCGTATTCTTCTTCATGGAAAAACAAGACATCCCCTGAAAATAAGACCTAGCGCATCTTTGGGAGCAAAAATTAATATGACACTCTTATTTTCGGGGAAATGGTATCACTTCACACCTTTAGGGAGTCTTTCATTTTTAAAACGGGAAATAATAAGTGTTAGCAAAAATGTGGAGACATTAGAACCCTCATGCACGCTGGTAGGAACGTATAAATGGTGCAATCACTCTGTAATACAGCCTGCCAGTTCCTCACAAGTTAACCAGAGCTTCCATATGACCCACGGCGAATGGAAACCTAAGTCCTCACAGAGCATCATGCATAAAAGCCAAAAAGCAGAAACATCCCAACGCCCATCAACTTATGAATAAATAAACTGGTTATCCGCACAATGGAACACCATTGAGCCATAAAAAGGCTGCTGAAACCGGCTACAATGTGGATGAATCTGGAAAAGCCCATACTAAATGAAAAAAAAAAGATGCGAAAGGTCACATCTTGTAGGACTCCGCTTGTGTGAAATGTCCAGAAGAGGCAAAGCCGTAGAGACAGAGAAGATTAGTGGTTACACAGGGCATGGGGGGGAGGGGAATTGGGAGGGAATATTTAATGGGTATGGGGTGTTTTTCTGGGATGACAAATAAAAGTTTGGGTACTCTCTCCAATGTGTGGGGAGGAGGCAACCTAATTTTTGAAGGCCTTGCTTAGGCAAGGCTGAAAAAAGGTTTTGAGACTAAATAGAAGTGTGGTTGCACAACATTACAAATGCACAAACACCCACGGACGCGTACACTTTAAAAACAGTTAATTGTATGTTATGTGGCTTTCACCTCAAGTTTAAAAATAAATAAATAAACTTCCATTTTATTTTATTATTTTTTAAAAAAATTTTTAATCAATCTTTATTGTTCATATTGTTACAAAGGTTCCTCATTTCTTCCCCCCTCCACCAGGTTCCCACCCCACTAAACTTCCATTTTAAAAGTGAAGGGAAACAAACCTCCAAGGCCCTGGGAGCACTGACAACCTGCCGGATGCAGAGCTCCCTCCTCAGAGCCTTCCTCCTCCTCTGCAGCTCTGAGACATGGGGATTCTGGGGGAACGTGACTGAGCCCAGCTCCCGGGGTTGCCCGGAGACAGGAGCAGGTCTCCGAGACCTCCTGTACCCAGGCTCCCCACAGAGCCTGCCCATGGCCCCTGGGACTCTCCCCTGGCCTCCCTGGGCGGGAGCCGGTGAGGTCAGGGGCCAGGAACGTGGCTGCAGCCACGAGGCGGGAGTTAGTGACTGAGGAGCTTGGAATGTACTGCCTCTGAAAGGACCTCCTGTGGCTCCACCGACGGTTAGAGCAGGAAGGGACTTTCAGAGCCATGTAATCACACACACACACACACACACACACACACACACACACAGGAGACCTGCGCCCCGCTCAGTCACTGGCCCAGGTGCTTGGGGGGTGGGCAGGCAGATGGATGGAGGCAAGGCTGACCTGATTCAGGCCTGGTGCGTGCCACTACCTGGCTCCCTGTGTCACCCTGACCTGCCCAGCGTGGACTCAGCCAAGGAGTCCAGCTATGCGTTAGTGTGTGCATGCGTGTGTATGCTGTGTGCATGCGTGTGTGTGTGCTGTGTGAGTGCCTTTGCATGAGATCGGAGCGCCAAGGGCTCCCAACCCTGGGCTTTTTATCAACATGGGTATTTATTTTTGCTATTTGTCAGCTTCTTACTATATGCTGAGCTAAGCACATGGCGTTATGTTATTTCTGTTCTCCAGCCATCCTGAGATGTAATTATGACCATGTCTCCATTTCACAGATGAGCGACACAGGTGTTTCGAGACTGTGCCTCCTCAAGGTCAGAGCTGGTGAGTAGCAGAATTCAAACTCAGAGCCCAGAGTTGTCTCACTCCAGTCTGCATGCTCTTTTCCATGGGTCACACTGCCTCAGAAATCTCTCTCTCTCTCTCTCCTCTCTCTCTCTCTCCTCTCTCTCTCTCTCTCCTCTCTCTCCTCTCTACTCTCCCTCTCTCTCTTCTCTCTCTCTCTCTCCTCTATTCTCTCTCTCCTCTCTCTCTCTCTCTCTCTCTCTCTCTCTCTCTCTCTCTCTCTCTCTCTCTCACACACACACACACACACACACACACACACACACACCCCTATGTCATTCATTGTAAACTGCTGTTGGCATCTTTTTTTACAGAAACATAAGCACTGAGTAGCACAAGGCAGGGGAGCACCAGGCTGGTCACCACCCCTGAGCGCGCAGCAATTCACAGCTTACCGAGCACTTTCCATTGTGATCTCACTGATCCCACAGCAGCCCCGTGAGGTCATCAGGAGCTCCGTTCTTCCCACAGGGACTGGGGCTCCGAGGGAAGGTCAACACCGAGGGCCACAGAGACAGAAAGTGGCGGCTCCAGGTCAGGACGCCCCGGGCTGTAAGTCCTGCTTGTACCCACAGACCCTGCCCTGCCCTCTGTCCCCGAGGAAGACCATCTAGGTCCCCCGCCCCTGGAATCCACCCCCCTTCCCTGAGGACAGAGCTGGAGCTGATCGCATGGAGCAGGGCGGGCGGGAAGCGGGAGAGCCCAGCTCTCTCTGTAGCTGAGTGGCATTGGCGGCGCCTTACTCTCCTCTGGATGTGTTTCCTGAGTGGAATGGGAGGAAGCAGAGAAGCTTGGGGTGGTCCTCGCAGCCCTGACACTCTGCGTGCGTGAAAAAGTGTCTCTGAGAGCTTTCAAAGTCTTGCCTGAGCTGGGCTCGGAGCGGCCACAGCTCTGATATGTCAGCCTGCTTCAGCCGCCTGCTCAGCGATATTAGGGGTTTCATTTTAACAACTCTCAGCCTCAGTTTCCCTGTCTGTAAAAAGGGGTGATGATGGTGCCCACCTCCCAGGGCTGTTGGCCTTTGATTGTTGACATTTAACCCTGGCCCCTTAGTGACACAGACCTTTTCTTATGTGTGTTTTGTTTTTTTTAATGATAGGCATATACTTCTCTCTCTTTTTAATTTTATCTCTCTTTGTTATTGATTTCAGAAAGAAGGAGAGGGAGAGAAACATCAACGATGAGAGAGAATCATTGATTGGCTGCCTCTTTTTTAAAAATATATATTTTATTGATTATTTTACAGAGAGGGATAGAGAGTTAGAAACATCGATGAGAGAGAATCATCAATCAGCTGCCTCCTGCACACCCTACTGGGGATGTGCCTGCAACCATGTACATGCCCTTGGCTGGAACTGAACCTGGGACCTTTCAGTCCGCAGGCCAACACTCTATCCACTGAGCCACACCGGTTTCAGCGATTGGCTGCCTCTTGCATGCCCCCACACTGGGGATCCACTGGGGACTGAGCCCACAAACACCCCGCATGGGCCCTGTGACTTCCTGGTTCATAGGTTAATGCTCAATCACTGAGCCACACAGCTGAGCGCCCTCTCTCTCTCTCTCTCTCTCTCTCTCTCTCTCTCTCTCTCTCTCTCTCTCTCTCTCTCTCTCTCTCTCTCTCTTAAATGTTTTTAGAAGAGAAGAAGGGAAAGAGAAAGAGAAACATGAACTGGTTGCTTTCTGCATTCTGCCCCCAACTGGGGATCAAATCCAAAGCCTGGGTATGTCCCTGACTGGGAATGGAAACTGCCATCTTTTGGCTACGGGGACAAAATTCCCGTCAGCCGAGCCACAGCGCCGGGCGGTCGCAGAGCGCTTTGACACACTCCGAACAAGGCTGCGGCCACACAGCCCTGGGAAGAGCACGGACAGCGTGTAAAGAAGATGGCGTTTTTCGGGCTGGAGACCCCAGGGCCCCGCTGCAGGGTCTCCCTGCTCACAGGGGCTCTGAATTAAACCTGCGATGGCGCCTGGGATGTCCCTGGGAGCAGCATCATTGCTTTGCATCGCATTAGTGGGTAGTTCAAAGCATTCGCTTGTTCCAGGTAAGCATTTAAAATAACCACCATTTTTGTAACTACGGTTCGTCCGACAGTTAGTCAGTCACTCTTTGTTAAACTTGATCCTTAAAACAGCGAGCGGGAGAGCTCCATGCCGGACGCGAGCGGCAGCAGGGTTCCCGGGTTCCCGGCATGAAACGGGCGCCAGGTAACAGTCACCGGCGATAGTGAGAATCGGCGTCATTTACCCTCCGCTCTAGTTTCCACACCTCACCGGCTTCGTTCCAGCTCCCACGCGCCGCAGCGCAGCTCTGTGCGCATTTCGTCCCGTTTTACAAATACAGAAACCGGGGCGGCCTGGCGGGGGGCGGGGGGCGGGGGCCGGGGGCGGGGAGGCGGGGGCCGGGGGCTGGGGGCCGGGAGCCGGGGGGGCGGGGGCCGGGGGCCGGGGGCCGGGAGCCGGGGAGGCGGGGGCCGGGGGCCGGGGAGGCGGGGGCCGGGGGCCGGGGAGGCGGGGGCCGGGGGCCGGGGAGGCGGGGGCCGGGGGCCGGGGAGGCGGGGGCCGGGGGCGGGGAGGCGGGGGCCGGGGGCCGGGGAGGCGGGGGCCGGGGGCCGGGGAGGCGGGGGCCGGGGGTCGGGGGCCCGGGGCCGGGGGCCCGGGGCCGGGGAGGCGGGGGCCGGGGAGGCGGGGGCCGGGGGCCGGGGGCTGGGGGCCCGGGGCCGGGGAGGCGGGAGGCGGGAGGCGGGGCGGGCGGGGCGGGCGCAGGTGCCAGCCGCCGCGGGAACCCCGCGCACCGGGCGGAGGTGCTCCATGTACGGGCTGCTGCGTCAGAAGGGCGGGCCGGGCCGCCGGGTCCTGTCCGCCCCCCGAACCCACAAAAGGCGGCGCGGGCCCGGGCGGCAGCCGGGTGGACGGGCCGGCGGACGGCCGGGCGGACGGTCGGGCGGACAGCCGGTCGGACGGGCCGAGGGGCGGCCGGGAGGCGGAGCCCGGGGCCCGCGCGCAGCGCCCCACCCCCGGCGCTGGCTCGGCCCCGAACTTTCATTCATAAAAAGGAGCGATCCGCGAGGCGGGGTGACTCAGACCCGCGCGGACGCCGACCCCGCGGAGGCAGCCCGGCATGTTCCGGGACTTCGGGGAGCCCGGGCCGAGCGCCGGGCCCGGCGGCGCGTACGGGGGCCCCGCGCAGCCCCCCGCGCCCGGCCAGCAGGTGAGCGGGGGCCGCGGGGCCGGGGCCGGGGCCGGGGCGGCGGGTCCTGCCCGCTCCCCCCCGGCCGGGCGGGTTCTCCCAAACCCGGGAGGCGCGCGCGGGAGGCACAGCTCCATCCCGATAGCGTCCCCTCTCTCTCCTCTCCCCTCTCTCTCTCTCTCTCTCTCTCTCTCTCTCTCTCTCTCTCTCTCTCCCTCTCCCTCTCTCTCTCTCCCCTCCCTCTCCCTCTCTTTCTCTCCCCTCCCTCTCCTTCTCTCTCTCTCTCTCTCTCTCTCTCTCTCTCTCTCTCTCCCTCTCCCTCTTTCTCCCTCTCCCTCTCCTTCTCTCTCTCCCTCTCCTTCTCTCTCCCTCTCCCTCTCGCACCCCCTTTCCCTCGCTGCCTGTGTCCGTCTGTCCCTCCCTCTGTCCTCTGTCCTCACCGTGTCACCTCCTTTGTCCGCCGCTCGTGGCTCTGGGCGGTCGGAGTCCGCAGGGCCGGGCACTGCGTTAGTCCCGCCCGGACGGTCCGGTGCACCTGGGGCCGCATCCCGGGGCGGCTCCGGCGCCTCCACCGCGGAGGGAGGACGGGCCCATCCGCATCGCCCTGCGGACCGGGTCCCCGGCGCCGTCTGCGTGTCTGTCCGCCTGTCTGTCCGCCTGTCCGTCCGCCTGTCTATCCACCTGTCTGTCCGTCTGCGTGTCTGTCCGTCCGTCTGCGTGTCTGTCCGCCTGTCTGTCCGCCTGTCTGTCCACCTGTCTGTCCGTCTGCGTGTCTGCGTGTCTGTCCGTCCGTCTGCGTGTCTGTCCGCCTGTCTGTCCGCCTGTCTGTCCGCCTGTCTATCCACCTGTCTGTCTGTCTGCGTGTCTGTCCGTCCGTCTGCGTGTCCGTCCGCCTGTCTGTCCGTCTGCGTGTCTGTCCACCTGTCTGTCCACCTGTCTGTCCGTCTGCGTGTCTGTCCGTCTGCGTGTCTGCGTGTCTGTCCGCCTGTCTGTCCACCTGTCTGTCCGCCTGCGTGTCTGTCCGTCTGCGTGTCTGCGTGTCTGTCCGCCTGTCTGTCCGTCTGTCCGTCTGTCCGTCTGTCCGCACTCACCCGCCTCCAAGCCCCGTCCCCTCTGGGCGCCGTGGAGCCGGGGACCCTCCTTTGAGGCCGGGCCGGTGAGACCGGCGGTGCCGGGACGAGCACGGGGTCCCCGCCGCCGCTCCCGCGCCCCCGGCGGCCCGCACGGCGCGCGGCTCCGGGGCCCTCGGGGCGGCAGGTGCCGCTTCCGGTCGGGGGGCCGCGAGCACGTGTCCGGGGCGGGAAGCAGCGGCGTCCGTTCCGCCGAGTCACGGCGCCGAGTCACCGGCTGACTCACCGGGCCCCTCCCTTCCTGGCCCGCAGCGTCCGGCCCGCACCCCCAGCGGGGAGCGGGGATGCCGCCGCCGCTCCGAACCCGCCCCTGCGCCGCTGCGGGGACCCCGGGCTGGAGCCTGTCTCCCCGCCCGGCGCCCGCACCAGAGCCCAGCCCCGAGCGTGGACCCGGTTTTCCCAGCACTGACCCCGTCCCCCCCTGTCCCATACTGACCCCATCCCCACACCCCCACACTGACCCCGTCCCCCCCTGTCCCATACTGACCCCATCCCCACACACCCACACTGACCCCGTCTCCCCCCGTCCCCACACTGACCCCATCCCCACACCCCCACACTGACCCCGTCTCCCCCCCGTCCCCACACTGACCCCATCCCCACACCCCCACACTGACCCCGTCTCCCCCCGTCCCCACACTGACCCCATCTCCACACCCCCACACTGACCCCATCCCCACACCCCCACACTGACCCCGTCTCCCCCGGTCCCACACTGACCCCATCCCCACACCCCGACACTGACCCCGTCTCCCCCCGTCCCCACACTGACCCCGTCCCCCCCTGTCCCACACTGACCCCATCCCCACACCCCCACACTGACCCCGTCTCCCCCCGTCCCCACACTGACCCCATCCCCACCCCCCCACACTGACCCCGTCTCCCCCGGTTCCCACACTGACCCCATCCCCATACCCCCACACTGACCCTGTCTCCACACCCCACACTGACCCCGTCTCCCCCATCCCCACACTGACCCTGTCTTCCCCGTCCCCACACTGACCCCATCTCCCCGGTTCCCCCCATCCCCACACTGACCCCATCCCCCCATCCCCACACTGACCCCTTCTCCCCATCCCCACACTGACCCTGTCTCCCCCATTCCCCACACTGACCCCATCCCCCCATCCCCACACTGACCCCGTCTCCCCCATCCCCACACTGACCCCGTCTTCCCGGTTCCCCACACTGACCCCATCCCCCCATTCCCACACTGACCCCATCCCCCCATCCCCACACTGACCCCGTCTCCCCCATCCCCACACTGACCCTGTCTTCCCCGTCCCCACACTGACCCCATCTCCCCGGTTCCCCCCATCCCCACACTGACCCCATCCCCCCATCCCCACACTGACCCCTTCTCCCCATCCCCACACTGACCCTGTCTCCCCCATTCCCCACACTGACCCCATCCCCCCATCCCCACACTGACCCTGTCTCCCCCATCCCCACACTGACCCCGTCTTCCCGGTTCCCCACACTGACCCCATCCCCTCATTCCCACACTGACCCCGTCTCCCCCCCCCCTTCCCCACACTGACCCCGTCTCCCCCATCCCCCCATTCCCACACTGACCCCGTCTCCCCCCCCCCCTTCCCCACACTGACCCCATCCCCCATCCCCACACTGACCCCATCTCCCACATTCCGGCTGTGAGAGAAGGCGGCAGGCAATTCCTGCAGTGCAGGCGGCATGGCGAGGCACTGTGCTGGCAGTTTCACCTCCTTTACCGCTTTTCACAGAATCTAAGGCCCAATGGTTTAAAAACCCAGCCGCTAATTCCTTTTTATTTCTTAAATCTTTTTTATTTATTTAGTTAGTTAGTTAGTTAGTTAGTTTTTAAAAAGATTCAGAGATCTTGGGGAGGATTTCTTTATTTTTTAAAATATATTTTATTGGGTTTTTACAGAGAGGAAGAGAGAGGATAGAGAGCTAGAAACATCGATGAGAGAGAATCATCCATCAGCTGCCTCTTGCACACCTCCTACTGGGGATGTGCCCGTAACCAAGGTACATGCCCTTGACCAGGATCAAACCTGGGACCTTTCAGTCCACAGGCTGATGCTTTATCCACTGAGCCACACCGGTTTCGGCTTAAGTCTGTTTTATTTCTTAAATCTGTTGACAGTATTACATATTTCTCCCTCACCCCTCCCCATTGACCTCTTCTAACACGCCTCCACCTCCCAATTAAAAAAAAATAATTTGCACCCAAGGATATTTTTTCCATTGATTTCTACAGAGAGTAAAAGGGAGGAGGAGGGAGAGAGAAACATTGATGTGAGAGAGACACATTGATTGGTTAGCTCCCACACAGGGGTGCCCCTACCTGGGCTGGGGAACCCGAAACCCAGGTACATGCCTTTGTCCAGAATCTAATGGAGACCCTTTGATCTGCAGGCTGATGCCCTAACCATTAAGCAAACCATCCAGGGCACCACTTTTTTTGTTGTTTTTAATATATTTTATTGATTTTTTTACAGAGAGGAAGAGAGAGGGACAGAGAGTTAGAAACATCGATGAGAGAGAATCATCGATCAGCTGCCTCTTGCACACCGCCCACTGGGGATGTGCCCGCAATCAAGGTACATGCCCTTGACCGGAATCGAACCCGGGACCTTACAGTCCACAGGCCGACGCTCTCTCCACTGAGCCAAACCGGTTTTGGCGAGGGCACCACTTTTTAAAAAAAATAATATATTTTATTGATTTTTTACAGAGAGGAAGGGTGATAGTTAGAAACATCGATGGGAGAGAAACATCAATCAGCTGCCTCCTGCACGCCCCCCACTGGGGATGTGCCTGCAACCGAGGTACATGCCCTTGACCTGAATCAAACCCAGGACCTTTGAGTCCACAGGCTGACGCTCTATCCACTGAGCCAGACCAGTCAGGGCCACCACTTTTATTTTAAAGTCACCAATTAAACTGAATTCAAAGCTACTAAAGGGTACTTTTTAGCATCAATGAAATGACATAATCCTCACCTTGTCCAGAGTCACAGCCAGTAAGCAGCCAAGCTAAGATTAGAACTGGTCAGCCTGGGTGCTCTCCCTCCTGGGAGCGTTCCACACCTTTCCTTTCCCCCCTCCCTCCCCAATCCCAGACCATTACCATCAGCTTCCTCACCCCCAAGCTCCAAGGCCCTTCCTCTACCTAAAAATTATAATTGTAGCTGAAACCGGTTTGGCTCAGTGGATAGAGCATTGGTCTGCGGACTGAAGGGTCCCAGGTTCGATTCCGGTCAAGGGCATGTACATTGGTTGTGGGCATATCCCCAGTAGGGGGGTGCAGGAGGCAGCTGGTCAATGTTTCTTTCTTATTGGTGTTTCTAGCTCTCTATCCCTCTCCTTTCCTCTCTGTAAAAAATCAATAAAATATATTTAAATTAAATAAAAATTATAATTGTAATAATAGTGATAACTGGACAGCCTGAACCGAGAGCAGTGGCTCTTGACCTCCACAGTCTTCACCGGGCTCGGCCACACACATCCTCTCTCCTGAGCTCACAGCTGCCCTCAGTGAGGGGCTGTGATTATCCTCTTGGTGCAAGTAGGACGCAGGAGTGGGAGCGTCTAGCTGCTGGGGCCCAAATCCCACCTCCCACTTCCAGGCTGTGTGTCTGAGGTCAACTGTTCTCCTGTCTGAAAAAGAAGCTACGGTTGTGCAAATTGTATGAGTCAGTATTTGAAAAGTGGTTGGGACAGTGCCTGGAATTCACACTTTGTAAGTATTAGCTCTGACGGGGAAACGGAAGTTCAGAGAGGTTGTGCGACGTGCCAGGAGTCACACAGCTCAGGAGCAGTCTCCTTAGCGGTGTGGGTCGCAGCGTGGCTTTTGTCCACTGGGCGCCCTCTTTTCACACAGCCCTGACCCCCGGCCTTCCCTGTCTTGTCCCTCAGAAGCTCCACCTGGTGCCAAGCATCAACGCGGCGAGTGGCAGCCAGGAGCTGCAGTGGATGCTGCAGCCTCACTTCCTGGGACCCAGCAGCTACCCCAGGCCTCTGGCCTACCCTCAGTACAGCTACCCACAGCCCCGGCCCGGCGTCATCCGGGCCCTGGGGCCGCGCCGCCGGCCCCCGGAGCAGGTAAGCAGAGGCTCTGCATTGGTCCCATTCCCACGGGTGCCGAGGCCGAGGAGAGCCCTGGCCCAAAAGGAGACCACGGGCTTAGGAGGGGGGAGGAGGGAGCACCACCAGCTGGCAAGGAGGACTTCTAGTCCATAGTAATTATTAAGAGGAGCCTCCGGGAAGACCCAGAGAGCAAAGAGGTCACTTTTGGATCGGGGAAGGCTTTCTGGAGGTGGAGGCATATTCGTCTAGGAAAACGGGTAGGAGTTGCATAGATATAGCTGAAGGAAAGGACATCCCGGGTAGAGGGATGGCAGGGGCAAGAATGGAGGTGGAGGGAGAACTTGTGAGGTGTATGCGGAAGGGTACATGGACAGTAAAGGGCGCCTACCTGCTGACCTGTGTGCAAAGGGTGGGCTTACGCTGTGTGCGTCCATGGAGCCTGAGAGGGATCAGGAGACAGTTCCCTTCAGGTACCCTCTGAATCAGTGTCCCTGTCGCATTTAAAACTCCCTAAAGCCCTCTGGGAACGCACTCTGGTTTTCCCCGTCTGACAGCCAAGGAAACGAAGGCACAGAAAGAGAGAGTCACTCGCCCTAGATCACACACGTAGTGAGTAATGAGACAGGTGTGCCCAATTCTAAACTTAGATCCTAACCACCAAGCCACACTGTCTCGCCCAGATCTCAGAGAAGGTTTGAAGAAGAGTGAGCTGGGAATTTTTGCTTCCCCAATCAGGGTTCCTACTCACACACTAATAAAGTCCTTAGCAAGATAAAGAGATAGAAAAATAATACAGAGATAGAGGGTCTTTAAGGGAATGGCGCCTCTTTCCTTTCCCCGGAGCATTTTAGTAGAAGGGACTGCAGTGGGTGAGGTTCGCACAGTAGACAGACCGCTCTGCCAGGCTGGGGAGAGGATGGGGAGGGAGCGTGGGATGCTGGGAAAGATGTGCTCTGGGCTAGGGGAGGCTTTCCCAGAAACAGGATGGCTGGCCCTTTAAGAGCACCTGGAACACTGGTGTGGGCCCCAGAGGCGGGCTTCTGGGCTTGCTCCCGTCAGCCCTGTCCTGAGGCTGATTTGGCGCTGGGTACTCTGAGGCTGGGGCTGTGATTATAAGAGGGTTCCTTTTGGGGGAGATGCTGTTCATCAGCTGGCTCTCATTCATCGTAGACTAGAGTGGGTTTCCATCTCTGCTGTAGGGGCACAAACAAGTTACTCATCTTCCCTGCAGGGGCTTCCGTTCCTTCCTTGGAAATTGTGTTAAGAATCTAAGACCTTTGCTGGCACACAGTAGATCCCCAATAAATTTGCTCAGCAAGCCCTAACTGGTTTGGCTCAGTGGATAGAGCGTCGGCTTTCGGACTGAAGGGTCCTGGGTTCGATTCTGGTCAAGGGCACATGCCCAGATTTCGGTCTTGATCCTCAGTGGGGGGACTGCAGGAGGCAGCCAATCAGTGATTCTCAATCATCATTGATGTTTCTATCTCTCCCTCCCTCTTCCTTCCACTCTGAAATCAATAAAAATATATTTATAAAGAAAAATAACTGCTTAGTAGCATTCATTGGCCCCTCCTAGTGCTTACAGCCTGTGGAGAAAGGAGACTTGTTATCAGGAGATTGAAGAGAATAAGGGTCCTTGGGAAAAGAGCGGCCAGTTCCCACCAGCTCTAAGGAGCAAAGGCCACTTCTGGCCGGGAAATGAGAGGCAGCTTCTGGAGGCAGAGCATCTTTTATTTTGTGTGCTAATCCTCAACCGAGGATCTCTCTCCATTGGCTTTTAGAGAGTGGAAGGGAGGTGGAGAGACGGAGAGAAACATCTCTGTGAGAGACATCCATTGGCTGCCTCCTGCACATTCCCACACCAGGGCCGGGAATGGAGCCTGCAAGGCAGGTACATGCCCTGACGGAAACCAAACCCGGGACCCGTCAATCAAGGCAGGTACATGCCCTTGACGGAAACCAAACCCGGGACCCGTCAATCAAGGCAGGTACATGCCCTTGACGGAAACCAAACCCGGGACCCGTCAATCAAGGCAGGTACATGCCCTTGACGGAAATCAAACCGTGGGCGACGCTCTATCCGCAGAGCCAAACCGGCCAGGGCGAGAGAGGCATCCTAGTTGAATCCTGGGACGTGAAGAGGATTAAGGTTTGTGGCCGGGCATTCTGAGAAGGAAATGGTAGGAGGCCAAAGCGGGGTGCAAGGGGGAAATGTTAACTATTGCAAACGGGGCTGGACACGGTGGTCCTTACAGTGCAGGAGCAGGGCGCCCCGCGCCGCCATGCCCTCCACCAGGATCCGCCCCTGGGCCGCCGCACGAGGCGATTGCCAGGCAGCCGGTGGCCAGGGACCCCCCTCACTGCTTCCTCTGTTCCCCAGATCAGCCCGGAGGAGGAGGAGCGCCGTCGGGTGAGGCGCGAGCGGAACAAGCTGGCCGCGGCCAAGTGCAGGAACCGGAGGAAGGAACTGACCGATTTCCTGCAGGCGGTGAGCATCGGCGGTGCGCAGGGCGCCAGGCCACGGCCCACCCAACCTGCGGAGGCCTCGCCTGCTGTGAGCCCGCAGGGCCGCAGGGGGCGCTGGAGAGCCAGGCCTTCGGAGAAAGCACTGAGCACCGCACAGCCGAGCTGCAGCTCAGGCAGACGGTCTCCTAAGATGCCCCCCGGGACCTGATTGGAGTCCGGGGCACATTTTTCTCCCAAGGACTCCTGGGAATTGTAGTCCAGACTCGCGGAGGACGCCTCACACTACCTCTCCAATTGCCTATTCACCATCACCACGGAAGGCGAAGCCGCGGTGTTCGGCCCTCCTCTTCCTGACTCCTCTCCCTGACCTTCCCCCTACAGGAGACCGACAAGCTGGAGGACGAGAAGTCAGGACTGCAGCGAGAGATTGAGGAGCTGCAGAAGCAGAAGGAGCGGCTGGAGCTGGTGCTCGAAGCCCACCGCCCCATCTGCAAAATCCCGGAAGGAGCCAAGGAGAGCGACCCTGGTGGCCCAGGCGGCTCCAGCAGCCCACCAGCCCCCTCCCGCCCCGTGCCTTGTATCTCCCTTTCCCCAGGGCCTGTCCTTGAACCCGAGGCATTGCACACCCCCACGCTCATGACCACACCCTCTCTGACTCCTTTCACACCCAGTCTGGTCTTTACCTATCCCAGTACCCCTGAGCCCTGTGCCTCAGCCCATCGCAGGAGCAGCAGCAGCAGCGGGGACCCCTCCTCTGATCCCCTAGGCTCCCCCACCCTCTTGGCCCTATGAGGCACTCTGGGTATCCTCCCTGGCCATTACCTCCCCATCCATCGGTCCAGCTGGCCTGGGCTATTCCCCGTGCTCAACCCCAGCGGGTTCTCCATCCCCCCAGATGAGACGGAGCCTGTCCTGCTTCCTGGCAGAGCCAGCTTGGGGTCACCAAAGCTGCTCAGTTTCTCTGGAGCTCGCCTCTCTAGCACAGTTTGCATTAAATCAGAGACACACTATTTCCCATTTGTGCAAGAGAACTCCTGGCAGCCCCGAAGGACTTGATAGACATCTGGAGGTTTTCTGGAGCCCTGCCCCCCTCCAGGCCTTCCGTAAGTCTTCATTGCCCTCTCCGGGGACCCACCCAGCCTCACCCCCAGACAGAAGGCGGTACGCCAGCCTAGAACACTAACCCAGCCACCCCACTGCCAGCAGCGCCAGGTGACCGGACCAGGGCGTTCTGCCGTCCCCTCCAGAAAGGGCACAGTCCAGGAGCGAGCTAGGGCCTTCTGTGACGAGCTGAGCTGCCGCCCTGGCTCTGAGGAGACTTTAGCTCCAGGGACTCTAAGCCTCCACTGCAAGGGCAGCTGCTATTTATTTTCCTAAAGAGAGTATTTTTATACAAACCTGCCAAAACGGAATAAAGGCTTGAAGCTCTGGCCTGGTTTCGTTGGACTCAGAGGCTGAAGGGAAAACATTGGATCCTCAGGACCTTTGGCTCGGGTCTCAGCTCCCCAGCCTCCCTGCACGGCCGCGGACAAATTATTTGGCATTTCTGGACCTCCACTGTGTCTTATCTGACAAACGAAGCTGCATCTGCTCTGCCTCATCTCCAGGACTGAGGGAAACAGTGCTGTGGGCAGCAAGCCAAGAGGATTCCCATCCTCGGGGTGGAGGCCCACCTTGCTCCTGGGTGTACCACAGGGGGGCGCTGTTCTGCCCTTCCAGCCAGAGGAGGCGGCGGAGTGGGTTCCAGGCCCCCCACACCTGCTTCCTGCCCCATTGTCTTGGGCAGGAAGGAGCCGGGAAGGGAACTAGAGCCACTTCAGCGGCCGGATCACGGCCGGTCCCGGAGCCTGCCGGCGGAGGTGCAGGGGTGAGGGGTTGTAGCCAGCGGCTTCCCACGGTCTCACACCGCTCCTGACCGGAGGTAATGAGGGGCTGTCAGACACCAGAGTTCTGCAGCCCTCCGGATAGGAACCATGCCCTGTCTCCCCGTCCCCGTCCTTGGCCTAACCCCGGCGAGTCCCAATCAGACGCTGCCATGGCCTCGGCTTCCGTCCCAGTTTATTAGCCCCCGCCCAGCCCCCTGCAAGTCCCTCCGCTCCAGCCTCCAGTCCCCCTGCTGCCCAGCTGGCAAGAGCGAAGGGCGCCCCTCAGGGCCAGGATGTCTGAGTCCAGGCCAGCAGCGGCCCGTCGCGTGCAGCCGGGCGGCTTCCCGGTCCCGAGGTGCATCGCGATCCAGGCTCGGGGAGCCATCCGGGCGGGCGTCGGCGCGAAGGAAGCTCTGCCCTCAGTCATCTGGGGAGCAAGCCAGGGGCAGCTGATCAGGGCTGCCCACGCTGCCGGTGCTGGAGCTGCCATCGCCCAGGTCCCGGGGTCCGCAGGGGGGCAAGGCGAGCTCCGGTGCCGGGCCAGCGCCCGAGCCCCCCGCGCCGCCAGGGCCGCCGCGGGGGCCCCACTCCTCGCCCAGCGCCAGGCAGAGCTCCTTCAGCGCCAGGTTCTCCCGCAGCAGCTCTTCCTGGCGGCCCTCCAGCTCGGCCAGCTTCTGCCAGCAGCCGCCCAGGTCCTCGCGCACCGCCCGGGATGCCTGCGTCCCGAAGAGCTGCCACTGGCGCGCGGCGCGCCGCCCGCGCTGGCGCTCCGAGTCCAGGAAGCAGCAGAGGTCGCGCAGCTCGCGGTTCTCGGCCTGCAGGCGCCGGTTGAGCTGCTTGAGCTCGCGGATCTCGCCCAGGTGCCCCTGCAGCTGTCGGTTCACCTCCTGCATGAGGCGGCCGCGCTGCACCAGAGCCGCCAGGCGCGCCGCCTCCTCCCGCCGCAGGCGCCGCACCAGCTCCTCCTTGCCCAGAGCCGCCATCTCCTCGTCGGTCAGCTCCTCCAGGCCGCCCGCCTCGGCCTCCATGGCTGCTCGGGTCTCTGGAGCATCGCCCGCCCGCCGCCGCGGCCCAGGTGCCCCACGTCGAGCCCGGCGCGGCTGCGGCTGGGACCGGCTTCGCCGGCACGGGCTGTGGCCGCCTGGCGCAGGCAGCGGCCGCCGCACGGGGGCGGGCACGCGGCAGGGCGCGCGCCGGGGCGGGGCCGCCTGACGTTGAGGAAGGACAGCCAATCCGGAGGCGTCTCCCTGGGGAGGGGCGGGGCCTGAGCGCGGAGCGCCCCCTTCGCGGCCCGCCCACTCCCGACCGCGGAGTCCCTGACCGTCCGGGACCCTGGGTCCCCGCACCCGCTCCTGTCAACCCGCAACCAGGCGCTTCGTGCCTCCCAGTTCCCAACTGCCTCGGGTTCGAGCCTAGGCCTCTGGGCTCCTGAGAACCAAGACTGCCCCGGAACTCTCCCCCCCACAGAGCCGGGACGACCTCCTTTCCATCCTTCCCAGGGGTGGGGTGCGGGGGAGAGGGGGTGGAGTACATTTACAAGCGATTCTTTTGTTCAGTAAGCCTTCATTGTGTGTAAAACCCACGCAGAATACACTTGATCAAGAGTCTTATCCTGTCTTTAAGGAATTATTTTTTAAAATGTATTTTATTGATTTTTTACAGTAAGGAAGAGAGAGGAATAGAGAGTTAGGAACGTCCATGAGGAGAAACATCCACCAGCTGCCTCTTTAAAAAAAAATATATATTTTTTATTGATTTTTTTTAGAGAGGAAAGGAGAGCGATAGAGAGCCAGAAACATTGATGAGAGAGAAACATCAATCAGCTGCCTCTTGCACACCCCCCACCAGGGATGTGCCCGCAACCAAGGTACATGTCCTTGACCAGAATCGAACCCAGGACCCCTGAGTCCGCAGGCTGTCGCTCTATCCACTGAGCCAAACTGGCCACGACCAGCTGCCTCTTGCACCACCCCTACTGGGATGTACCCGCAACCAAGGTACATGCCCTTGACCGGGATCGAACCCGGGACCTTTCAGCCCACAGGCCGATGGTCTATCCACTGAGCCAAACCGGTTTCGGCTTTAAAGAAGTTTTAATCTGGCAGGGGAGACAAGTTGTGTTAAACAAGAAGCACATGGAGGAGGGATACAGTCTGAGGGAAAGGTTTCCCGAAAGAGATGATATCCGAAGGTCCCGGAAAAATGCACAGGGCTTTGTCAAGCAAAGAGACAGGAAATAACATGGTGAACGATGCTGGGGCCTGCAAGGGCCTACCTGCTTTAGGAACAGCGAGAGCCATCCGGGCGTGGAGAAAGTGGGAAGAAAGGGAGGCAGGAGGAAACAAACGTGGTCGGAAGCCAGATTTAAAAATATATATATATATATTATTGATTTTTTTACAGAGAGGCATGGAGAGGGACAGGGATAGAGAGTTAATAACATCAATGAGAGAGAAACATACCGTTTCCCCGAAAATAAGACAGTGTCTTGCGGGGAACAGTTTGGCTCAGTGGATAGAGTGTTGGCCTGCGGACTGAAGGGTCCCGGGTTCGATTCCGGTCAAGGGCATGTACCTTGGTTGCGGGCACATCCCCAGTAGGGGGTGTGCAGGAGGCAGCTGATTGATGTTTCTCTCTCATCGATGTTTCTAACTCTCTATCCCTCTTTCTTCCTCTCCTTGAAAAAAAGAAAAAAAAGAGTGTCTTATATTAATTTTTGCTCCCAAAGGTGCACTAGGTCTTATTTTCAGGGGATGTTTTATTTTTTCCATGAAGAAGAATACGGTACACATTTATTGTTAAATGAAAATAAAGGAAATTTATTACCTGTATACGGTATGGTGGTAGTACGGTAGTTGTCAACACAAACCAAACTGTGAATCCTACAGTATCAAGAATTTACTCATTTATTCAATGTCATCATCTTCTGGAACATCATCATAACAATCCAATTCCTGAATTTCCTGGTGAATTTCTTGTGATCCATTTCTTTCAGAATCAGTGGACCAAATCTCTCATGTTTAGCAATAGCATTCTGAGACAGAGCCTAGGGGGAGCCTTATTTTCGGGGGGATGCCTTATATTTCACTCAGAATGAAACCTGTAGGTAGGTCTTATTTTCGGAGGATGTCTTATTTTTGAGGAAACACGGTAGATTCAACTGCCTCCTGGACACCCCCCACTGGGGATGTACCTGCAACCAAGGTACATGCCCTTGATGGGAATCGAACCTGGGATCCTTCAGTCTGCAGGCTGACACTCCATCCACTGAACCAAACTGGTTAGGGTGGAAGCCAGATTCTTAAGGGTTTTCACTACTAGGCTGGCACATTTTCCCAGGGCAGTAAGGATTTTAATCAGGGGAGTAACATTTTAAAACATCTATTTAAAAACGATTGTTCAGGCTGCTCTGTGTGAGAGGGAGGATGGGGAGGGGATGTGGGCAGGGAGATTAGGAAGAACACTGTGTCAACGGGCAAGGAGAACTTTGCAGAAGGACTGGACTGGGGCAGTGCCAGTGAGGATGGAGAGAACAAAAAGATAATAGAAATATTTAGGAGGCAAATCCGCACACTGAATGTGGAGAGGAGTCTGGGAGAAAGCCAGGTTTCTGAGATAGTGGATGGTGGGGCTGTCACAAATAGGAACACAGGAGATAAACTGACTGGAGAAACCAGAGGTCTATCTAGCTGGGGCGGCGGCTGTAGAGAGAGAGTTTGGAAAGACTCATAGGTAGGCTGCCCTCCTGATATGGACTTCGGACAGAGCTCTGAGCTACAGAGCAAGAGAGGCCAGGCAGGGGTAGGGGTGGGGTGGGGGTAGGGGGTAGGAGGGGAGTAGCTCAGGTGGGTAGAGCTGCCTTTGGATCTCTGATCAGAGCACATACAAGACGCAACCAGCCGAAACCGGTTTGGCTCAGTGGATGGAGTGTCAGCCTGCAGACTGAAGGGTCCCAGGTTCGATTCCCATCAAGGGCATGTACGTTGGCTGCGGGCACATCCCCAGTGGGGGGTGTTGCAGGAGGCGGCTGGTGGATGCTTCTCTCTCATCGACGTTTCTGGCTCTCTTTCTCCCTTCCTCTCTGTAAAAAATCAATAAAATATATATTTTTTTAAAAAACACGCAACCAATGAGTGCATAAGTAAGTGGAGCAACGCATCGATGTTTCCTTCTCTAAAATCAATCCATTAAACAAACAAGCACAAACATGGGAGCAGTGTGCCCTCCCGGGAGCGATGCTTAGCCGCAGGAAGAACTGAAGGTCTTTGGAGGTCGGCTACACACGTTTATTCACAGAAGAAAAAAATGAGGATTGAGCCCTCCACTCCCACATGTAGGATGCAGGCCAGTGAGGATTTTACAGGAGCAGAGGAAGCGGGGTGGAGGGACAGAGGGCTGACGGGGAAGGGTTCCAGGGTCGGGAGGCTGGCCGGGCCGGGGTAGGGGCAGGGGTAGCCGCGGGGACAGGGGTGCCCAACAGCTTCCGCCTCTTCCCCCGCAGCTCCCGCCCCACCCGCTCTGTCCCGGAAGTGGTCCGTCCCCGAAGTGGCTCCGGGCGCTCCCGGAAGTGGCCCCTCGGCGGCGCGCCCGCCCGGGCGGTTCTCGCTCCAGCCGGGGCGCTGCGGCTGCTGCCGCGTCCGAGCGCCGCCATGACCAACGAGCTGGATATCTTCGTGGGGAACACGACCCTCATCGACGAGGACGTGTACCGCCTCTGGCTGGACGGCTACTCGGGTGTGTGGGGGGCGGCCGGGGGCGGTCTGGTGGGAGAAGGGGCGGAGCTGGACGTGGCCGTCGGAAGCGGGCGGCGGGGTGCGGGGTGCGGGGTGCGGGGGTCGGAGGCCCCGAAGGGGCTGGGCGGGGCGGGCCTGACGCTCGTGCCCGCCCCCAGTGAACGATGCGGTGGCCCTGCGGGTGCACTCGGGAATCCTGGAGCAGACGGGCGCCACGGCCGCCGTGCTGCAGAGTGACACCATGGACCACTATCGAACCTTCCACATGCTGGAGCGCCTGCTGCACGCCCCGCCCAAGCTGCTGCACCAGCTCATCTTCCAGATCCCGCCCTCCCGGCAGGCGCTGCTCATTGAGAGGTGCGGGTGCCAGCCACGCTGCCATGTACCCATTCTGCAGACTGAACCTGAGGCCCAGGGAGGGACGGGACTCCCCCGGGCCCTGAGGAAGGGGCCGAGCCCAGGCTCTGCCAGCCCCGCCCCCCCAGCACCCTCCTCTAAGGGATGCCATAGTGTCCGCTGCCTCCACGCAGGTACTATGCCTTCGACGAGGCCTTCGTGCGCGAGGTCCTGGGCAAGAAGCTGTCGAAGGGCACCAAGAAAGACCTGGATGACATCAGCACTAAGACCGGCATCTCCCTTAAAAGCTGCCGGAGACAGGTGGGCACTGCAGCCTCCTCCTCACCCACACTCATTCCAGCCATAGTCCACCCCTTCCTCCTCCCCTTCGCCGCTGTCCCAGCTCCAGCCTCCTCCTCCACTTCTGACCCAGTCTCCTCTCCTGTTTTCCTCACCTCAAATCAGTCCCCTGCTCTTCAGCCAGAGTGGCCTTTCAGAATGCCAGGTCTGACTGTAGCTTTCATATATATATATATATATATATATATATATATATATATATATATATATGTATATATATATATATGTATATGTATATGTATATGTATATGTATAAATATATATATATATGTTTATTTTTTACAGAGGAAAGGAGGGGATAGAGTCAGAAACATCAATGGGAGAAAAACATTGATCAGCTGCCTCCTGCACACCCCCTACTGGGGATGTGCCTGCAACCAAGGTACATTCCCTTGACCGGAATCGAACCTGGGACCTTTCAGTCCGCAGGCCGACAGTCTTAGCCACTGAGCCAAACCTGTTAGAGCCTGCCCGTAGCTTTTTTCTACCCATAAACTTGCATTGGCTCCTATCCCTTCTGGGTAGTACCGCACTCTCTGGCCTTGCCCTTCATACGCTCCTGTGAGCTGGTCCCTGCAGCGTCTCTGGGCTTGGCGGCCCCCTGTGGCCAGCTTTTCTTTTGCTTGTGCTGCTCCTGCTGGAGGGTACAGTTCTTGGCCATGTCTATTCGCAATCCAAGGCAGAGTCTGACGTCACCTCTTCACACGCTCTCTGGGGGTCCGAGAGAAGTAACTTCTGGAACGTTAGGTGTCTTTTCTCTGCGTTTCCTGTGAACTCCCTGTAGACAGCTTAGCATTTGCTCTTTTTTTTTTTTTTTTTTTTTTTTTACCTTCTGGGCCTCAGCCAGGAGATTCTGTTCCAGCACAAGCTGGGGAAGAACCGGAAAGCGCGGTGCTTAAAAGTAGGAGTGAAGTCAGTGTTAGGAGTGAGTAAAGGCTTATCTGAGTCAAGATGGCAAAAGCTAATGGACATTTGTTGAGTTGATAACTTATTGAAGGAATAACACATCAGCACCTGTTGCCTGAATGATAGATAGGTGAGGGACCGTGTTCAATAACTAATTGATTGGGTGAGCAACCTCTGACCAGTCCTTACTCCCCTGACCTCCCTGCAGTTCGACAACTTTAAGCGCGTCTTCAAGGTGGTGGAGGAGATGCGGGGCTCCCTGGTCGATAACATCCAGCAGCACTTCCTCCTCTCCGACCGGCTGGCCAGGTGAGAGCCAGGCGAGCAGCCGCCACCTTCCCCACTCTGCACAGTCCTTCCGGGGGCCCAGAGTCTGGTCCGCCTCCCCCACCCCCAACCCACCTGACCTCCTGGCTGTGTGGGGGGATGGTTATCTCATTCCTGGTCTGTGAATTGGATCAGACTGGCCTGGGTTCAAATCCCAGCCCGCCGTTCGCCAGTCAGTTGGACTGTGGCGGTGCCACCTGTGAAGCTGTGGCACTCTCCGGGCTCAGTAAGTGGCAATGCCACCCTGAGGTGCCCGCTGTATCCCCTTAGGAGACCTGGGCTAAAACCTTTTCACAGACGGGAATGAGGAGGCTCAGAGAGAGGTGGCTGGAAGCATGTCACCAGGAGCGGGGCCAGAGAGAGGCCAGAGCTCAGACACCCAGAAGACGGTGCAGGCGGAGCTGCTTGCTAAGAAGGAATGTCCAGCTCTGACCGGTCTGCCTCGCCCTCCCTGCAGAGACTATGCCGCCATCGTCTTTTTTGCCAACAACCGCTTTGAGACGGGGAAGAAGAAGCTGCAGTATCTGAGCTTTGGCGACTTCGCCTTCTGTGCTGAGCTCATGATCCAGAACTGGACCCTTGGAGCCGTCGGTGAGGCCCCCACTGACCCAGGTGCCCGGACACCTCCCCACCCTCTCAGGCCTGCTACCCCTCCAGCACTGTCTCCTGCAGGCCCCTCGTTCCCAGCATCATCTCTTCTTCGGGGCCCCTCCCCAGCCATCTCTGCTCACAGGTCCCCATATGCACCTTGTCTGCAGACAAAGGGCCCGCTACTTCTCTGTGCTCTGGGGCAAAGCTTTCCGCCTCCCGGACACTCTGTTTCCTGTCTTATGGGGGTGCGATGTGGGTGAGAAGGCTTGGGTTATCAAGGGAGGGCATTTTGTTGTGCCCCTCTCCCCCAACTCCCTTCCTGGGCCTCACTCAGACTCCCAGGTGGATGATATGGATGTGGACTTAGACAAAGAGTTTCTCCAGGATCTGAAGGAGCTCAAAGTGCTGGTGGCTGACAAGGACCTTCTGGATCTGCATAAGAGGTGACTGGGGGGAGGTCCATGGGGTGGGGTCTGCAGTGGGGCCCAGGCAGCTCTAGGCTTGACCTTGACCTCCTGCAGCCTGGTGTGCACCACCCTCCGGGGAAAGATCGGTGTCTTCTCCGAGATGGAAGCCAACTTCAAGGTCTGTGGCCCACGCCAGCCCACGTCCCTTGGGCACCTTCAGCCTCCAGTGCACGGTTCCACCGGGTGACTGTTCATGCCCTCGGTTGACCGGCAGGTGGCGCTGCTGTTCCCTCTGCCCACCTGTGCTGGGGGAGCAGCTCCCAAACATTGGGGAGTTGACTGAGGGAGGTGGATGGATTTGGAGGGGCCTGCCCCTCCCCCAGCCTCTGGGGGCAGAAGGCAGAACGCCCAGGCTCCCTGCCCCACAGAACCTGTCGCGGGGGCTGGTGAATGTGGCTGCCAAGCTGACCCACAACAAGGACGTCAGAGATCTCTTTGTGGACCTGGTGGAGAAGGTGAGCTGTCCTGCCCGCTGTCCGCTCGGCCCCGACTGGCCTGTCTGAGCTGTCCCGGTGCTAGATGTCCCCTTGGCTCCACAGTTTGTGGAGCCCTGCCGCTCTGACCACTGGCCGCTGAATGATGTGCGGCTGTTCTTGAACCAGTATTCAGCATCGGTCCACTCCCTGGATGGCTTCCGGTGAGTTACCCTGGCCTCCTGCAGACGCGGGGTTCCCTGGGGTGAATGTCTGTGTGGACCAGAGTCCTGGCTTCACCTCTGAGAAGCTGTGACTTAACCTGGGCAGGTCCCCTGACCTCCCCGGCCCTCAGTTTCCTCACACATAAGCTGGGGTGAAACGGTGAGGGTCATGAGGATACTGTGAGGATTAAAGCGCGGAGGTACACGGAGCACTTAGAGCAGGGCGTGACGGGGTGGGTTGTGGTAACCCTCAGCCGTGCTGTCACCGTTATCATTGCAGGCACCAGGCCCTCTGGGACCGCTACATGGGCACCCTCCGTGGCTGCCTCCTGCGCCTCTATCACGACTAAGGCCCCTCCCACCGCTCTGCTCACACTGACAATAAAGTTGCCATGACTTTGGAGGAGCCTGTGCATGGGTGAACACAGGGTCCACGCGTGTAGGGTGTGTACATGTATGTATCTAAGGCTCACGGTGTATGAGGACCTGTGTGCACCCGGCCCTGCAGGGACGAGGATGTGTCCAGGAATGGTGTCTGCTCTCCCTCCCCATTCCCCCACTCAGCTGAGTCCACTGAGAACACAGGATCTTGCTTTGTTTAATGAGCCAATAGCAAGAGGGTTGGGAGGGCAGGAGGAGACTTTGGGGGTGGCCAGCGAGGAGGCAGCAGGCGTAGCAGGCGAGAGCGGCACTGGGCGGATTCAGGGTGGGCAGGAGACCTGATGCGGCTTCTTAGCTGGAAGAGCCACGCGGGCAGTAATCGGGTACTTGGTGATACCACAGGCATTGCTCCCTCGGTGCAGCCGGAAATAACCCTAGGACGTCAGAGGACGTCAGGGCCAGGAGGCGGGAGAGGCCTGCCGTCCTGTCCCAGCATCACACTCACCTTTTCACCCCATGCGGGCCCCCAGGAGTTCTTGAGGATCCAGTATGGGGTGGAGTGACGGTGAGGACGGGATGAGGCGTCCTTTGCCTGCCTCCCCTCCGGTGACTTGGTCTTACCAAAACCCACCAGCAGGACAACATGGTCCACGTAGTCAGGGTTGCAGGTGGTTTCTGTGGCCCTGATCACACCGTGGGTGTAACCCTGCAGGGGCAGGGGCAGAGAAGCTGAGCCTGGGGCCACGTCCCCATATATTCTCCCCCGTTCTCTTCCCCAGCCCACCTGCAGTAGCTTCTTGTTGATGGTCACAGTGATGGGTCCCTCAGTGGCCAGGTACCGGGCAATTCCTGGGGGGGAGGTGCCATCAGGCCATGCTGCCCGGGTTCCCCTGCTCTCAGCTCATGGTTGTCCCCGTCTCCCCTTCCCACCCCATTCCTCCATCTGTCTGTAGGACCCCCCCCCGTCCTGGTTTGTCTATCCCTGTCATCCCCCCCCTCCCACGCCCGCTTGGGCCTCCACCCTGCCCGCACTCTGCTCGTTGTCCGACAGCATGATGAAGTCCTGGATCCAGGCCACCTTTTGGTGCTTCTTAGCCTGGCACTTGTGTCTGACCGCCCCCTGGAATGGGTAGTCCTCTTCGCTAGCCAGGCCACCTGGAAGGGAGCAAGACCAGGAGACTCAGCCCAGGACATCCCGCCCTGCAGCCCCCGGGAGGCCAGACTCACTGTTGTTGAGGACGGTTATGAACGCGTCCCAGACGAAGCCGCCCCTGCAGCCGTCCCCGCAGCGGCCACAGTCCAGTAGTTCTGGTGGAGAAGGGGCAGCGTGGGTGACGAAGCCCGAGGCCCCAGGCCCCCCCCGGCACACGTGCCCCCTTCCAGCCGTACCCTGCACAGAGACTTCCACGGGCTGTCCGGTTTTAATGCCCCACTGGGCTTCGATGTTGCCCGCGGCCGCCATGGCCCAGCAGCATGAGCAGCTTTTCTAGTGGGGAGAGGAGTGGGGCTGGTAAGGGATCTGGGCCTTGGGGGGGTGGGGTCCTCCCTCCACTGGGGCTGGGCTGCGCCAGGCGGGGTGAGGCAGATACCTGGTTCTTGACAGGTGAGATGACATTGGCCTTCCGCCAGTCACAGGTGGCGGGAACCGACTCCTCCCGCTCATCAGATCCTACCTTTCTGTCCATATTGGGGGCCCTTCCAGCTGCCCTCTGATTCCCATACAGCTGGTCAAACTCCTCCTCTGGGGGACAGATGGGACCACCAAGATCACAATATTGACCCCCACCCCCATCCCATATTCTGCTGCTCCCGCTCCAGCCATCCACATCCTTGGCCATGTGAGGCCCCATAATGCCCCGGGAGACACAAAGGCGATGCCGAGGCTCAGAGACCCAGCTCCTTGCTGCAGTGCATCCCCGGCACCTGCCCTCGGGGACAGGACAAGCACCCAGGCCTCTGGTCCCCAGGTCCCGCTCTGGGAAATGAATGCCAAAGGTCCAGCCTGCCCATCTGCCAGTGTCCCTGGGCAAGCTCTGCTTCCCCACCCACCAGCTAGGAGCCAGGGGCGCCCCAGTACCTGTAAGGTCACTGAATGCAGTCACCCCAAACTCCGCTGTGCCCAGGTCCTCCTCCTGCAGCCGCTGAGCCCGGGCCAGGTTTTGGGCAAAGATATCCAGGCGGCGAGCATACTCTGGACGGAAAGACGGATGGTCTTCCTAGGCTGGCTCCCAAGCGCGGGGGGGGGGGGGGGGGGGGGGGGGCGGGGGGGGGCAGGAAGTGGCCACCTGCTGGGTGTCTCCCACCCACCCTCACCCAGATGAGCACTGACTCCTTTCCTGTGGGCCCTGCCAGCCCCGCTGCAGATAACCTGGGCCAAGGAAGTGGCTCCCAGCCCACTAGGGTGGGTTTTCCCAGGCGACGGAAAGGGGCAGGGCATCTCTGCCCACTGCGGGGGGGGGGGGGGGGGTATAGGTAAAGGGTCTGAAGGCAGAGTGATTCAGGGAAAGGTGGGTGGATGGGGAGGGGCTTCCTGCCACCAGGTCACCCACCACCTTCACACTTCTGACCACAGGTGGGGCCGGAACATGGCAGGGGGGGAGGGGGGGACAGAGGCCCGTGGCAGCTGGAAAGCACCCACAGACTGTCCCCCGCAGGGAGATGAGACCAAAGAGCGCAGGAGCAGGGCAGCAACTCGGGAGAGTCCCAACTTGAGGACAAAATGGGTATCTAGGTGTTTGCTGAATGGACTGACTATATGTGGTTTCCTGCTCACTGTGGAGCCGAAGGGCCCTCTGGGCAGACCCCAACAGCCACACCTCCCTGCAGACTCGGCCAAGAAGGTCCATGTTCAATGCGCAGCAATGATTTTCCTTACCTCAAGCCCAGCTGCTGTCCCGCTGAGCGGCTCTAGCCAAGCCCACCCTGAGCCTGACTTCATCTATTAAATGGGAGGAGCGGGGTTGGGCAGAGACGAAGGGGTCCCCTGGTACCTGCTGGGTTCGAGTAGCTTCGGTTATACTGGATCTGGAACAACGTGAAGGCCTCTTTCAGCTCTAGCGGCCTCGGACCTGGGTTCTGGAAGGAAAAGGGCGGGGGGGTTGGATGAGGAGTAGTCCTTGCTGGGACCGAGCTGAGGGTCAACCAGTTACCCTGTTTCCCCGAAAATGTCTTATATTAATTTTTTCTCCCAAAGTTGTGCTAGGTCTTATTTTCAGGGGATGTCTTATTTTCGGGGAAACACGGTCGTCTGTTCTATCCCCCTGGGTGAGCTTGGGCATATCTGTCACCTCTCCGGCCTTCGTTGCTCCCTCGGAGAAATGGGAACAAGCCAGTTGTTCCTGAGGGGGGAGCCCCACGCCTGGGCTTGCAGAAGGAAGGGTTTGGGGAGCGGGCTGCGGGCACTTACCTGGACTCGGAGGGAGTCCTTGATGCCTTGGGCTAGACCTGCCACTGACAGCACCAGGAGGCAGGAGAGATGGACAGTGAGTGCCATGCTGCTGCAGACCAGAGTGCTGGGGACAGACAGGAAGCCGAGCACAAACTGGAGGGGCTGAGGGCGGAGCTGGAGAAACCACTAAGGCGGACCCTCAAGAGGCATTCAGGCTTTTATCTGTGCAAGGCCTGTCTACTCGCCCCCTTTTTTTTTTCTTAAAAAAAATTTTTTTTAATTGATTTTTTCAAAGAGGAAGGGAGAGAGATAGAAACATCGATCAGCTGCCTCCTGCACACTCCCCACTGGGGATGTGCCCACAACCAAGGTACATACCCTTGACCGGAATCAAACCTGGGACCCTTCAGTCCGCAGGCCAACACTCTACCCACTGAGCCAAACCAGTTTCGGCTCTTTTTTAATTTTTTAAAATATATTTTTATTGATTTTTAGAGAGGAAGGGACACACAGAGAGAAACATCAACGATGAGAGAATCATTGATCGGCCACCTCCCCATGCTCCCTCCTGGGGGTTGAGCCCGCAACCCAGGCAAGTGCCCTTCATCAGAATCGAACCCAGGACCCTGAGCCAAACCAGCGAGGGCACCCTTTTTCCTTATTCAGCAGAGGCGCTCAGTCCACCCTGTTTTGGGCAATCCTTAAACGGATCTGTCCTTAAGGAGACAGGTCCTAAGAGGGCAGTGACAAAGCCATCAGCACTGTGAAGGGTAAACCCAGGACTATGGGAGCCACGGGCCCTGACAACTGGGTGTGTGGGGAGAGGGTGGTCAGTGGCCCCTGGGAAAACACTTGCTCATCCTACAAAGCTTAGCTCCAGGGTCGCCTCCAAGAAGCCCTCCCTGCTCTCACCCTCTGATGTAACCACAGCCCCTGAGCCCCTGAGCCCTGCTGTGCCTGAGCCCGCCTGCATCTTCCTTCCGGTCGCTCAGAGGGTTCCGAGGCCATGAGTCCACGGTGCCCGGGATGCGGCTGGCCACGGAGCAGGCTTGGCGGGTGTTACTGACTGAACAATTTGTTGTCATGTTGTTCCCATGGGTTTTAAACAGGAAATGCCAGTGGCAGGAGCATGTCCAGGGACAGCAAGTAGCAGCTCCTGCCGCCTCTAGTCCTCCATTCCTGTCGCAGTCTGCTTGGGGATGTGGGAGCAGAGAGAGGGCTGGCACCTCAGACGGCGAGGCCAAGGCCGGTGAAGTCGGGTGCGGGGGAGGGTGTTGACACCTGTCACTGCGGTCTCTGTTCGAAGGGGTGTTAGGCGGGGGCTCGCCCTCTGAGCCTCCAGGCAGGAAACCAGGCCCCCAGAATGGAAACCAATGCCCAAGACCAGAGGCGGGGGGAGAGCCAGTTTCTGGGGATTTATAATGATGGGGGAGGGGGCTGGGCTCTGGCCTTGGCATTCCTCAGTTTTTCATTCATGAGAAAGCTGCCCCCTGTTGCTGCACCACCCTCACTCCCACCCCGGGCAGTTAGCCATGGGACTGCCCTATTGGGGGAAAAGCCATGCTGTCTTTATCCAAATTCAGGAGACAGCCCATCCGCAGAGGGGCCCCTGGCTGCGTGGCTGTAGACCCCAGTCATACGCCCCACGCTAGTCTTGGATTGTGTGTGACCTATGACTAAGGCCCCATGTGTCAGCCTCAGAGCTAGGGGTCCCAGTGTGGGCATAAAAGGGGGTGTCATAAAATCTGTCTCTGTGGTGGTAGGGGTTGTGGAAACTTGGGGGAGGAGAGACGGGGAGTGGAGCTGGGTGGCCTTCCTCATTGACCCACTTCTTCCCTCCATTGATTGTGAGTCCCGCGATGCCAGGAGATTTTAGTCGTTTTTGATTGGTGCTGTGTCCCTGGCACCTGACACAGAGCCTGGTCAATGGTGGCCGCACAGGGCACATTTATTGAATGAGTGGATGGATGAATGAACGTCCCCGCTCACTCACTCACTTGCACTCATCCCGCAGCTCCTGGCTGGCACCCAGGGGCCCCGGGTCTCAAGGGCGCACCGCCGGGCAGGAACTGCTGACATGAACCCAGAGGAGGCTTGTGCCCCAGCGCAGAAGGACTGAAGGCGGGAAGTTACTAGGGTCACAGAGGTCAGGAGACAGCTGTGAGTGGCAAGTGCACTCAGGCCTGATAGTGCAGCTGGAGGCGTGGGTCCAAGTTCGAGAGGTCAGCTGTGCAGCCAGCCATTCCCCTCCAGACCTCCGTTCCTCATCTCTAAGTGGCAGTGACAGCTCCTTCTGACGGTGGGTCCCGAATGCTGTGCTGTGGGGCACGGAGCCAGAGCCGTGTTTGTTTTCTCTCTGGGTTTGCTGTTTTTATGTCCTGTTTGAGCCCAGAGTCGTGGAGTCAGAAGGACTTGTGTTCAAATCCCGTCCTTAGCTTTGGCTGAGCCTGGACAAACCTTAGCCTCTCACCACCCCTTCCCTGGCTGGGCAGGAGGGTACACGTTGACACTTGGAATGGTTAGATCTTGATAATCCAGCTGTAACTTTTACTATTTTTTAAATAATGGTCCTATTGAAATATGTAATTCACATACCATAACATTTACCCTTGTAAATTATACAATTCAGTGGCTTTTAGTGTCTCTATATAATTGTGGTCAACACCACTATCTCATTTCAGAGCATTCTCATCATCCTGAAAGAAACCCCATGACTGTTAGCAGTCGCTCCCTGCTCCGTTCTCCCCTGGCAAACACTGATCTAGTTTGTCTCTCCGGTTGCCTATTCTGGCTGTCACATCTAGGGATACGGTGACCAGACGTCCGCTTTTGGCAGGACAGTCCCGATTTTTAACAATTTGTCCCGCGTCCCGTGGCACGTCTGGTCACCTTACCTACAGAACATGAGGCCTTCCGTGCCTGGCTTCTTTCTCCTAGTATAATACTTTCAGGGTTCGTCCATGCAGTAGCACATATTAGTTTTTTTTATTCCTTTTTATGGCTGAGTAATATTCTATCATTTTTTTTAATCCATTCATATACATTTTGCTTATCCATTTGTAAGTCGACAGAAATTAAACTGTTTCTACGTTTTAGTTCTTATGAACAATGTTGCTATTCAAGGTGTACGGATTTTTTTGTGTGGACACGTTTCCGTCCCCCCGGGTATATTTCCTAGGAGTGAAATTGCTGGGTCATGTAACATTTTGAGGATCTGCCATAATTTTTCCAAAGGGGCGCCGCAACTGACATTCCCGCCCACACTGTCTGAGGGCTCCAATTTCCCCATGTGCTCATCAGCACTTGTTAGTGCCTGTCTTTTGGTTTTGAACGGCTATTATTTTTAGCCTCCACACCCAAGCAGCTGGGAAGGATGTGGGGTGGGGAGACACTCTCCAGTTCGCCCTGAAGCCAGGGCTCACCTCGGGACCCTTCCCGGCACCGCCCCTCCCGGGCCTGCCCTCCGGGGCCGGGCTGCGTGCGTGGAGATCGTGAGGACCGGGGAGACGGGAAGGGAAGGGCGGGCGCCGCGGTCCCGCACGTGGTGCGCCGCGAGGCGGGGGCTCCCGGGACACGCGGCCTTTCCCGTCTGGCTCCGCCCCGGGACGTGGGCCGGAGGCCCCGCCCCTTCCTGGGAGCCGGCCCCGCCCAGGCCCCGCCCCCGGGCGCTCCCTCCGCTGGGGGGGCGGAGGGGGCGGAAAGCCGGGTCCGCGGAGCGCGGAGGGCGGAGGGCGGAGGGCGGGAGGCGCTGGCGCCGGGCCCTGGCGTCTGGCTCGCCCGTCAGTCCTGCCCGCTTCCCGGGGGCTTCCATTCATTCCGGGCCAGAGGAGCTGCGCCCCCGCCCGACAGCCCCGCATGGCGGGGAGCCCGGAGGAGCAGCTCCGGGCCCGAGTTCGGGGCCCGGAGGAAGTCTGGTGTTGCCCGGGCGCAGAGTGAAACTGGGAGCGTCCCGATGGAGGCCCCGGTGGTCCCAGTATGGGTTAGGTTGGGTGCCCAGGATGGCCCCCTGGGAGGCGCGGAGTCTGGGGACCCGGCCTGAAGGCGTGGGTGGGTGCCCAGGGTGGGATTCCGGGGCGGGTTAGGGGGGTGGGTGCCCAGGGTGGGATTCCGGGGCGGGTTAGGGGGGTGGGTGCCCAGGGTGGGATTCCGGGGCGGGTTAGGGGGGTGGGTGCCCAGGGTGGGATTCCGGGGCGGGTTAGGGGGGTGGGTGCCCAGGGTGCCATTCGGGGGCGGGTTAGGGAGGTGGGTGCCCAGGGTGGGATTTGGGGGCGGGTTAGGGGGGTGGGTGCCCAGGGTGCCATTCAGGGCGGGTTAGGGAGGGTGGGTGCCCAGGGTGCCATTCGGGGGCGGGTTAGGGAGGTGGGTGCCCAGGGTGGGATTCCGGGGGGGGTTAGGGAGGTGGGTGCGCAGGGTGTCATTCGGGGTGCACACACTGAGGCCCGGGGACTTCAATCCCAAACACTGGAGCCGGGGCCGGGATCAGGGCCCGGGCCTCCCCGGGGAGCACGCTTGGCCTCGAGCCCGGGCGGCTCGGGCGGCGCCGCGGGGACCGGGCGGGGGTGCGCCGCCCAGGGCGGGAGCGGGGGTCGGTCCCCTCCCCCTGGCGCGGGCTCAGGAATCCGGGCGGGCGGCGGGCGGAGCGCCGGGGTGGGCCGCGCCGGCGGGTGGGCCGCGCCGGCGGGCGGGCGGGCGGGCGGGGGGCGCTTCCTGGGGCCGCGCGTCCAGGGAGCTGCGCGTCGGCCCGTCCGTCCGCCCGCAGCCGCCGGAGCCGCCGGAGCCGCCGGAGCCGGGCCGCGGGGGCGTCGCGGGCCAAGTGAGTGGCGGGGGCGGGGGAGGCCGGAGCCCAGTCCGGCCCGCGGCCCCGGAGCGCCAGGCCCGCTCCTCCGCCCGCGGCCCCGGGGCGGCGGGGGCGGGGCGGCCGGCGGCGGGGCCGCGGCGGGAGGAGTCCCTCCTCCCCCGGAGCCGGGTCCTCAGGGCCGGCCGAGCGGGAGGCGCCGCGGCCGAGGCGCTGACCCCGGCCCCCTCCGCCCAGGATGCTGCCCTTCGCCTCCTGCCTCCCCGGCTCGCTGCTGCTCTGGGCGCTGCTGCTGCTGCTCCTGGGGGCAGCGTCTCCCCAGGACTCGGAGGAGCCCGACAGCTACACGGTGGGGACCGCGGGGCCGCGGGCCTGGGATGGGAGGGGCAGGGCCTCGGGTCAGGGGCCCGGGGGCTGCTGTGGGGAAGGTCCTCCCCTCCCGTTGGGGGAGCAGCCGGAGCCATTGTGTGGAGCAGTCCCGGGAGGGAGGCTAAGGACCCTGACCTTGGCCTGGGCAGCGGGGGGGGGGGACAGGGGTGAACACTGGCCACCGCTGGTCCCTTGTAGGAATGCACAGACGGCTATGAGTGGGACCCTGACAGCCAGCACTGCCGGGGTGAGTGTGCCTGGGGGACCCCCAGGAGCCGGGAGAGGGTTCGCAGCTGCAGCTCCAGGAGCTGCCCAGGAGGCCAGTGGCCAGTCCTGTGCCCGCTCTGCCCTGCCCTGCGGGGCCAGCTCTGGGTCTTTGGGGCCAGCTCAGCCAGGGGCGGGGAAGCCATCCAGGCCCCTCCTCCTCGGGGAAACCGGGGCACCCTGCCCCCACCTCTCCCGGAGAGCCACAGGCATTGCCCTGGGGGCACCTCCTGGGAGCACTCCTCAGGGGCACACCACCCCCGAGGGCAGGGCAGTGTCTGCAGGAGGGCCAGCAGGCCTGCTCATCTCTCTCGGGCTGAGCCAGGGCCAGAGCTTCTGGGAGGGACAGAGACTCTCAGGGACAAGAGAAGGAGGTGACTGGGCACAGCCACCCCAGCAGCAGCCCTGGCCGGCCGGGGAGGGTCCTGGGCAGGCAGCTTAGCGTGTTGAGCAGAGAGGGAAGCCCTGCCGGGATCACAGCTCAGAGAAGGCCACACGGGCTGCTGCCCCCCCCCCCCCCCACGGGCAGCCCGGGAGACGCCGTGCCCAGCAGGCCCCTCTCCACAGACGTCAACGAGTGCCTGACCATCCCCGAGGCCTGCAAGGGGGAGATGAAGTGCATCAACCACTACGGGGGCTACTTGTGCCTGCCCCGCTCGGCCGCCGTCATCAACGACCTGCACAGCGAGGGGCCGCCGCCGCCAGTGCCCCCCGCCCAGCACCCCAACCCCTGCCCGCCAGGCTACGAGCCCGATGAGCAGGAGAGCTGTGTGGGTAAGAGTCGCCCTGGCCCTGAGGCTGCCAGGCCTCCTACCAGGTGTCTTACAGACTCAGACCTGTTCCTCCCTGCTCAGAAGCCGCCTCCGTCACTGGAACCACACCTGGGCCCTCCCCCAGACCCTCACTTCGTGTGCGGTCCGCCCCAGACGCCCCAGCTCCGGTCCCACTGCCCTGGCCAGCCTGCGGGACCCTCCCCGCCACTGCTGCAGCCGCTGTCCCCTCACCCCTTTCCGAACCGGCCCCCCCCCCCCCCCCCCCCCCGGGCACCATGGCCGGGGAGGAAGGCGGAATCAGCGCTCGGAGGAGCAGGCACAGGGCCTGCTTCCTGCGCTTCCCTGGCGTGGGCTCCCCCAGGCCCGGCTGCCCTTCCCGCTGGCTGCCAGGCTGGGGGGCTGTGTTCTGTGCTGTTGGGAGGGTCTAGTCCACGTGCTCCAGTTTCGGGGCACATCACCCACGTGCCGTGTGAGTGGCTCCTGGCCTGTGTGTCCTCCGAAGGAGGTGCGGGGGCTGAGTGGTGTCTCCCGCAGACGTGGACGAGTGCGCCCAGGCCCTGCACGACTGCCGCCCCAGCCAGGACTGCCACAACCTGCCCGGCTCCTACCAGTGCACCTGCCCCGATGGCTACCGCAAGATTGGGGTTGAATGTGTGGGTGAGTCTGGGGCGGCCTTGCTAGTCTCTGCTCTGTGCCCCTGGCCCGGCTCTCTGCCCAGCCCAGCCCACCTCCAGGCTTCACCCCAGGCCCTGCCGCCTCTCTCACCAGACAGCACAGGTGTATGAGTCCTGCCTGATCTGGGCCCAGCCCAGCCCCCACACACAAGACTGTGGGTGGCGAGACTTACCCTCCCTGCCAGCTTGAGCGCCACCTGACCTCTGCCCCCCGCCCTCCACCCCAGACATAGACGAGTGCCGCTACCGCTACTGCCAGCACCGCTGCGTGAACCTGCCCGGCTCCTTCCGCTGCCAGTGCGAGCCCGGCTTCCAGCTGGGGCCCAACAACCGCTCCTGTGTGGGTGAGGCTGGGCCGGGCCAGGCTCCGGGCCCCGGGCGGGGTGATGCGGGTGGAAGCTCGCCCCTTCCTGACCGGCCCAGGGGAGCGGGTGAAATGGGGGCTCTGGGCTGCTCCTTGGTTTTCACTCCTTTCTTCCTGGCACCCCCAGACGTGAATGAGTGTGACATGGGGGCTCCGTGTGAGCAGCGATGTTTCAACTCCTACGGGACCTTCCTGTGTCGCTGCCACCAGGGCTACGAGCTGCACCGGGATGGCTTCTCCTGCAGCGGTGAGCTCCGCCCTCGTGTTCCTCCCCTGCCCCCTGCGCCATCCTGCCTCCTGCCACCCGGTCCTCCGTCTGGTGCCTCCATGTCCCGCTCATGGCGCACCCCCAGCTGGTTGCATTGCAGGGCTCCTCAGACCTGCCCACCACGGCCCCCAGCTGGTAGGGAAGGCACAGAGGGAGCAGTCAGGCCAGTGGGCAGACTGAGCAAGGGTGTAGGTGGCCTCCTCCTTGTAAGCAGGCGGACCTCATTTGAACCAAGGATTATGACAAGTCACTCTTCTCTCTCAACCCAGTCGTGCAGCTGTAAGATGGGTGGTCTCAGAACTAAGTGGGGAAATGACCACACTCAGGCTTCGTCCAGTCCCCAGCGGCAGCACTGCAAAGTGAATGCTATTTATCCAGAACTTTCCCTGGGCAGGCACTTCCTTCATACACTCGACTTTATTTAATCCTGCTAGCAATCCTATGAGGTGTACGTATAACTTGTTTCCTTTCTCTGCAAAATGAAGACACTGTCTCCCCCAAGGCTTGTTGAGAGGCTGACGAGAAGAGTAAGCATGAAAGGGCCAGGTCTCCACCCAGACTTCTTCCATGTCAGCTGGCCACATACCGTTTATAGAATGCTTTGCTGCCCGTGGGGCCCCATGGGTACTGGCTCGGGCGAGGCAGCGAGAGGGAATCCCACGTGGAAAGCCCGGCTCCTGCTGTGCAGACGCAGTGGCAGGTGCCTGGGCTGGTCGTGGATTGCAGGAATTGGGCAAGTTACTGAGAACCAGAGCCGACTGGGCCTCCCAGGCTCAGCTGGTCTAACTTACTCATTTTATTGACAGGGAAATGGAGGTTTCCAAAACTCAGTAGGAATAAAACCAAGCCTAGTGCTTTCATTTTGTTTCTTCTTTTAGTCCATGAGCTGGGCAGTCTGGCAGACCTTCCTTGGAATTCCTCGTGCCCCTGCGGTGCTTGCATGGCTGTCTCACCCCCCTCCGTCTTCCCGCACGGGACCTGACGTGGGGCTGGGGCTGGGCTCTCGCTGAACGTTTGTGGGACTGATGAGAGAACTGCCCTTGACCCAGAGCTCACCCTCCGCAGATATCGATGAGTGCAGCTACTCCAGCTACCTCTGCCAGTACCGCTGCGTCAACGAGCCAGGCCGCTTCTCCTGCCACTGCCCGCAGGGCTACCAGCTGCTGGCCACGCGCCTCTGCCAAGGTACGGGCTGCCCGGGGGGAGCGGGCTGGGTGGTGTCGGGGGTTAGTGGCCTGATGTCCAGGTTCCAGCCCCTCTCCCCTGGCACAGACGTTGACGAGTGTGAGTCCGGTGCACACCAGTGCTCTGAGGCCCAAACCTGTGTCAACTTCTATGGGGGCTACCGCTGCGTGGACACCAACCGCTGCGTGGAGCCCTACGTGCAGGTGTCCGACAAGTGAGTCACCTCAGGCCACCCCTCCACCCAGGACAACCCCCATCGGGCTCTGCAGCCGGCTGGCCTCTATCAGGGCTGGCCGGTGCCCCGGGGGCTGATGGGAGTTGTAGTCCTTTATGCCCACCATGCGCACTCATTTTGGGGGTGGGCCAGGACCTCATTCGTGTCCCCTTCCCCTGGGCTCCAGTCGCTGCCTCTGCCCGGCCTCCAACCCGCTGTGCCGCGAGCAGCCCTCCTCCATCGTGCACCGCTACATGAGCATCACCTCGGAGCGGAGCGTGCCCGCCGACGTGTTCCAGATCCAGGCGACCTCCGTCTACCCCGGCGCCTACAACGCCTTCCAGATCCGCGCTGGGAACTCGCAGGGGGACTTCTACATCAGGGTAAGCCTTCCCCCTCCCCTCCCTCCAGTGACACGCATCATCCAAAATCAAATTCCGGAAAACCCTAAATGGGAGATTGGGTTATGGCACCAGGCCCCGCCCCTTCTCAAGGCCCCACCCCGGGAGGCGGGCTTTCTGTAGAAAGGTAGGGGGTGTGGAAACTCCCTTGGGACAAACCAGATTGTTAAATGTACTTCAAGGACACACTGGGCTTGCGTTTCCGTATCTGGCCCCAGTTCCTTCGCCCTCAGAACAAGTGACGGACAGGAGAGGACCTCCGGGTTCCAGGCAGAGCCCAGGAAGGACAGCAGGGAGCTGGGCCTGAGAGATGGGGGGGGGGGGGGGGCGTAGTGGCCTTGGGTCAGAGAATCAGCTCTGCTGGGGGAGCGGTTAGGAGGGGGTTCCAGGTGTGAATAGTGAGGGCGCACAGGTTTGTCTGCTTTCAGCCCTTGTTCTTTCTGAAACGGGAAGAGCACGTGACAGAGTTCTGAGGGCAGGAGCCAGGGTACAGGGGATGACACGTCAGGGTGTCATGGCGCCAGAGGACAGCCTGGGACCACAGCCTGGCCGGGGCTCCCTCTGCCTCACAGACAGCTGGTTGTGGGTGCAAAACACGGGGCAGGGAGGGGATGCTGGCCGAGGGTCCTGGCACGAAGGCTGATACAATCTCCGTGCCCCCCACCCACTGTGCCCTGCAGCAAATCAACAACGTCAGCGCCATGCTGGTCCTCGCCCGGCCCGTGACGGGCCCCCGGGAGTACGTGCTGGACCTCGAGATGGTAACCATGAACTCCCTCATGAGCTACCGGGCCAGCTCGGTGCTGAGGCTCACCGTCTTCGTGGGGGCCTACGCCTTCTGAGGAGGGGACAGCTGTCGGAGGGGGAGTCCCTGTAGCCGAGGAGCCTGAGGCTCAGGGAGGACCGCGTTCTGCTAAAAGGGAAGATGCTGTTGTGAAGGGCAGAGGGAGGAAGGCAATAAAGGGAGAAAGAAGGAGTCCTGGTGGCTGAGGGGGCGGGCAATGCTGCAGTGAACCCCAGGCTGGGGAAGGGGCCAGGCTTGTGGGAGGCCGGTCAAGTCCGCCTACAGTGGGGGTTGGCTCAGGCTGAGGGGACCCCTTTGGCAGGAGTTGGGAGCTGTGTCCCCAAGGCTGGGATTGGTCTCTATACCGCGGGTATCAGAGTCATCCTGAAAAGGGAGGACCGAGGTGCAGGCTCCAGGCCGCGGCTGGTGTGCAGGGACCCTGGTTCAGTCCTACCTGGGCCTCAAACTGTCCATTGGACAAACCCTCATAGCGCCCTGGGACTCAGCTTTCCAGTCCATAAAATGAGGCGCTTTGACTGTTAGTGCTTTTTAAACGTTTCTTTTCCAAGCGACAGGACCTTTTATCGGAGGGAGTTTTGTTTGATCGGGGATCGTCTGATGACATAAACTAGATTCAAAGCTGCAGTGTCTCACCGACTCCACTCCCTGCCAGGATCCGTGCTCTCCCGCGAGCTCCATCCTCAGCTGCTCGCGTATCTGACGGCCTGGGCCTGCCCTCCGCACAGCACAGCTGCACACACTCGGGCTCGGTGGAAGCCCTGAGATGCTGGTTAAAGGCTGGCCAGCCTCGATATGGGTGCAGGGTCTGTCTCGGGGCCCAGCTCAGGTCAGGGGGCTGTAGCTGCAGTAGAGCTGGGACAAGGTCCTGCTCAGAGCGGGTCCCAGATTCCTGCATGAGAGGGGCAGGCGAGGTCAGGTCCTGGACCACAGTGACTCCCGCTCCAGCCATCCCCTCCGGGTCTGCCCCGCCTCCCCCATCCCCTCTCTCCCCCATCCCTTCCGGGTCTGCCCCGCCTCCCCCATCCCCTCTCTCCCCCATCCCTTCCGGGTCTGCCCCGCCTCCCCCATCCCCTCTCTCCCCCATCCCTTCCGGGTCTGCCCCGCCTCCCCCATCCCCTCTCTCCCCCATCCCTTCTGGGTCTGCCCCGCCTCCTCCATCCCCTCTGGGTCTGCCCCCTCCCTCCCCCATCCCCTCCGGGTCTGCCCCTCACCTCTGCAGCTGCCCACACTTGACGGTGCTCAGCAGCATCTCCCGCTCCTTGGGGGTGGCACAGGCATCATAGGCGGCCAGCAGGCTAGAGGTGGGGGGAGCGTTTGACAGTGACTGACTGCTGGCCCACTGAGCAGCTTGGCCCAAGCCATGGGAGACCGGTAGGAGGGCTGCACTGCTTTAGGCATCAGGACCCTCCATACTTCCTGTGCCTGGTATTCATGGCTCTGCTCCATCCCACTCGCCCTCCCCTCCTGCTCCAAGTTCTTGGCCCAGTCCCTCCCCCACCCCTGGACCCCCAGGATGCCATCTCTGCCACACCAGGTGGAATGAGACATCCCTCTTGGGGGCTCCCCCGACCCCTGAGATACTGTGTGGTCCTGGCCGGCACGGTCTTCCTCACTATCCAGCCTCCCCCAGGCTCAGCCGAATCTGTCCATTTGGGGCCTGTGCAGCCCTCACAACCAAACCCCCCACAAAGCAACGGCTGAGCAAACCCATGCTGGGGGACCCCAAGGGGCCCTGGGGAGGCCCACCTGGCAGGGGTGCTGTACTGGTCCACCAGGGCTGCCGCCTTCTCCCCGCTCACGCCTCGGACCTGCATCAGCTGCCGCGCGAAAACCTCCCTCACAGACTGGGCCTGGCCGGGGTCAGGGAGGCTGTGAGGGGCCAGCCGGGGCCGCACCACGTTAGGGAGGATGTGGGCAGGGCAGTACCTTGTTTTTGATGGCTCCCGCGTTGAAGTCATTGAAGGTGAGGAGTGAGCAGAGAGGATTCGGGGTGGGCCCAGATCCTGACTCGGGGTCCCCTGAGGTTCCCCAGGGGCGACTGCATAGGGTGTGGCCCTGAGGGGAGAGGGGGCTGAGGCCAGGACAGAGCTCTAGGGAAACCCCCCAGCCAGTCCTTGCCGGGTCCTGGGCCCCAGGGGCCGCCGGAGAAAGGGGGATCTCACTCGCCCAGCCGTCCTAGGGCGCACACACCTGCTCACCTGGTACAGCCTCTCCAGGCCCCGCGTCAGGAGGGCCAGGTAGGCAGCCGACTCCCTGATGTCTGCCGTGCGCTTCACAAAAAAGCCGTCGATGACCTGGGGAGAGGACACGGAGGCGGCTCCGGGCCGGGCCACAGCCCACAGGGCCCCCCCAGCCCGAGGCCCCGCCGCCCGCTCACCTGTGTGTTGGTGACGGCCTGCAGCAGCGTGCTCTCAGGAAGGCTGAGGCCGTGCGCCGAGCCGTGCTCCTCCACCAGGTACACCCGGCGCCCCAGGCCACAGCGTTTCAGCCGGAACTGGGGAAGCCGAGGGGGGCGAAGGGGGAGGGGAGGGGAGGGTGTAAGGCCTGGATGCCCTATGCTGGGCCACCATGTCACTCAGCATCCCCAATCATCTTCTTGTCCTCCCTAGTCCACTTGTCTGAGTGACCTCACACCTTTGTTCCTGCTGCTACTCTGGCATGGCGAGCCTGTCCGCCATCTTTAATGATGCCCGTTCTTCAAGCCTCCCTCAGCCCATCCGTGGTCTCCTGTGGGATCAGCCCAGGAGCCAGTACCGAGAAACAGCGGTTCTGGCTCCTGGGCGTCTGGAACTTTGGGCCTCGTGATGCCAGACTGAAGGGACTGGACGCTCCAGGGGCCTTTAATGTGCTCCTCCGCCCAGCCAGACACCCCGTGCCCCCGCTGTGCCCTGGAGGGCCGGGCAGCTCTAAGGGGTACGGCCGGAGTTGTGGGAACCTGGGCTTCCCCGTGGCTGAGGAAACCCCGGGGCGGGCAGGCAGGGAGTGGGCTCTGAGGCTGAAGAACCTTCTGCTCCCGGAAGCGGCCGTCGATGATGCTGCCGCACAGGTCGTCCAGCCGCTTGCGCTCCACAATGTGGTCCAGGACGAGTTCCCTGGGTCTTGCTGCCGAGAAGGCCAAGAAGGTCCCGTTGGCTCAGGCCCCCCGCCCAGCAGGCCCTGCCTGACAGCCGCCCCCCCTGACAGCCACCCCGCCGCCTGACAACCGCCCACTGCCCACCCCTTACATGGGTCCCTGGGCCGCGTCTCCTGTGCCACCCACACGAAGTCCCCGACGTGCAGCTTGCGCACCACGTGGGCCACGCGCAGCCGCTGCAGCTGGCGCAGCAGCTCAGGCCTGTGCCCCGCCCTGGAGGGGGAAGGTGGGAGGCGGGTCTGGGCAGGCCAGTAAGTAGTAATCCAGCACCCCCGCCCCTCCCCCCCCTCGTCCCCCTCCCTCTCCCTCCTCCTCCCTCCCTCCCCCCCCAAGCACCCCACCCCCCCCCACCCCGCACCCAACTCCTCCCCCCCCAGCCACCCCTCCCTCCCCCCCCCCAGCCCCAGCACCCTCCCTCCCTCCCCCCAGCACCCCTCCCCTCCCCCCAGAACCACCCTCCCTCACTCTCCAAAGTACCACCCTCTCCTCCTCACTCCCCCCAAGCCACCCCCTCCCTCCCTCCCCCCAGCACCCCCTCCCTCCCTCCCCCACCTCGCTCACCCCTTGGCCTCGCCAACATCCACACACAACAGCACCCTGTACTCCCCAGGCCTCAGCTCCAGCGGTGGCTGCTGGGCGCTGCCTTCCCTGGCGCCACTGCAGGGAGGAGGGGGGTGTGAGGCAGAGCTCAGTGCCAAGGCAGTTTCCCTCCAAACCCCGGGCACCTGGTGCAGCCACAGCTCAGCTGTAGGTGATGGAGACAGGGTGGGGTGTGGGCCTCATTTCGGAGACTCCTCCTGCTTCCCCCCCCCCCCCCGGCCCTCCCCCTTCCTCACAGCTCGGCCGAGGCTGGTCCTGGCACCTCTGGCTCCTCCCCAGAGGGCTCCTCCAGCCCAGCGCGCACACTCAGTGAGCCCAGGCCCTCTGCCGCTGCCAGCTTCTGGGCCAGCTCCAGGCCCTGCGGGGTCAGTGAGTACCTGTGGGCGGAGGAGAAAACACAGACCTCCTTCTTCACTCACACCTGGCAGGCTCTCCCTGCCCTCCCCACCCCTTGGCAGCCGCGCAAACGAGGCCAGTGGCTGCCACCCCAACACCCCAGGCTCTGTTCTCAGACCAGCTTCCTCTGGACCAGCCCAGGGCCGTTTTCTTTTTCTTAAATACGTTTTATTGATTTTTTACAGAGAGGAAGTGAGAGGGATAGAGAGCTAGAAACATCGATGAGAGAGAGACATCAATCAGCTGCCTCACTCCCTACTGAGGATGTGCCTGCAACCAACGTATGTGCCTTTGACCGGAATCGAACCTGGGACCCTTCAGTCCGCAGGCTGATGTTCTATCCACTGAGCCAAACTGGTCCCGGCCCAGGGCCATTTCCCAAGTCACGTCTACAATAAGTGTGTCTCAGACAGATTTCCCTCCTCCCAACTTTGTCTATATTGTCCCCTCCTCCCCGGACTGCCCTTCCTGCATCTCTACCCTCTGGATCCTAAGACCTGTCAGATGCTGTGTTCTCAGCAGAGCCTTCCTGCAGGCTTGAGTGTAGATCAGCGCGACTAATAACCCTGGCACCCCCCTCCCTCCCTGCTGGTCTCTCAGACTCTCCTGGTACCCCTCCCCCCCAACTTCAACATTAAGAGACCTGGGGCCGAAACCGGTTTGGCTCGGTGGATAGAGCATCGGCTTGGGGACTGAAGGGACCCGGGTTCGATTCCGGTCAAGGGCATGTGCCTTGGTTGCGGGCACATCCCCGGTAGGGGGTGTGCAGGAGGCAGCTGATCAATGACTCTATCTCATCGATGTTTCTAACTCTGTCTCTCTCCCTTCCTCTCTGTACAAAATCAATAAAATATATTAAAAAAAAAAAAAAAAGAGAGAGAGACCTGGGGACTGCTAGGCGACTGCAGGCCCCACCCAGAACACCACACACGATCCCCTCCCACCGCTCGGGCCCGCGCCGCCTGTCGCTGACCCACCTGGCGGGCTGGTGTGTCCTGCAGACCAGGTTCCTGTGGAGGAGGGAGCGGAGGGCTGGCCAGGGTCCAGGGCTCCCAGGGGCCACCTGTCCACAGAAGGGAGACCTTAGAGGGCCCTGGTGCTGCCGGGGGTCCGAGGCCACTGCTCCCAGGAAGGGCAGCCTCTGGCGGGCCCAGGGTCAGATCCAGAGCCACTGGGCCCGTCCCCCTCAGTGCTCACCCCAGGAAACTCCCGGGCACACCTCTGCAGCAGCTCCTCCTTGGTTAGGGAGCTGTGGCCGCCGGGATCCTGTAACCAAGGCAGAAAAGTAACCAGAGGCGGCTCAGTGTCTCCCAGGCCCCCGCCGCTCCTCGGTTCCCTCCGGTGCCGGGCCTCACCAGGTGCTCGCGGTGGAGCAGCAGCAGCACTGCTCGCGCTCCCGAGTGCCGGGCTGGCCAGTAGCTGCCGGAGCGCCCCGCTTTGGGCTGGGACGGACCCTGAAAGGCACAGAGGGGCTCTGATCACAAAGCCAGAGAGCCATGCCCTGTAGACGGAACGCCTGGCCGGGCCGAGGTTCCGGGGTCCTCTCAGCACGGCCCTGGCCAAGTCCTCAGCTGCCCCTCCGGTCCCACATCTGTCAAAAAGGCCAGAGGACGGGAGGCAGGGGAGGGCTGTGGGGAGATGGTGTAGTGGACCTGGTCCAGCCTCAGTCCCACCACCCACTGCAGGACAGAGGTGGTCGCACAAGAAAACTCAGGGCCGAAACCGGTGTGGCTCAGTGGATAGAGCGTCGGCTTGGGGACTGAAGGGACCCGGGTTTGATTCCGGTCAGGGGCATGTACCTTGGTTGCCGGCATAACCCCAGTAGGGGGTGTGCAAGAGGCAGCTGATCGATGACTCTCTCTCATCAATGTTTCTGGCTCTCTCTCTCTCTCCCTTCCTCTTTGTACAAAATCGATTAAATATATTAAAAAAGAAAAGAAAAGAAACCTCAGGAACACCAACCCCCACAATTCACTGGGCGTGGCCTCCTCAACAGCCTGATCATGGAACTCTCCCAACTGACTCTACTATCAATCAACATACTCATCGGCAGGTGAGAAAACTAAGCACCAGGAAGATACTCATGTGCCCAAGGCTGGGCACCACTGGTGGGGAGATCTGCCCCTCTTACTTCCGTGCTAGTGCTGCCCTCTCCCCTTCCCCATCCTCACTGGCATGGGGGCCTCCGGGGCTTCGGCAGGTGGCCATTCCGGGGCTGGATTCTCAGCTCCAGGTGAATCTGGGGCATGATCACCTGCGGGAGCAGAAGAGAGTCACCCCCAGGCCCCACAGAATCCAGAACCCCAGCAGGTGGGAGGGTTTGGGACACCGCCAGCTCGGATGGTAGCTGAGAGCAATGCGGTTCCGAGAGAGCCGGCCACGAGTCCAACGACCAGCAGTGACCTGGACGGGAGTGGGGGTTAGGGATGCCAGGGGGCTGCGAAGGCTGCGCCGTGGGAGGCTCAGGGCCCGCCGCCCCCTGCGTCCCGCGCTCACCGCCCGAAGACCGGTGCTGCCGCAGCCGCTGGTCCAGCATCCGGCACAGCCCGTCCCCGAAATGCCGCAGGATCTTCGCTTCTTTGCCGCTGCGCAGGGGGAGCGGGTAACGCCGGAGCGAGCGCAGCGCCTGGCGGGGCACGGGGACGGTACCGGGTCGGGGCGGGCCTGGGCGTCAGGCTCCGCCAGCTCCTGCCCCATCAGGCCCCGCCGAGACCCACCTTTTGAAATACGAATTGTGTGCGGCGCCCCCTGCTGGCCGCCTCGTCCCGCCACTCGGTCAGCCAGCGGACGAAGAGCGGGTTGGGGCAAACCGGCAGCGGGCGCTTCCGGCCCAAGCGGACCGGCGCCGCCATGAGCCCCCAGACGGGTCCTTTGGCGCCTCTAGCCGGTGGGGCGGGGGCGCCGCCCGTTGCAGAGGCGGGATTCGAACGCCTGGCTGAGATGGGCGAGGGCGGGGCCTCGCTGTCCGACGAGGGTCACTAACGAGCGAAGAGCCTCCTGCGGCCCTCCCCTCCCTGCACGGCAGAGACTCCCCGCACTCTCCCCCCCCCCAGCCCATTCAGCCTTTTGGACGCGCCCCACCCGGGCCGGAGCCTGACCCCGGCCCTTGTCCCACTACCGGTCCTAGAGCGGCCTGTGTGCAGGCGGGGGGACAGCGCCCCCCTGTGGCCCGGAGGGCTGGCTGGGCGGCGCTTAGCCGGGTAACCCGAGGCTGTCAGTTTGGGCCTCTCCGCAGCGAGGAGGCCGGAGAGAGAAACCGGGCTCGGGAAGGCAGGCAGGTGGGGGTGGGGGGCAAACAGGTGCAGGCACGTTTCCAATAGGGATGTCTAGGAAGGTGTACAGGACACAAGGACGCACAAGCAAGGCAGGAGGAGCTGAAGGACCCTCTGAGGGAAGGGTGGTCCCGAGCCGGGGCCGAGGAAACGCCCCAGGGCCATGGGGGAGGGGAGGGGTGCGACGTCGAGGACGCGCAGGGGAGGCCAGAGGACGGTGGGCGGGGGACAGAGCGAGGGCAAGCAGAAGGGGAACAAGTGAGGAGTGCTGGGCACCCTGGCAGGGGCGGGGGTGGTGGCCGGGATCAGCAGGTGGTTGGATTTGGAGGAGCAGGTACGAAGCAAGACGTGGGTGGAAGGAAACACTTTGACGTCTTAGCGATTCATTGGACCCTCAGTGGGGTTTAAGATGGCATCTACACAAAGGGGCCCCATGTTCTTGTGTTAAGTGTTTAGCAAATTCACGAGTGGGAGCACCAGGGTCCGGGCCGGGGAGTTGGAGCAGCCCCCAGCAGCAGTACCGGAAGTCACGAGATACTGGCTCCGGTCGGCCTCCCCTCCAGACTCCGCCCAGCCGCGACCCCACTCCTCCAGCCCACTCAGAATTCCCGCCTCCCTCCCGACGCTGCCTTATAAGGAGCCTCCAGCCAGCGTTAGGGCTGGTCCCGCCCCCTCCAGGCTCTTGTCCTAATAAGGACATCTAGGGCATCCCGCGGCTGGGGCGGGCGGGAGCGTCTCCTGGGTAACTGCGATATCGCCCTTCCCCTCCCCGTTGCTCTTGGAAACTCCCAAGGCTTAAAAAAGGTGGAGCCAGCTTCTTCAGGCTGGGTCGCTAGCGAGAGTCTGGGGTCGAACTGTGGCCTTCACCGGCGGGTAGTGGGCGGTGCGGCTCGAAGTCCCTGACTACAACCCCCGGCATGCTCTGCGAGAAACCCCACTCGGGGCACTGACCCCCAGATAATGAAAACCCGGCTTCCACTTGTGAGTTCAGTAGTCCTGGTTCGCCTGTTCGCGACCCTGTTTTCTCTGCCTGCACACTGAGGCCGGGGACATGGTTCGAGGCCAACAAAATCTTTCCTTTTTTTGTGACGCTTATGTTCCTGCAGAGCTTGTCTCAAGTTTTGTAGGTTTAATCAAATTCCTGGTTATTAACATGAAAACAAGATTTATTAATATCTATTCCCACTTTTGGCTGTCTAGCAAAAGGCGCATAATCCTTGAATTTAATGCACAAAACCCCGCCCTTCTCCCTTTATTGCCTCGTGAACTTGCCACACATTTAAAAGAAGAACAAAGCTATTTATGACATTTTCCTTGTAGCCTTTCCCTTATTTTCCCCTCTTATTTTGTTTAAGTTGTATATGGTGTCTTCTCAGGAGACAAGACTGTCTTTGCACCATATGGAGAGTGCCCGATGAATGTTTATTAGATTGAAGGCGCCTTATACTTGCGATACTCCTTGCTCGAGGGCTGGATTCCAGGCCAATGAATAGGTACTTAGGAAAATGCTAACTCACTCAAAGTTTTCGAACCTAAAAGTGCCAACATAGTTCTTAAGAAAAACCGTTTCGCAAAAGCCGGAAAGTCTGGGCTCTTTTTCGGGTCTATTAAGAAGCGCGGACATCTTTCTCCGCTCATAGTGTTTCCTGGTAAACTCGACCAATAGGCGTGCGCTCCGTGCCATAGCCCCGCCCCCGCAGGACTACATTTCCCAGGATGCAACGCGGTCGGCAGACGAAAAAGACTGCAACGCAGCGAGCCAGAGGACGGCGCGGGACCCTCGGACTTCATTTCCCGTCGGCCCGCAGAGGGAGCGCCGGAAGCCAGCCCCGCCCCTCATTGTGCGGTTCATACTAAACGGAAGGGGCCGGGAGAGGCCGCGTTCAGTCTGATCCCGGCAGCAGCTGCAGCGGCTCTCGTCCTTCCAGGCTCTACTTGCTATCTCCTTTAGCTTCCGGAAACATGGTGAGCGCTAGGCTACGATGCTTAAGGGGAGGCGGCTGCGAATCGGTCTTCTGCGCGCCCGGGAGGTAACGGGGGGGAGGGTGAGGGGCGCCGACATCGGCACCCCCTCCCCCAACTCCTCCAGCGGGATGAGGGTCTCGCTGAGGGGCGGGCGGCCTTGGGGTGCGCGTGCGCGCCCGTGGGCGCAGGGGAGGGCCGGCTTCGGTGCCGCTCGCGCGCCCCCTGGGCTCCCTTCCCCTCCCCCACCCCGCTGTGCGCCCGCGCGGGCACCGGCCGTGGGGGAGGGGTCCGGGCGCGCGTGCCCGCCCCTCGTGGAGCAGCCTGTGTCGCGCGCCGCGGCGGGGCCCGAGGGAGTCGGCTCACGGGGACGCGCGCTCGACGGGAGCACGCGGCACCCAAACCCCCCCCTCCCGGGGGCGGCGGAGGAAAAAGCGCGCGAGCGGTCTTGGCGCGCGCGCCCCACCCTAGGGCTGTTCCTGTCTCCGCGTCACCCTCCCGAGGCCGGCGGGTCTGCCCAGAGCAGGTGGTGGGGATGCCTACGCCCCGGAGGGGCTGGGCCGCGGGGGCCGGGCGCGGGCGCCTGCGATGAGGGGATTGCTGGCCCGAGCTCCCTGTGCGCACCCCGCACAGCCGCGGCCCTGCTTCGGGGCGAGCGAGCCCACAGCGAGCCGCGTTCGCCGCCGGATCCTCCCGCAGAGGCTGGAGCGGCGCTGGCGGTTGGCGCGTGCGCACACGCTCGGGGCTGGCCGCTCGGCCCAGAACCCTGGACGAGCGGGGCCGTCGGCTTTCCCGGATGGCCCGGAGGGTGGAGCCTGGTTTAGGGAAGTGACCCAGGCGGGCACCGCCCGGAAACCTCCCGTCCCCTGTGCTCGGCCCCAGGCTGCGAGAACAGAAGGTCTTGTAACTTGCCTACGGGGCTGAAATGCCGGTCGGCAAGGGCGAGTTTTTGGGGCGGAGACCCTGTAAGTGCTGCTGCCTTTGGGTTTGGGGTTACTCGAAGGAGGCCGAGCCTGGCTGATGTCGTTTCTCCGCCTACTCCGGAAGCGGCCGGTCACGTGGTCCACTTCCTCTGCAGTTCCGGGCGGGGCCGAGGCCGATGTCTCCGCGGACAGCCCTTTCCGGGTGCCCCCCACCGCGACCCCTCTTAGGAGTTTGGAGGGCTTTGACGTTTGGGGGCGCTTAGCTTGGCCTGTTTACTTTGATCACCGACCTTTGAGCCTGTATGTCTTCCCAGAGGACAGGGAGTTGCCGGTAGGGCCGGAATTAGGGGTTGTAATTTTTGCTCTGGTTGAGGAAGACCCCAGCAGAGAAGAGGGCAACTTGTGCAATAACTGTATTGAGCACTTCTGGTGACCTCTGCAGAACTGTTGAGCACATTTGGTGTCCCATCTAGCATTGTGGAGTGTCTGTGTCCCCTCCGTCCATCTGAATCAGCACTTTTATCCAAAAGCTGAGATTGAGTACTGTGAGTAGGAAACGAGTCAGCTGTGGAGTCTTAATTCTGTGCTAATGTCTCAACTAGGGCTCTGCCTCCCACAGGTCTTTAAGGGTTAGCCTGGAAGGTGTCGGGGGAGGATGGTGCTGAATCAGGTGATCAGAAGTCTCTTCCATGGCTGCCATCCTGGAGTTGTGTCCCATCTGGTTCTTTGAGAGTGGCTTGCGTGGGAAAACAGGGTCCCTTGTTTTGGGAAGAGGATGCTGAGGACTATCCTGGCATCCAGGCGGAAGTCCTAAGGAAGCAAAGGAGGGACTTCAGGGGGAGTCCCAGAAATATTCCTTATGAGATGTGTGTGACTTGTCTCTCCCACCCCAGGCCTCTGGCGTGGCTGTCTCTGATGGAGTCATCAAAGTGTTCAACGACATGAAGGTACGTAAGTCCTCCACACCAGAGGAGGTGAAGAAGCGCAAGAAGGTGGTGCTCTTCTGCCTTAGCAAAGACAAGAAGAACATCATTCTAGAAGGGGGCAAGGAGATCCTGGTCAGTAATGTGGGCCAGACAGTGGATGACCCCTACGCTACCTTCGTCAAGATGCTGCTGGACAAAGACTGCCACTATGCTCTGTATGATGCAAACTATGAGACCAAGGAGAGCAAGGAGGACCTGGTGTTTATCTTCTGGTGAGCTCCTCAGCGCAGGCACCTCGGTCCCCTGTCCTAGCTCTGCCTTTCTCGGGACTGGAATCTGTGGCTCCTGATTAACCGAGGTGTGGGTCTTGGGGGAAGGAGAACACTTGTGGCTGAGGAACTTGGTAAAAGCTTGAATGCTAGGGGCAAGCCCAGGTATTTTCCGGAAGTCACCTAGAGCTTGAGGACTCTTCCTAGACTCGGAGCGGGCTTTGCTGCAAGTTTTTATTTCCCTCCAGGGCCCCTGAGTCTGCGCCTCTCAAGAGCAAAATGATCTACGCCAGCTCCAAGGATGCCATCAAGAAGAAGCTTACGGGTAAGGGCCACATGCGCTTCCGCTCATCCTGGTTGCAGGGCGGGTGCCTGGGCATAGCAGAGGTGGCTCTGGCCCCTCTCTCCCACCTGTTTGGAAGGTAACCTTGTCCCTTCCCTCTGTTCTGATCGGCTCCTTCCGTCTCCCCCACAGGGATCAAGCATGAGCTACAAGCAAACTGCTACGAGGAGGTGAAGGACTGCTGCACTCTGGCGGAGAAGCTGGGGGGCAGTGCTGTCATCTCCCTGGAGGGCAAGCCTTTGTGAGCCCTCTCCAGCCCCTGCCTGGAGCATCTGGCAGCCCCACACCTGCCTGTGGGGGGTTGCAGGCTGCCCCCCTTCTGCCAGACCGGAGGGGCTGGAGGGATCCCAGCAGGGGGAGGGCAATCCCTTCACCCAGTTGCCAAACAGCCCCCCACCCCCTGGACCTTCCTTCTCCCTCCACCCCTGACGGTTCTGGCCTTCCCAAACAGCTTTTCATCTTCTGATTCCTCTTGGGTTGAAACAGACCAAGTCCTCCCCACCCCAGGCACCCCAGTTTTGGAGAGGGCCTGTATTTTTTTTAACGACACCCCTACTTGCAACCTGTTCCTCCCCCCCTTTCCCATGCTGCCAACTTCTAACCGCAATAGTGACTCTGTGCTTGTCTGTGTAGTTCTGTGTATAAATGGAATGTTGTGAACATAACCCTTCCCCATGCTGCCTGGTTCCCCTCCCCCTTTCCACGTGGTCTTGGCCACTCATGGAAGCAGGACCATAAGGGACCCTTAATTAAAAAAAAAAAAAGGAAGAAAAACAACAATAAAAAGCCTCACTTGATTAAAGGATGTTTGTTTCCGGATTGGGGTCCAGGGGATCTTGTGGGGGCCATTGGCTAGGAGAGTGAGCAGAATCTTCTCTCTGTACCTCTGCCCTGGCAGATTTGGCTCAGACTGAAGGGTTCAGGGATTGATTATGTACACAGGCATGCACCTTGGTTGCAGGCTTGGTTCCTTGCCCTGGTTGGGGTGCCTGTGGGAGGCAACCAATCTCTGTGTCTCTTGCATCAATGTTTGCCTAGACCTTCCCCCTTCCTTCCACTCTAGACATCAATGGGAAACATCCTTGGTGAGGATTAACAATTTTTTTAAACATCACCCTGACTGGTTTGGCTCAGTGGATAGAGCATCAGCCTGCAAACTGAAGGGTCCCAGGTTCGATTTTGGTCAAGGGCATGTACCAGTAGGGGGTGTGCAGGGCAGCTGATGGATGTTTCTAACTATCCCTCTCCCTTCTCTGTAAAAAAAAACCAAAATATACAAAAATAAAAATAAACCTTACCTCCAACCAGCCCCACACCCTCATCTGGCCTCCGTACCTGGCCAAGTCTCTCCTGACAATTTCCACTCACACTACAGGTGGTGTCCCCGCTGGTACCAGACTGGCTATTTAGGAGGCACCTGAGCCAGGATATATCTGCAGGGGGCCCTCCAGCAGAAGGTGCTTTATGTCTGAACTTTCTTCTGTAGCCTTGACCCTGGTGGGTGACTGGGCAGTGAGGCTCCTCAATCCTGTGCTCAGTCCTTCCCGACGGGGGCTGTGAGATGGCAAGTCACAGGTTACCCTGTGACTCTCTCCTTCAGAGTTATTTTTGCTGTTTTCGCTGCCTTCCCTGGATGGCTGACTTACGAGGGCTGGGTCCAGTGGCTGCTGAGTCAGAAGCCAGGTTGAGCCTTTGGCCTGCTGGAGGCCAGGGTGGGGCTAGCCAGGTGAAGCCAGAACTTCTGACACGGGTGTCTTGAGCTCCTTCCGTGTTTAATCAAGGGAGGTGTTGGCTAGCGATTGAGACCTTTTGCCAGCAGTGCTCCGGCTCTCCAGCCTGTACTTTAGGCTTTACCCTGCCCAGCAGGGAAAGGTATCTGAGAAGTCCTAAGAGTGGTAATGTGGGATTTATATCCCTCTCCATTCCAGTCTGAAAGAGCCTAGAGTTGGGCCTGATTCCTTAGAACTTTCTTGTATCTGAGGGAGGCAGGAAGGGGTAGTTCCATTTTACTACTTAGAAATGGGTATGGAGGATTTGTCATACGTGGTCCATTCCTTGTCTGGCCCTGGATTCTAAGTACTGGGTCTTGCACCTTTCCATGGAATCTGCTGGTGCTCTGGAAAATGGCTGAGGATGCTTGCTGTGGGGTGCTCCCTGTTCCCCCAGGATCTGGTCTCCACAGTGCCCCCTGGTAGAGGGTGTGCCTGGTGGGCCCTGAAACTGGGAAGGGAAAGCAGGCCTCTGTTACAAAACCAGCCTCTGAACAGACTGCTCTGCTTGCTTGTGGACAAGTATGGTACCCATGCTCCCATATTGGCAGGACCTAGCACCTGGCATGGGTGGGGCGTGAGCTTGTCTGCTCTGGGGGTTGTGGGCATTGGCCAGTGGCTGCTGTGGGTGGGGAAGGAGGCATCTTGCTGGGATGGGAGGTCTGGGAGATTTGTCATTAAATTTCTCAGATCAGGATCTGGCTGCTCTAAGGCTTCCCTTGAGGGTGACAAAGTGTTCCAGAGAACAGGGTGACCCTGCAGAGGAGCAAGGTCCTGGATGGCCCTGGCCTGTGCCACCACCAGGCGCCCTGAGACAGGGTATTGCTCTTCATGTACCTCAGATAACTTTCCCCCATCTCTGTCCTCAACAGTAACAGTTGCCATTTACTGAGGCTTTGTTAAGGGCAGGGTCCTGGCCCAAGATTGGAAAACACGCCCTGAACCGCATCTGGGACTGCTCAAGGCTGCTCTCAGACACCTGGAAGAGAACCTAGGTGGTTGGGAGCTGAGGTAGCAAGAAGGCTCAGCGAGGCTGGAGGGCTCACCTTGGCTGCTTGAGCTCCAGCCCCCGCCTCCCCCAACTTTGTGGCAAGAGGAGAGAAGTACATGAGTCTGGAAAGGGGCGGGGAGAGGAATGTGGCTTTCAGTCCCTGTCCCTGGTTCCTGGTGCATGCCTTGGCATTCTCATAATTGGCCAGGACCCCAGCCACTGGTACAGCAGGTCCTGGGGCCAGCAGGCACACAGGATCACTAGCTCACTGACCTTCCCTCCTTGGCTGCTCTAGTCCCACTGGCCTCTAGTCCCACATCTCACCTTGGCTGCCTGTAAGTCTCCCAGTGTCTACCATGTCTGACAGCTTTAGGTTCTTGCCTGAGGCCTCTTGGCCCTCCACCTTGTGAATCAGGAAGGTGGCTGAGGAGGGAGCTTGCTGAGGGTTGGGGGCTATTACTCCTATAAATACCCATCATCATGTGATAACTATTAGGTGAAACCCTGATGTTCAGGGAGCAGGCCAGGGAAGGCTTCACACATGAGGCGGGACCTGATCTGGATCGCGGGGGTTGAGTAGGAATGAGACGACAGCCAAAGGATTTGCTGGTGTGCAAATCTGGTATGTGCTTGGGTAGCCAGAAGTTCAGTGGGAACCCTTGGATGGCAGTGGCCAGTTTGCTTTATGTCTTGGGCAGTTCCTGGAAGGGACAGGGTCACTGAAGGGTCTTGAGCTGGGAAGAGATGTGGTCCAACGCATTGTAGAAAGACTGGCCCACTCCCGTGACTCGGAGAAGAGCAGAAAGAGTAGATCTGGGGCAGGAGGTTGGCAGCACAGTGCAGTCTGCCAGGCCTTCATCAACACACACACACACACACACACACACACACACACACACGAGGCTGGATCCCTGTCTCCACTCACCTCTTTATTAAACTAGTCAGGAGGAGAAGTCAAGAAGTCGTGAAGATTCCAAAATGATCCTGGACTTCCCCCATTCCCAGGATTCTTCCCTGATGGGATCTTTGTGTGGCCTTCCGATGCAGGAGCAGGACTCAGTCTTCCAAAGAACTCTGCCAATGGGAGGCAGCTCCTAAGAGGCATGGGGAGGACTTAGGGCAGGGCCTTACATGGATGCTTAAAGCTTCCCTGTCCTTGCCCACCCTTGGGGAAACTCCCTGTCATGTTTCCCAAATCCCAGGAAGCACTCTGCAAACCCCCCCTCCAGCAGATACACAGCGGCTGCCACAGAGGAACCTGCAGAGAAAGGGCAGCAGGGGGGCGAGAGGGAATCCTCACATTGTTAATTTAAATAGATTTTTGTTGATTTCAGAGAGGAAGGGATAGAAACATCAATGAAGGAATCGTTCATCAGCTTCCTCTTGCATGCCCCCTACTTGGGGTCAATCCCACAACCAGGGCATGTGCCCTGAGGGGAAATTGAACTGTGACCTCCCAGTTCATAGGTCAACACTCAACCACTGAGCCACGCCTGCTGGGCATGTCTCACCTTTTTAGCTGGTTGACTTCCTGTGTTCCCAGACAACTTAGTGAAGCCGAGAAGGGACAGAATTGTCTGCCAGGCCTCCATCAGAACCCGTGGGTCTGCATGTCAAGCTTCACCTCTGCTGTGTGTGGCCATGGACAGAGACACAGGGCTTCTCACTCTCTTCTCTCCTGGGGAACAAAACCACCAGGAAGAGGGGGCAGGGAATCCAGGGCCCCTTGGGCCCCGTGTACACTTGTGGGGTTGCATGACTCAGTCTTCTCACAGGCAGGCATCCTGGATGTGGGTGTGGTACTCCAGCAGGAAGGTCCTCTTGGTCAAAGAAGTGATCCACCTAAGGGAGTAAGATGAAAGCCACTGTGACCGAGGGCATGGCACCACACAGACAACCAGGCCCCACAGTGGCTTTCCTCCCACAAGCGGGGAGGGTATGATGTTGGGGTGGGTATTTGCACCTCCCACCCCAGGCACATGCCACTGGCAGAGCTGATGAGTGGCTTGAGCCTGCCTACAGCCCTGTCTCTCACCCCTAAGGGTGGCCCCTGTGCTCTAGCCCAGCTCATATCCTGGCTGTATTCCCAAAGTCAAGTGGTTTTGCCGCAGGGCGGGGTGGGCCTCCAGGCGCTGCAAACACTTCCAGCATCACAACTGTCTCGGGCTTTGGCACTCTGGGGACCACTATTCTGACTTCTGTCACCATAGATCTTGAACTTCATAAACATGCAATTGTCCGGTATATCCTTCTTTGTGTTCATGTTCTTTGCGAGACACACACATGTTGAGTGCAGTGGCTCTTTTTCATTGCTATGTAGTATTCCATTATATGAATATTTCCATTCTACATTCACTCAAGTTTGTGGTTATTATGAATAAAGCTACCATGAACATTTTTGTATGTCTTTTGAGGGACCTAAGTACTAATTTCTTTGGGTATGAGAATTGCTTGGTCATAAGGAAGCCATGTGTAAAATGGCTTTCATAGATAATTTTCCAACATAACTGTACTAATTTATACTTCTGCCAGCATTGTATGGAAGTTCTAGTTGCACCACATCCTTGCCAATACACAGAGAGCTGTTAGTCCCTTTTATTTTAGCCAAACTGGGGTGGTAAGATAATAGCACACTACTATCCCTGGAGAGGAATGACCTTGAACGCCATTTGGATATCTTTTTTTAAAAAAAATATATTTTATTGATTTTTTACAGAGAGGAAGGGAGAGAGAACTAGAAACATTGATGAGAGAGAAACATCAACCAGCTGCCTCCTGCACACCCCCTTCCGAGGATGTGCCCACAACCAATGTACATGCCCTTGACCGGAATCAAACCTGGGACCTTTCAGTCCGCAGGCCGACGCTCTACCATTGAGCCAAGCCGGTTTCGGCTGGATATCTTCTATTGGTAAAGTGGCTATTCGAATCTTTTGCTACTCCCCCAACCTTTTTAAAATGCTATTCTTATTGATTTGTAGGAACTCTTTATATGCACTAAAGACAAGCCCTTTGTCAGGTATATTTGTTGCCATTATTTCCTACTCAATGGGTTGCCTTTTTACTCTTTTAATGACTTATAATTGACAGGCTCAATATGTCAGATTTTCCTTTTATGATTTAGGATTTTTGTGTACTCTTGAAGAAACTTTTGCTTACTGCAAGGTCATGTAGATATTCTATTTTTCCTTCTAGAAATTAATAATTTTAGCTTTTATATTTATGCCTATGATTCGTTTTCAATTCATTTTCTATGTAATTTAGGTTTTGATTCATTTCTAACATATAAACAACCAGTTATTTTAACACTTTTTTCTAAAACACTGTGCTGCCCTCGCCTGTGTGGCTAGGTTGGTGGAGCGGTTTCTCGTAAACCACAGCTCTCCCTCCTTACCCCTCAGCCACCTCACTATGTACGTGCCTCCAACCTTCAAAAGTGTGCACCTCAACAAGTGTAGATGCTCAACAGCTTTTTGTTGAATGAAGCGAAGCGGAAAGAAAGATGCAATGATCTTATGATTATATGAACGGGGATACAAAAGTGAAGCTGTGAGCGCTGAACAGGATTCCCCCCCACCATGGGGAGGAGGGAAGGGTACTCTAGCTCCTTTTCCATCCCTAATATCTCTCTCTCCTCTTCACCAAACCAGCATGAGTCCGTCCTGGGGAAATAAGGAGTGTGAGGGACGATGACAGGTCCCTTTCCACCTGTAAGGACAAAGTAAACCCTGCTTCCTTTGGCATCCTCACCAGTCCCCTTGCAGGGGCCAGAGGCGCCCCAACCTCTTGCTCATGCATGCGCGCACACACACCGCCCTGACCCTGACTGGGTATCATTGTGAGGTTTGCATTCTTTCTTTGCCTTGTTCTCCTTCCCAGCCTCTTTTTATTGATTTTTTTATTTTTTTATTTTTTTTTAGAACGAGGAATGGAAAGGGATAGAGAGATAGAAGCATCGGTTGCCTCCTGCACATATCCCTACTGGGGACTGAGCCCGCAATAACTGGGAATCAAACCAGCGCCTCCATGGTCCCTGGGTCGACGCTCACCCGCTGAGCTACACCTCCCCGCCTCTTGGTGCTCCTCCATCACTCTCCTCCGCTGCCCCACACAACGACCCCGCGCCTGGCCGCTGCCCGCGCGCTCCCGCAGCCTGGGCCCGGGCTGCTCGCCCCTAGGAACGGGCCAAGCGGAGAGAGACTCCCCCAGCTGATGGAGACGCCCTTCCCCTCGCCGCCCAGGAGGAGTCACCTGGAGTCGGGCGTGGTTCCCACCCATTCCTCCCGCCCCCGCCCCCCAGTCTTGTCTTTGATTGGGTAGCAGGTTTATCGTGCGCGACGCCATTGGCTGCAACGCCTGTCGTTTCCTGTGTCCAGGCCTCCGCTTTTCAGGGGGATCGCGGAACAGAGAGGGCCCGGAACCAGCGCCAGCGGGGGCGCCGGGGCGCGGGGCGCCGGACGCTGAGGCCTCGCGCCACGGCAGCCGCGCCCCCAACCCGCCGCCCCGCCCCCAGCCGGAAGCCCCGCCCCCAGCCCGCCGTTCGGGACGCGCCTTGCGAGGGTCTCGCGTGGTCTGCGCGTGCGCACTAGCCCATCGCGCCCCCCACCCAGTCGGTGGGCGGGCGGCGGGCGGCGGGCGGCGGGCGGGCGGCTAGGTGGGGAGGTGGGGGGCGGGGGTAGGGGTGGGGTGGGAGTGGGGGAGGTAATGGGGAGGTGGGGAGGGGGCTTTGGGCTGCGGACGAGGCCGAGGACTGATGTTTGTGGAGAAGGGGCTTCCGTTTGGACTGCCGCTCTGGGACCCGAGGGAGCGGCGGGCCAGGCCGCCCCGGGAGGCCAAGGGGCGCCGCAAGGCCTGCGTCCAAGGCCCGGCCCGGGTCCGCGAGTGCTTCTACCCGGAGCTGGAGCGCAGAGCGTCCCCGGTGCGAGAAAAAATGTGGATCCCCTTTGGCGCGCTCGTCGTGATTGGGAGGAAAATGGAGCTGCTGGGTAGAAACAAGAAAAAGCGGAAGTTTGAGGAAACGGTCTGGAAAACCAGGCCGGGCCTGAGCCAGGAGAGGAACGTGCGGCTCCTGCACCGGCTCGTCAGCGTGTTAGGGTCCTCGGTCGGCCTGGCGAAAAGGATCCCCAGGGAAGTGTGGGGGAAGCCGGAGGAAGCCAGGCGCAGGACGAAGGCCGAAGTTGGGAGTGCAGGGACGAGGAGGCTGACGTGGCTGAAAGAGGCGCCCCGGGCTCCTAGGGCGAGGATCAGCAAAGAGGACGTGAGGTCCAGAGGGTACAGACCCGGGCAGAATGAGGAGCTGAGCATAAGCGGAGGGAAGGTGAAGTTGAGTGAAAGAGGCAGCGATCCAGAGAGAAGCAGTGATCTAGCAGAGAGGATTTGAAGGTTTTGAGAATGGAGAGCGTAAGTGAAGATAAAATTGCAAATGAGGCAGGGAGAGAGTTCCGGACGCTGAGATAGAAACTGCTTTGGAAAGGGCGGGAAGGAATGGTGAACTGGGAGACTGAGGAAGGGGCGGAAGTTGAGGAGGATGTCTTGGTGGAGTAACGGTGGCACAGACGCATCTGCTTCTATGGGAAAGAGAGAGGCTAGAGATGAAGCTCCAGGCGAACGAGACAGATGAAGGGTTGAAGCCAAAGAGGGAAAGAAGCAGAGGAAGCATTGCAAGTCAAGGAGGAGGAATCAGAGCCCAGCAGAACATCACTGACCCCGGAAGAGTAAATCTGAGAGGAAAGGAAGCATCAAAGCCTGAGACGGAGTGAAGAGCTACCGGGGTGAAGGCAGAGACCAAGACCAAAGGGAACAGGAAGAGTGCTGAAGGAGATGGGAACATTTTGAGGAGAAAGAAAATATTTGATAATGTGTTAATGCGTAAAGAAACATTGGGTGATCGTTTCTCGGAGAAGAGCTGTAACCAAGGAGCTTGTAGAGAAATATTTGAGAAATGGATTTGGGGTGGGCTATGGGATTTGGTTTGCATAGGAAGAATGCAGTGAGAAAAATGGAAAATTGCAGCACGATAAAGGATAAATAATGAAGGCTGTGGAGAAAGATACAGGTTAAATAATGAAGTTTGTCAGAGCAAGCAGAGAAAACATCTGAACGAGGATCCTAAAAGATGGACGAGGGTCTCCACAGAGACAAAAGCAGGAAAGAGATAAGAAAAATAAATGAAAAAAAGTAAGAAGCCAAATCTCATAATAGTGATTACGTGTTTGGGTTTTAAAGTCATTTCATTCACTGTTTCTGTACCCTCCTCTCCCGTGTAGCCTATTTAATAATCTAATGGAACAGGCCTCTCACAGGGCCTGTATATCTGGGCCAAGCCCATCCTCATTGGTCTTCCCTCTAATTATTCTCCACTATCCTGTAATTTCCAAGTTGTTGCTCTTATAAACCCAGTTTTGAATAATTGCTGGGCTCCACTATTTTAATCTCTTCACCATGACCGCCATTTCCACAGGTTTCCTCCTCAGCACCTCCACAGCAAATCTGAATTGCTCATCTTGATTTGAAGTTGTCTCAACTATTTGTATTGTTCATCTTTGATTTTTAATTATTCACATAATCACATGGACTTTTCCCTTTATGTTTGTGTCCTTTGGGACTTTTTAAAAATACATATATATTTTAATTGATATCAGAGAGGAAGGGAGAGGGAAAGGAAGATAGAAACGACAATGATGAGAGATGGCTATTGATTGGCTGCCTCCTGCACACCCCACAATGGGAATCAAATCATGACTTCCTGGTTCATAAGTCAAAACTCAACCATTGAGCCATGCTGGTTTGGGACTTTTTAAAAATGTCTTCCACATGCCACCCACTGTCTACCCTCATTCCAGGGAAGAGAGAAGACTCCCTGAGTGCCCACTGTCAAGACATCAATGTCAGAATTTAGGCTCTTAAATCCTGTCTCTTGGATAGGACAACGATCAGGGATAGTTAGGATGAAAGGAATACTTAACGCACTTTTCTCATGTGCTTTTTAAAAAATATATATTTTTATTGATTTCAGAAAGGAAGGAAGAGGGAGAGAGAAACATCCACGATGAGAGAGAATAATGGATCGGCTGCCTCCTGCAAGTCCCCCACTGGATTGAGCCCACAACTGGGGCATGTGTCCCTGACCAGAATGGAACCTGGGACCTTTCAGTCAGCAGACCGATGCTCTACCGCTGAGCCAAACGGCTTTCGGCTCTTTGTGTACTTTTAAAAGTCTGTAAAATACCTAAGGAGTAGAAACTTCATATCATAATATAACACAAGTATCATAATACAAATTTATAATAGCCTCATGATTTTTTAAATTATTTTTTATTAAATTATTATTTGTGTACATATCTTACCATTGCCCCCCCAAGCCTCATGATTTTTAATTAAGTTTTCTACATACCCTTTATTAATTTCCCCCAAAGTCTCCAAAAGATATGTAAACCCCATGCAATATTTTTATTTATATAGTCAAACCTAACAGATAATATATCAATTCAGTTTTGTCCACTGGAATTTTCTTTTTTGGAGTGCTTTGTCCTTTGGGTGTAATGTAGGGTGGTTGTGTTCTGAAAACAAGCATAGCTGCTTTCCTGGGCTTCTTAAGACTTTGGGAGGACAGAGGGGAGGAAGGGGGGTGGTGGAAGAGGGTACAGTGGGGATAAATGGTAGAAAAAATGAAATTTAAAAATAATTTTAAAAAAATCACCCTAGCCGGTTTGGCTCAGTGGTTGGAGTGTTGGCCTGCAGACTGAAGGGTTCCATGTTAGATTCAGGTTGCAGGTTCCTCCTGGGCCTGGTCCCTGGTTTGGGCTCACGCTGGAGGTAACCAATCAATGTGTTTCTCTCACATCAATATTTCTCTGTCTTTTCCTTACCCTCTCTCTAAAAAAAATAAATAAATAAATAAATGGAAAAATATCCTCAGATGAGGATTAAAAAATAGTAATAAAAAATAATAAGAATAAATAAAAGCTATTTTATAAAAAGATTTCTCTCTGTTCTGTGTTGGATCTCCTCCTGCCTGGATTTTAAACCTTCTTCCTCTTTCTTGTTTTACAGGCTCATTTTGGTCAACCATATCATCTAATAGCTTCCAGAGAAAGTGACATAGGAGGTAAACTTTATGACACCTTATCTGTCTGAAAATGTTGATTCTTTGCTCATAATTTATTGTTAGTTTAGCTGGGTATGGGATTCTAGGTTAGAAATACTTTTCCCTTGGGATTTTGAAGGCATTGCCCTACTGTCTTCTAATTTCCAAGTGTTGCTATTTGTAAATATGGTGTTGTTCCTCTCTTTATTTTTATTCTATGTTTTCCCCCTTATAGAAAATACCTGTTTTCTTCCACTCCATAGCTCAGTCTGCACTTTTTTTTTTAAATATATTTTATTGATTTTTCACAGAGGAAGAGAGAGGGATAGAGAGTTAGAAACATCGATGAGAGAGAATCATCGATCAGCTGCCTCTTGCACACCCCCTACTGGGGATGTGTCCGCAACCAAGGTACATTCCCTTGACAGGAATCGAACCCAGGACCTTTCAGTTTGCAGGCCAACGCTCTATCCACTGAGCCAAATCGGTTTCGGCTCAGTCTGCACTTTTATCCCAATTTCTGTAGTTCTACTACAGGATTTTGGAGCTTGAATTATAGCTCTTACTTTTTTCTATTTTTATCCCTCTCTTTCTGTTTATTCTCTGGCAGCTTCATTTTACCTTCTTATCCTTTTTATGCAATGTTTAATTTTAACTCTCTTGTTTACGGATTGCCATATATATATATTCTGGAATTACCTAATTGTGTCCACATGGATTTAGCTAATTAGTCCATGCTTCTATCTGCTGTATTCTGAAAGTTACAGTAGGAACTCTTACTCCATCAACTCTACCAACTAGAAACTGCAAGGGCCAGGCTTGAGCCCAGCAGCCTGAGCTCAGAGCCACACTGCTAGATGGCCACCTCGGTTTTGTAGCCCGTCAAAGCCAGGGCTCTGAGCCCGCCCAGGGGGCAGGGAGGGAGGCTGTGCAACAACCTCCCATTCACCCAGGGACTGCTTGTTGATGAGTGCTTCACTGGCAAGTTTTTAAGACCACAAATGCCGAAAAGCAATGATGTTTATTTCCCCCCCAGATCTCTGCCTTCCCGAGGCCATCCACTCCGAGCCTCCTCTGGCGGGCTTCTCTGGGCGCCGAGAACGTGTTGCCTCTCTTGGAAGAGGCCTGCACACGCATGAGGTCAGCATGGACAGTGTCCTGTCGTGCGGCTCTCGGATTGCACTGCACAGCACATACATTATGAACCCCGCAATCAGACTTTTTCTTTGGCTGGATTACATTTTCTCTTGGGAGAGCGGACGCACTTCACTGAAGCCACAGAAAGAAAAAGTGAAGATCAAGAACCTGTGGGAAATGGCAGCCACCTTGTAGGTATAGATAATTAAAAAAATATATATTTTATTATTGATTTTTTTTTCCAGAGAGGAAGGGAGGGGGACAGAGAGTTAGAAACATTGATGAGAGAGAAACATGGATCAGCTGCCTCCTGCACACCCCCTACTTGGGATGTGCCCACAACCATGGTACATGCCCTTGACTGAAATCAAACCTGGGACCCTTCAGTCCAAAGGCCTATGCTCTAACCACTGAGCAAAACCGGTTAGGGCATGTATAGATACTTTCAATCACCTAGAGAGCTAGTACTTTATAATATCCCTTTTTACTAAAATTAACTAAAATGCACACAATTCAGAGAATTGAGGGCTCCTGAGTGATTTTTAAACATCTTATCATCCTATTTTTTCTTTGCATATTCTCCAAAATTCCTGTTTCCTGCAACAGGATGTGTTTAAAGTGACATTACAGTTTGGTTTTATGAAAATGTCCTCTCAGTCCATCCCATTCATTCATTCAGCCAGTACTGAGTATGTGCCAGTTGGGAAGGCAGCCAAAGTATAGGGCTAGGCCTTGTCCTTGGCCTCCTTTCTCATGTTGAGACAGATGTCTCAGCAAGTAGCTCACCACGCGGTGTGAGGGAGCTACGCACCAAGTGCATGGGAACCACAGAGAAGGGAAGGCCTGACCCCAGGGGGCTAATTAGGGAGGTGATCAGAGAAGCCTTCGGTGGAGATAACCATTTTAGGCTGGACTTCAAAGGGTGAGGAGGTAACAGTGGGTGAGAAGAGGACACATCAACTTTCTAAGCAGAGAGGATAGTATTTGCCAAGGTACCTTGACCAGGACCTGCCTGCTCCCTCAGGAAGGGGAGGAGAGAGGGTATTCTAGAGGCTGGTGGGATGGGAGCTTGGGCAGAGCCTAGGGCCAGCCTTGATTCAGGATTAAGGAAGTTAGCCTTTGTTCTGTAGGTGACAGGGAGAATGACAGCATCAGATCTTTGCTTGACATAATGTTCCAAGCCCAGAGTTCCCAATCAACTGGGTACAGCGAGGGAGTGGGTCAGAGGGGGGCGCTGAATGGTGCTCTGTCTGACACAGAGTAGGTGTTCAGCAAAGCAGGAGGTGCAATTATTAGCGCATAATGAATAGTTCAGGGGAGAGAGGACGAGGTTATGGACTAAGGCAGACAAACGGAAACGAAGAGAGGGTAGATTGGAGAGGGTTTTAGAGGTCCTGTTTAGCAGGATTTCCTGATTGTGAATGGTGGTGAGGAGGGAGGCACCAAGCTTGGAGATAATGGTGTTTGCTCTGTGTCATCAACCTCACTCTGCATGCCCCCCGACTGGGGATCAAGCCCACAACCTAGGCATGTGCCCTTGGCTGGAATCGAACCTGAGACCCTTCAGTCCGCAGGCAAACACGCTAACCACTGAGCCAAACCAGTTAGGGCTAAATGCAGTATAAGATAAAAACACTGTGTTTGGTTTTGCTTGTCTTTTTCTAAATCTTGTGGGAATTGAGGAAAACTACATACCTCCCCATGCCTGAGTGCCCCCAGGGAGCAGGCGCGTGTGCCGAAGTGCAGGACAAAGCTGACTGTCCTCGTTCCTGAGATGAATTATCAGTCATACCATGGAAAGTGGCAAAAGCAGTGGCAGCTGTACAGATTATGCTGTGATATTTTTCTGTTTAATTTGTTTTGTAATAAGTCATTGGCTTGAATTTTGAGCTTTGTGCTTTGGGTGTATTATAAGGAAGCTTTTAGGGGCAATGTGTGCATGTACGTGTGTGTACCATAGTTTTATATAGCTTGAAATTGAAGGAAGGAAGGAAGGAAGGGGAGGAAGGGAGAAAGGAAGGAAATTTGGGAGGGAGGGAGGGAAGAATAGAGGGAGGGAGGAAGAAAAGAAGGAAGGAAGGAAGGAAGCAAGCTGACTAGCTTCAGGAGTGACTCCTAATCTGGGTTCTGGTGTGACACCAGCTCCATCATGCCTGGCCCCTGATTTCAGAGCTGGAGGAAGGTGGCGGCTGCTGCTGGGCACTATTATGGGATGGCCCCTCGTCGCAGAAGTTCACTGTTCACCTTGCCAGAGTGTTCATCCTGTCAGATCACACTGACCCGGCTCTAGGCCAGCCCTGCCAGTTCCCTGGGAGTGAGAAGTAACTGTGAGGTTCGCATTGCAGAGCCATTTCTACCCAGAGTACACGGCGTGGGGGCCGCTCTCTGCTGCCGCTTGGACTCTGACCCGTGGCCAGCACATCCTTCTTCCTCTTTCTCCTTCCCTTACTCCTTCTCCTCCCCCTCCTCTCCTCAGAGACGCCCCACCCCTGATGTGCGTGCCTAGGGTGGGACCTGGTTCTGTTGTGGCCGGTTCTGTTCGTGTCTGTATTGCTCAGAATCCACTTTTCTTATTGATACATAGACAAGAGCCTAATACTGCGTGATCAAACCCGTGCCGAGAGCCAGGGACACAGCAGTCAGGCGCCCTGCCCCAGGACCAGCGGAGCACGCGGGGACTGATTTGTGAACAAGGTACACTTCGTTACAGCTCATTAACAACTGGTGTTTATCTCAGTCACGTCGTTTTCTTTTTGTGGTGTGGCCCAAGAAGATCCAGCCAAGTTCGTGGTAAAATTCTACCACTTTTTCACTTAACAGATATTTAGAGGCACCTGTTATTTGCCAGGCACTATTCCAGAGGTCGGGATTTTTAAAAAATATATATATATTTTATTGATTTTTTACAGAGAGGAAGAGAGAGGGATAGAGAGTTAGACTCATCGATGAGAGAGAATCATCAATCAGCTGCCTCTTGCACACCCTCCACTGGGGATGTGCCCGCAACAAAGGTACATGCCCTTGAACGGAATCGAACCTGCAACCCTTGAGTCCACATGCCGACGCTCTATCCACTGAGCCAAACCGGCTTTGGCCCAGAGGTCAGGATTTTAACAGAGACCAAACTGACAAGTCACCCTGGCCTCTTGAAGTGTATGCTGTGTGGAAGGAGACAGAACAGTGAGGATGACATGTGATGTGAGCTAAGAATTTTGAAGGAGAGGCCAGCAGGGCGAGGAGAGAGGGTGGCGGTGTGTGCAGCCCTGTAGGGAGAGCCTGTCTGATGAGCAGGGCCCACGGGAGGGGAGGGGGAGCAGCTGTTTGGAGAAAGTCCTTTCCGGGAGAGAGGGCGGCAGGGACAGAGCCTGAGGGGCAAGTGCCGGGCCTGCTGGAGGGACAGGAAGTCACTGAGCGAACATCTGCGCTCCTCATGCTCCTGGTCCACGAGCCCACGTTGGGAGGAGCAAGTAAAACCATGTATGTGGAGATATTTCTGTGAACCGTCAAGCAGGGTACAGGGCGGACTTCATCACGTATGTGTAGAGCACATGTGTCAAACACAAGGCCCGCGGGCCAAATCCGTCCCGCCAGCCCTTGCAATGTGGCCTGCACCGCGCTGTCATCACTGCACTCCGCTGCGTTTCCATCACAATGACAGTTTATGACTGTTCAGTAAACCATTCGGCCCGAGATTTAGGCTGGATTTTAGATTTTGGCCCCTTCTCTGATTGAGTTCGACACCCCTAGTGTAGAGGCTCAATCATCACGGATCATAATGATTGTATTACAGTTCTGTGCTTTCATTTTTTTTATGATCGAGGTAAAATTCACAGAACATATAATTAGCCGTATTAAAGTGTACAATCCAGTGGCATTTAGTGCATTCACACTGTTGTGCAACCACCGCCTCTGTCTGGTTTCCAATCTTTTCATCACCGGCCCTTTTATTTTTAATATTAGTCTGTGCTGCTCTTGAGAAAGGATTCCCCGCCATCTCTGACTTTGCCCTCTCTGCTTCTGGCCCGCCTTCCCCAGTTCCTATGATTCACCCATGTGCTTAGTCAACAGATAATTATCAGGCTTTACTGTGCAATAGGCACCAGAGAGGTGGGTGCGGGAGTGAAATGCTGACGGAGGACATACTAGCACAGGTCCCCACATCATCTAGGGAGGAAATGAGCCACTGAACACACCATCGCCAGAAAATTGATTTCAATGATGATAAATGCTTATAGAAAAAATGCTTTGAAAATTGTGTTTAAAGCTAATAGAAGAGAAGCCACTCGCTTTTAAAGCTCAGAATAACATGATTACATATTTTTTATAATTCGCTCGTAGTTCAGAGACACTGGAGAGAAAGACACTCAGGAAAGTGACCTGGGTTATGTGGAGGCAGGAGGCAGGAAGGCAGGCAAAGTTATTTCATTCATTTCCTCCTGGTGAAGGACAGGTGTTTTTGTTGTTTTTTTCATATCTTTTTTAAAAAATATGTTTTATTGAGTTTTTTAAAAATATATATTTTATTGATTTTTTACAGAGAGGAAGAGAGAGGGACAGAGAGTTAGAAACGTCGATGAGAGATAAACATCGACCAGTTGCCTCTTGCACACCCCCTACCGGGGATGTGCCCGCATCCAATGTACATGCCCTTGACCGGAATCGAACTTGGGACCTTACAGTTCGCAGACTGACGCTCTACCACTGAGCCAAACCGGTTTCGGCTGTTTTATTGTTTTTACAAAGAGGAAGAGAGAGGGATAGAAAGCTAGAAACGTGGACCAGCTGCCTCCCGCACACCCCCCACTGGGGATTTGTCTACAACCAAGGTACATGCCCCCGTCCGGAATCAAACCCGGGACCCTTCAGTCCGCAGGCTGACGCTCTATCCACTGAGCCAAACCGGTTTTGGCAGGACAGGTGTTCTTACCACCGCCTCCATATTATAGATGTGGAAACTGAGACTTAGAAGGTGGTGCCTTGCTTGAGATCACCTAGTGGGGCTTATCGCTAACATTTCAATTCAGCCCTCTGTCTGGGAAAGCGGAGGAGCGTGGTGTCCAACAGGGGGCAGTGGCACACCTGGTTGGAAGACTCGCACGCCTGCACCGCGGGGTTTGTCTGCTGCCACCCAGCCCACTGGGTGAGTGCCCAGCTTTCCAGGAGAGGGCACTGCGAGGCTGGCTTCCGAGTCACCTCATAGGACCTCCTGGTCCTGCCTCCTCCCTCCCCGCTCCTTCCGCCAGAGACTCATGACCCAGCAAGCTCTCAGCTCCCTTGGGCCTCTTCTCTATTGGGTGATTGTTTCTTAATCACGCTGTGGAATAACAAATCAGGGCTGGTTGCCCAAGTCAGCTCCGGAGCTGAGCTGGTGATCACCAAAACAGAGGCGCGGCCCCGGGCAGGGAGCCACCGAAGCTGCTAGCGTGCGCCTGTGGCCACCTGGTCTGCGCCTAACAGTGCCGCACGTCGGTCATGTAGGCGCGCTGATCAGGCTTCTCCAGGCGGGATGACCTGCAGCAGTGCCACCCCACCCACAGCTGGTTTCGCTTTCCTAATGTTGTTAAAAGGTGCTTCTAACTGAAGTAGGGTGGTTGAACAGGTTCCAACATTTTACTTAACTTTTTTTTTTTTTTTTAACATTTCAGAGGAAGGGAGAGGGAGAGAGAGATAGAAACATCAATGATGAGAAAGAATTATTGATGGGCTGCCTTCTGCACGCCTCCCACTGGAGATTGAGCCTGCAACCCAGGCATGTGCCCTTGGCTGGAATCGAACCCGGATCCTTCGGCCGGTAGGCTGACACTCTATCCACTGAGCTAACCCAGCTAGGGCTTACTTAACTTGTTTCATGTGGTCAGTTGTTGAAGATTTCTTCCTCTCAGGGAGAGGCCCAGAACTGGCCTCTTGGCGTTTGTCCAAAGTCCATGTTCTCATAGCTCGTGGACTGTGGTTTAATTTTAACCAGAAACTCTTCTTTTGGAATAATTACTTTTTAATCTAAACAGAGCCAGTTTGATCAGAGCAATAACACCTCGTGCCTGAATCAGTAGACAAAGTTATATTCGTTTACTGCTGACATAGCTTATTTATTTATTTAAATATATCTTTACTGGAATCATTGATTGGCTGCTTCCTGCACAATTGGGGATCGAGCCTGCAACTTGGGCATATGCCCTGACTGGAAATCCAGCTGTGATCTCCTGGTTCATAGGTTGATGCGGCTGGGCAAAACATATCCTTTTTATTTATTTTTATTTTAAAAAATATTTTTATTGATTTTTTACAGAGAGGAAGGGAGAGGGATAGAGTGAGAAACATCGATGAGAGAGAAACATCATCAGCTGCCTCCTGCACACCCCCTAGTTGGTATGTGCCTGCAACCAAGGTACATGCCCTTGACCGGAATCGAACCTGCGACTCGATGCTCTATCCACTGAGCCAAACCGGTTAGGTCGAGACATATCCCTTTTAAAGGGGGAGGCTGATTTGGTGGGGAAAATGGAAATTGTGGATAGGTCCATGTGGAGGCTTGTTTGAGCATCTGCTTTAATTAGTGTAATAAACTCCAGGCATCTGGGGAGAGCACTGATGGGCATGACTGAGAGGCCCTGAGGCAGCCATATGGCATCAGCTTCTGAGACAATCTCAACTCCTCTGCCAGCCCACACCTGGCACCAGGTCCCAGTGCTGAATGTGCTCACTGGAGAGGCGGCTCAGCAATGGCGGGCGGTATCACCTCAGGACTGTCCTTCCCCGCGGGAGCAGAGCTGGTCCCGGAGCTCCCTGCATTGGTCAGCATTCCCATTTCTCTTCTGCCTTTTTTTTAAAAAATATATTTTTTTATTGATTTTTTACAGAGAGGAAGGGAGAGAGAGAGAGCTAGAAACGTCAATGAGAGAGAAACACCAACCAACTGCCTCTTGCATACCCCCTACCGGGGATGTGCCCGCAACCAATGAATATGCCCTTGACCGGAATCGAACCTGGGACCTTTCAGTCCGCAGACCGACCCTCTACCACTGAGCCAAACCGGTTTCGGCCTCTTCTGCCCTTTCAATGCGAGTCCTTTGGGAATGGTTACTTGTATTTGTAGGACCTTAAAGAATTTTTGATGCAGTCAGACAGAAATTGGTTTTTACCTTTTTTTTTCTTTTTTTTTTTCAGTTTAGGTGGCAAAGGAAACCAGTTCTAGAAAAAAAAGATTTATGCCAACCCCAGATGAGGCAAGCGAATTTGGAAAGACTCCTCGTTTTACAGAAATAGTCTTCACTATGTCAGACATTCATCCTTGGACTTATTTAAATATAAAGTTAGCCCTGGCCAATTTGGCTCAGTGGTTGGAGCGCTGGCCTTTAGACTGACAGGTCCCAGGTTTGATTCCGGTCAAGGGCACATATCTGGATTACAGGCTTGATCCCCAGCCCCAGTGGGGGTGCAAGCAGGAAGCAACGCATCAACGTGTTTCTCTCACATCCATGTTTCTCTCTTTCACCCTATTCTCCCTTCTTTCCTTCCCCCCTATCTGAAAGCAATGGAAACATACCCTTGGGTGAGGATTAATAAATAAAAACCAATCAGTCAATAAATAAGAAGCTCTCCTAGAGCATTTAGGTAGGAGAGAGGACAGAAAAACTGGAAGCTGCCAAAACCGGTTTTGCTCAGTGGATAGAGCGCCGGCCTGCGGACTGAAAGGTCCCGGGTTCGATTCCGGTCAAGGGTATGTACCTTGATTGCGGGCACATCCCCGATAGGGGTTGTGCAAGAGGCAACTGGTCGATGTTTCTCTCTCATCGATGTTTCTAGCTCTCTATTTCGCCTTCCTCTCTAAAAACAATCAATAAAATATATTAAAAAAACAAACAAACAAACAAAAAACTGGAAGCTAACTGTCGAAAGCTGTCACCAGTGGGAGATGAGTCCTCAGTGAGAATCAAGGCTCTGAGTGAGTGAGTCAGTGGGGCTGAGGCTGCAGGAGGAAAACCTGGTGTGTGAGGCAGGTGTGTGAGGGCGGGTGCAGTCACACTGGCCTGCTCAGCCCCACAAAAGTTAGAGGTGACGAGTGTAAGGAGAGCGGTCCATCCGCTCACCACCTGCCCTGGCACTCCATCAGAGCCTGCTTCTTCTCCCTCCTGTCTCTGGGGAGGACTGAGGGAGAGACCGAGTTTCACATGCCCTGAGGAGAACCGATGCTACAGAGGTGCATCTTTTTTTTTTTTTAAAGAGAGCAAACAGGCCTAATCTGGGAGTTTGATCACCACCGAGAATGTTTGTTTCGTCATTTAGTTTCTTGCTCAGTCTTCCAGCTCAGACCTGCGCAGCGACGCGGCAGGCAGCCCTTCATTCTCAGGCCTTTCCTTGCCCGCCGGGCACTGTTCCTCCTTCGGACCTGGGCTGCCACATCCAGCGGCACCCTGCTCCCCGAGCCCTCCCTCTGCGCCTGCCAGAGGCAGCGGCTGGGAGGCGTTCTCAGGGGGGTGCCAGGCTTTCTGAAGGGCACTGCCCCTCCTGGGAAGGGCTGCTACTTGGTGGTGTCTCTGAGCAGCCCTGGGACTAACCAGTCGGGCACGGATTCGGTTGGGAGGGAGAGGGCAGATTGCTGATCCTATCTGGTTGCTAAAGCCGCCTGGAGAAGGGCGGGTCTGTGTCTGCAATTGGTTTGGGGTTGGAGAGGGGTGCTGGGAACTTTTGCACTAGGATTCCTTAGATGCTGTCATGATTTCCCCAAGATCCCTTTATCTTTTTTTTTTAATTAATTAATTTATTTTTTTAATCGAGAGTGTTTTTTTTTTGTTGTTGTTGTTGTTAATATATTTTATTGATTTTACACAGAGAGGAATTGAGAGGGATAGAGAGTTGGAAACGTCGATGAGAGAGATACATCAACCAGCTGCCTCTTGCACAACCCCTACTGGGGATGTGCCCGCAACCAAGGTACGTGCCCTTGACCGGAATCGAACCTGGGACCTTTCAGTCTGCAGACCAACGCTCTATCCATTGAGCCAAACTGGTTTCGGCAAGATCCCTTTATGTTAACGTTGTTCCCATCAGCCAGCAAACACAGGTTAGGGTTTCTCTTTCGTCCAGAAAACCCCATGAGAAGGACAGATCTGAAAGTCAAGCTCACACTGGAGGCTCAGGCTCTTTGGGGCAGATGCCAGCGGCGTGGCTCTCCGGGGGTGGCTGCGGGTGAAGGGCTCCGGGAGAACATTGCCATGTTATTGTCAGTGAGGAATTCCTCAAAATACTCTCTTCTTGAAGAGAAAGAAACGGAACCAAGGGCTTACATCGGAGTACGTGTAGTTGCCCTCATTGGAAGGTTGTCTGTCTGTCTGTATGTCTTTCTAATAGATGGCTCCCTGGCGTGGGACAGCAAGGTCACGCACAGCCCCGAGCATGAGCGAGGCTAGCCTCGGGCTCTGGAAAAGTGGCAACGAAGTGTTCAAGTGCAGGCTTGCTCCGTCTTGGTCTCCAGGCGGGCCTGGATCAGAGAGAGAATAAAATATTGGGGTGACACCCCACCTATTAGTTCTAAAGGACAAACACTGGAAAGGGAGCGCCAGCCAGGGTGGCCCAGCCCTGCTTGAATGATGTCACCCACGCGTGCCTCCCAGGAGCGCCTGCGGCTGTTTGGGATCTGTTGTCACCTGTGGGACGACACTGCTGACTGCGTGGCTTCCTGGGCTGGACCTATCCTGTCAGCAAGACACTGTTTACATGATTAGCTTCCCGGATTGCGCTACGTGTGCAATATCTCTTAAGTTCAATTACGTTAATGTTAAGAAATACTGCAGATAGAAAAGGCTAGGACAGCACTACAGCAAACAGTGATTACTGCGATCAGAGTGCTTTGAACTTGAGCATGAGAGAACCTGGTGAACTTGTAGGAATTAACCAGGACAGGTACCCATCTCTTAGAAGAAGCATGTGTAAAGGGTGTAAGAGGGATTTCAGGGAGCAACTAAGGAGGAAAGGGAAGAGATCAGAAGACATCTCCGAACGCCTGAAGCTGTAATCTCCCTCTACAGACACTGGGGGCGGAATTGTTGGGGGTCAGTTGCCTGGGCAGAAGGGTAAACTGAGGAAGAATTGCGTGGAGCAGCCTCTGGAAGAAGTGCTGAGGGCGGAGGGCCCAGCAGCAGCCTGCTGGATTTCAGAGGTGAAATAGTTGAACCCCAGACTCGGTGAGATGAGAAGAATCACTCCAAATGGATAAGCTCATTAACCTTGTATTTTTGACTGTCTACACGTCTGGCTTTAGGGAACACGCATGCTTCTAGCCACGCCTTCTTGAACCACTTAGCTATTTTGTCTTCTAATTTCTCTGGTGAGCGTCTCTGTTATTTACAAAGTTTGGTTATGTCAGGGCGGGGGGGATTTGCACCTTGGTATTCTTTCAAGAGGGGTCCGATTCAGCCTATCTTTTGAATTCAGTCTGAACACACACATGCAGAATCACCCAGTGTCTGATTTGCTGTGGCCTTGGGGCCTGGGTCAGGGCTTCTGAGTCTGTGCTTCTTTTTGTGGTTGTTAATCCTCACCCAGGGATTTTCCATTGATTTTCAGAGGGTGGGCGGGAGGAGGAGAGCCACAGAGAGAGAGAGAGACATTGATTGTTGCCTCCCACCCATGCCCTGGCGGGGCAGGGGATCAAGCCTGCAACAAAGGTATGTGCTCTTTTTCTTTTTTAAAATCTATCTTTATTGATTTCAAAGAGGAAGGGAGAGGGAGAGAGAGAAAAACATCAATGAGAAGAGAGAGTCATGGATCGGCTGCCTCCTGCAGGTTCCCCACTGGGGATTGAGACTGCAACCCCAGTGCCCTTGACTGGAATTGAACCTGGGACCCTTCAGTCCGCAGGCCAACCCTCTATCCACTGAGCCAAACCAGCTAGGGTGAGTTTGTGCTGCTTTATTGACTTTCTGGTTAGTTCACAGGCTCCTCCTCCCCATTCTTTTTTTCTTTTTTTTAATTAAAATCAAAGACTTCTGCTCTATTCTTTCTTCCCTTCCTTAGATGTTGGTAAGATCAAGATCACGGTCATACAGTGCTTTGTTGTTGTTGTTGGTTTGTGGGTGCCAGGACCAATGATCACCAGCTGCCCAAGAACCAAAAATGATGCTTCTGAAATCTCTTGATGCTGATTCCACAGGTGGAGCATCCAAGCTGCTCTGCGTGTGCCGCTCAGGACGGAAGCCCTTTTTGTGGTCACAGTGCTTTGATGACTTCAGGGAGAATGCAGCCCGACTGGCCATTCCCCTGGGCGGTTCACAAAGCCCCAGGCCCAGGGCTCCCACCGTCTGCTGTGGACACAGTGCCCATGGCTCTGTGTTGCTCCTGACCTTGGCATCCACACGCTTATCTCCAGAAGGAGGATAAGCCTAGGTCAGTCCCTGGAGCCTCCTCACGCGGGCCCTGTCATCTCCAGCGTGACTTGTCGGGCAGCATCGTTCCAGCCCAGCCAGGAACTAATCAGAGGTAGAATGAAGATTTCTTCCTCTGATGCGTGTTTACAAGATGTTTTCAAAGATGAGGCTGCAGGGCAGCGGTGACCTCCGCTCCCTGGTGCGTCAGGCGTCAGAATTCTGACTGGAGGGCAGATGGCAGCCCCACCTTCCCCGGGACCTCTTGCTCCGGACAGCCAGTTCCCTGTGAGGGATCGGAGCATCAGGTGACCGCGAGCCCATAGCCTAGAGAGCGTTATGTTAGCAGGCTGGTGGCGGTGTGCCCGCAGTGGGCAGCAGCTGGCTGAAGGACAGCTGTGGCTTGGGCAGGCGGCCTTTTGCACACAGCTCTTCCTGGCTAGTGGCTCTTCACCAAGCCTGTGCTCCTCGGGGCTGTCAGACCTCATCCTGAAGGCCTGGCCTTGTGGGTGGGAAAGGAGTGGGGTTTTGGGGGAAAGGATGTTAGACCCACAGGAGAACCTCAAGGACAGGGACATGTGCCAGAGGCAATGTAGAGGGAGGGGTTTGCAAGAGGAGACGCCTGAGTGAGCCCAGAGACTGGTGGGAGCTCACCAGATCCTTGTTGAATGAGGAAAGGGAGACAGCAGAGGCCGGGAAGGCTTGGGAAGGTGGAACAGTGGCTGAGGAGCATGGCGGGAGAAGCTTAGTAATGCTGATTATTAGACGAGCTACAAGGGACTGTAACATTCATATGGTTGGCCAAGGTGTTCTTAGCAGAAAAACACTGTGGACTCCGGCACTGGAGATTGACAAAGGCCTGGTAACCAAGAGTTGAAGAGAGACTCACAGCAAACCTTGCAGCTATACATGGGTAGTGTCTGTGTTGCCGCCACCAAAATTTGCCAGTGTGATGTCAGGCGACTCTTAGTGTTTGGGTGTGTGTGTTTGTGCCATGAGATTGCCTTGTGAGCAAGCCTGACTTTTAAGAAAATGGGGTGAAGTCAGCCACCAACCATTCCAGGAGCCCAGGCTCCACCCAGGCTTGGCTCAGGGAAGATGAGGCCCTTCCTCCTGCCATTCGATGTGTGGCACTCCTGTCGTCCCACCTGGCACTCCCTGTCCTCCGGGAGAGCTGGGCGAGAGGGGGCTCAGCCCGGGTGTGCGTGTGCGTGTGCGTGCTTGCGTGTGCGTGTGCGCGTGTGTGTGCGCGTGTGTGTGTGTGTGTGTGTGTGTGTGTGTGTATGTGCGCGCGCGCGCGTGCACAGGGAGGGTGGGATGGAGGATAGAGTTGTCTCTGTGGTGATGGCCACTAGTCTGAAGGCTTTGAGCTGAGTCAGGGTGAAGCAAGAGTGACACCAAGTGCCAAGAGCAGGAGTGTGCCGTGGCATCGGTGTCTCCTCTCAGATCAGAGGAGCCGAGCGGGGACAGGCTCTGTCCGCCACAGCGTTCACCTCCGTGAGGCAGTGCCGGCCTCAGAGCCGCCGGGCACCCATGATCTGCCTGCTCATTTGCATGCAGGGATTGGCTCTCTGGGACTCGGATGCAGAACTGGGCTATGAGTCCGTTTTTAAAAATCAAGGTGAAACGGCTTCTTGGCCAGAACATGATGCACAGACCCAGGCTCCTATTTCTCCCCAATCCTGGTCCGCCAGCCGCCCACAGGCGACCCTCCTTGCCGGGGAGACGCTCAGGTTACCAAGGCAGGGAGCGAGTGGGTCACCTTTGTAGGCAGAGAACAACCCGTTTCCCTTTGTTCAAAAACACTGACCCACTTCTCCGTGTTTGTTCTAGCGGCTGCTCCTGGCTCCGGGTCCCTCTGGCCAGAAATCCACCCGTTAAGCCATGGCGGGGACTAAGATTCCCGTCCTGTGGAATGGCCCCTGGGAGGGACTGGGCCCTTTGGGGGCAGAGAATTCCCCTCGGAGAGGGTCACCCTCCTGAAGGGGCCTCCAGTGACAGCAAGCCCCCAGGTCTGTCCCCCGGGGGAGGATACAGCCACAGTTGTATCTGCCTCCCGGCCAGTTCCCTACTGGGCTTCTCCCTCCAGGGAGATAAGGAAGGAATGTTTGTCCAGGTGTCACCGCTGGACTATCTCGGGCACAGGAGTGTCTTCAGGGCGTAGTGTCAGAACCGGTCCCCATCTGGGCGTGCTGTAAACAGCAGGTTGATTCAAAGCTGAGAGGCGTTGGGAAACCCCTTGGGCAGGAGATTTCGAAATGAGATTCAGATGAGAAGAAACCTAGGTGGGTGCGTTCTAAGGAAGGAGACAGAAAAGGCAGAAAAGGCTTCCGTCAGGTGCTGGGTGGGCAGCGGGGATGGAGGGAGAGCCTGGGAGGGGGAGGCCTGGGATGGGAGGAAGCGGCTGAGCTGAGCGGCTCCTCTCCCCACTGCCCGCAGGACAGGAGGCCCCTCGTCTGTCCACCAGGCGGGACCAGAGCGGAGCGGAGCGCCCGCCTCGGGCATGTCAGCACCAGCAAGACAAGAGCGGCTCCGAGAGGGAGGGCCTGGGCAGGGGAGCAGGGCTGGCAGGAGCATTAGGAGAAAAGCTCGGTTATAAAAGGGTTTAGAAGACGTGTTGGGTGATTGAGGAAGGGACTAGTGCAGAAGGCCTTGGTGCCGGGCGGAAGGGACAGCCCGCCCTGCTGACCCAGCCGTCTCCTGCGCCCACCACACAGGCTGCTGCGCTCTGGGACCCCTGCCTCGCTGGCTCAGGGTGAGTGCCTGTGACAGGAGGAGCAGAGGAGGATGCCGGCTGGATCTGGAACCAGCGAGGGGACGCGAGGAGAAGGAGAGGGAGACTGAGGAACAAGGCGAGGCAGAGCAGTGACAGCGATCCGAGGAAGAGAAGGAGTGAGGGCAGGGAAGGAGGAGGAGGAGGAGAGTGAAGACTATGCTTCTCATCCGAGGGGCGGACAGCCTTGGAGTGGTGCGGTCCAGAGTGATCTCCAACATGATCAGCACTTAGAAAGCTTGTCCCCTCGGCAATAATCCCTGTCATCTGGTGGCGTGAAGTCAGCAGTATCCTTGGGAACATTACGGGCCATCCTGCGTGAAAACCGTGGGTGGCGCTGTACGGAGCAGCCAGCCAGTTATGAATGAGAAGGCTCATGTGCACGAGCGTGCCTGCCACCTCCGCCCAGAAGCCATGGCTTCCCCATCGAACCAGAACCACCACCCAGCCTCTCCCCATCTCCTTAGATGGCAAGCTCTGGCATCCTTGGTCCGCCCAACTCGGCCCCAAAACATGGCCAAAACATCAGTAAACAGATAGGCGAAGGGGTCACCGACGTCTGCATTTTGTACCATTTTCACCTGCCCAGAGCTCAGCACGTGACTAGCCAGGGATTTCTCATTACGAACTAAATATTCTTTCCTCAGAGAGTAGTCAGAAGGTCCCCAAACACCTTCCTCTGAACTCACCGTAGGTGTATTTTATTTCCTGTACTACGGACCAGGACATCCAAGACCCTGCTTGAACACAGGGGTGAACTGTGTCCCGCCCTCCAGCACATCCAGAATTTTCTCAGCCAATGCAGACTGGGCCCCAGCCGCTGGCCACCTTTCTTGCTAAGGCTGAATCGGAGATGAATGTTATTAACTACAACATCTAATGTTTGTTTGGGGCTTTGTACCGCACAAAGCCAACAATTGTCATATTTAATTCTCTCAGCAATTCTGCATTACTGTCACTTCCCTTTATAGGCATTGCATTTCAGAGAAATAAAGCATCTTCCTCGGTGTCAACTGGTAGATCTAGGATTCACTCACGTCCTCTGACTCCCAGTCCTCGCTGCCTTCTATGCAAGGGCATGGCTTCCTGTAGATCTCAGAGTATCATCAGAGCTGGGACTCCTGGATCTCCTTCCTTACCCCAGCTCTGCACCCCCAGTGACCTTAGACCTCAGCCTTCCTCCCACCTATGCCTGTCTCACCCCCACTTGTATAATTAAGAGGGAGAAGAATCACCTGGCTGGTGTGGCTTAGTAGTTGAGTGTTGGCCTATGAACCAGGAGGTCACAGTTGGAGTCCCAGTCAGGACACATGCCCAAGTTGCAGGCTTGATCCCCGGCGTGGGGCGTGCAGGAGTCAGCTGATCAATGATTCTCTCTCATCATTGATGTTTCTGTCATTCCTTCTCCCTTCCTCTCTGAAATCAATAAAAATATATGTTTTTTCAAAGAGGGAGAAGACTCCATTTTTTGGTAAAGACTGTACACATAATGCAAGTGATTCTCACACTTATTCTGCCAAGGACTCTCTCAAAGCCAACTAGGTTTCATTATAAAAGCAATGGAGGGAGAGGGATTATTGTAGAAAAAAGTACAAAATATAGACAACAAACATGAAAATAAAAAATCATAATTCTGCCATTGAGTAATAACTTAGTATTCTGAGCAATGTGGTATTTAGTCTTCTTTAGCTTTTATGATGTACACATGGACTTGTGTTTACAAACATGGAAAATGTGCCTACCCATAACAATGTTTGGGACCTGCTTTTGAACTTAATGTATTGTAAACATTTTCCTGTTAGTAAATATTTTTATAAACAACATATTTAATGGCTACATAATATTTCCTTATTTTACTGGTATTCTAGAATTAACATTTAGTTTATTCCTATTTTTCATCATTATAATGTTTTATGATAGACTTCTATATCTTATTTTAATTTTCATTTCTTTGAATATGAATGAAGTTGAATTTTTTTTATATGATTTTGATTGTTCTGAAGCTCTTTTATATATAGGTTCTCCACACTATTTGTCAGGATGGTTTTTCTTTTAATATGTTTTTATTCAGTTCAGAGAGGAAGGGAGAGGGAGAGAGAGAGAAACATCAATGATTAGAGAGAATCAGTGACCAGTTGCCCCAGCACACACCATACTGGGAATTGAGCCTGCAACCCGGGCATGTGCCCTTGACTAGTATCGAACCTAGGACCCTTCAGGAGGACGCTAACCCTTTAGCCAAACCAGCTAGGGCTATTTGTCAGTTTTTAATGGTATATTTTATTCTTATTGATGTGTAAGAACTCTATATTAAGGCTAAAATTTTCCCTGCCAACAACTCATTTGGACATCACATTTTCTTTTTCTTTTTTTCTTTTTTTTAAAATATATTTTATTGATTTTACACAGAGAGGAATTGAGAGGCACAGAGAGTTAGAAATGTCGATGAGAGAAACATCGACCAGCCGCCTCCTGCACACCCCCACAGGGGATATGCCTGCAACCAAGGTACATGCCCTTGACCGGAATCGAACCCGGGACCTTTCAGTCCGCAGGCTGACGCTCTATCCACTGAGCCAAACCGGTCCCGGCTGGACATCACATTTTCATGCGCCACGTTGAATTGGATACATATTCATTTCCCCTGACTCTCCCACCAAGACCATGAATGCTTTGCTCTTTTCCCTCTTCTTTCACTTTAACAAATTCCGCCCACACAAAGCAGACTTAGGAGAGGGCTCTTCCGCAGGGCTCACCCTCAGAGCACCTTGGCCTCCTAAGGCAGCTCCCATCCCTTCTGCCCTGACCTCTCCTTCTCCCCTCACACCCACGGCTGCCAGGGCTGGGGTGGGGGGTGATGGTGGCCCTAGAGGTTCCAGCTCACGCTGCAGACCTGAATGTCAGATCTCCTGGGAGAACAGTGGGAGAGAGGGCGGTGGGTGTGAGCATGAGAGGAGACTCATCTTGTTGGCGAGGAGAAAGCCCTAGTCAGGTCTGTCCTGGCAGGTTTGTGGAGAACTGCACTCTCCAAGGGCCCCTCTTGCTTCCAAGCAAGGCCCTCATGGCAGGGGCCTGGCATGGCCGCGGCAGCCAGCCCGTCGTCCTCTTCCCAGGTGGGTCCACTCCTTTGCCCTGTTATTACCGCTGGCAGGTTCGTGGGTGCCTCTGGCAAAGGGGACACAAGTTCTACCAGTTCTCCTGGGTTCCTCCAGCAGCTCGCCCGCTGTGCTGCGTGTGGGGAGAGGGAGGCGCCTGGGCCTGTTACCCGGAGTCCCCCTCGGAGGGAGGCGGGGGAGGCGGAGGGGGCTGGCTGGAGCTGGCTGGACTGGCTGAGCCTAGGCGGTGAGGACAGGATGAGTTTCTGAGCGAGATCACCACCTTGGAAAACTGGGACTGGGGAGGAGGTCAGGTACACACGGGGGCGGGCGCTGGGAGTTCCTGTTGGAGCTCCTGTGGGTTTGGAACATCCTGACCCACTCCCGGGCCCTCTCGCCCTTTCTCCAGGTTTCACAGGAATGTCCAAGGCAGCAGTGGCTGAGCCACGGAGGGAGCAGCACGCTGGCATTTCTGGGCCCCAGCTCCTGGGCCTGGCGCTCCCTCCGAGGCCTGGCTTCCCCCCTGCGGCTGAATTCTGTTTCCTTGTATTTCTTGGGAAGGCAGTGTGATGGCTACAGAGAGCCAGTCTGGCACCTGTGGCCGGCCAGGCGGGTGGGGGCCTTGGCAGGTTGTTGGTCCTTTAGGCTTCACTTTCCCGCCTGGAGAGACGGACAGGGACTGCGCACAGCCAGGCAGAGGGTGAGCGTGGGCCGCTGCTCTGTCAGGGCTTCTCCCTCCCTGCCCTCCTCTCAGCTCTGTTGGCATGGGTGACATGGGGGCTTCAGAGATGGCTGCTCAAGGGCGGGCCCCCTTCCTGCTGTCCTCAGCCTCACCCGCTGCTGCTCCTGTCCCTCCCGCCCACCGCCCGGCCGTCTCCCCCAGGAAGGTGAACTGGGGGGCTCGGGCTGCGCCTCATTTTCTGAGTTCCCTGCGCCTCAGCACAGCGCGTGGCCCAGAGCAGGTGCTCAGAGTCAGGAGAGGAAGAACCACGAGGAAAGGGTCCCCCATTCCAGTCATTGCTCACTTGGAAGTCAGGAGCCCCAGCTGAGTCCAACAGCCTCAGGCCAGAGGCTGGCGTCAGTGCTTCCTACCCCCTGACCGTGAGCAAGGCTTTGCATCTCCCCAGCCTTGACTTCTCCGTCCAAAAATAGGGACAGCGATGACTCCCGCCGCGGAGGCTGCGGGGTCAGCGATGATGTCAGAGGGAAGCCGGGGTGCAGCGTGCCCAGGACTCAATAAACGGAAGGGGTGATTAGCTGCTGTTATAGGGCTGTTTACCTACGTGCCGTCAGCCAGGGGCTGGCCCCAAGCACTTGGGGCTTAGCAGTGCCCGTGGCCCGGCATCTCGGCGCCCGGGAGCCTCTGGCGTGGTCTCCTGCCCGGGGCGCGGTCCCTGTGCTCTGGGCACTGAGCTCCGCTGTGGGCTTGCGGGCAGCTCGGCCCCGGTCTCCTCTGGGTGTGTGGGCGGGTTAGCTGCCCCTCAGGCCTGGAGGCAGAGTGGGGTGAAGACAGGGGTGCCCCGTTTGGCGTTGAGGCCGGGTGTGCAGGGCCACCCGCTCTCAGCCGCACATCGCTGAGCGGTTTCAGGTGCTGGGCAGGCCGGTCGCATCGTTGTATGTGAAGAGAGCAGGTGAGGAGCAGAGGGAACACTCACAGGCCCAGCTCTTCCATTCAGGAAGCAGACCTGACAGTTCGCTCAATGCGCATTCCCTTCCCCGGACCAGACTCCCCACAGCTGACTTAGTTTCCCTTCCAGCGGCCCTGCAGTGGCCTGGGACCTGAGCGCGCGCGCGCGCGCGCGCGCACACACACACACACACACACACACACACACACCGCTATTCCCCCATCAGTGAGTCTGCTGCCCAGGAGGGCGGGCTCAGGGCATGGAGAGGAGTGGCTGGTTGCTTACAGGAAGGGACTCAGAGAGCTGGGTGCATTGGCTTGGGGGTTGGGGGCTTGAGTTTCAAACAGACTCTAGAAATGTGCGAGGGGGCTGGCAGGAGGAAGGAGGAGGGCAGGTTGTCTGGGACTGAAGAGTCGGGGACATCCTGGGCAGTGGCTGCCATCACCTGAGGGAGTGGCCCCAGAAGACGGGCCAGAGCCAGTGGCAGTGAGAGAGGGGCCCCGGCCCACTGCGCGTCCACATCCTCACCACCCAAGCCCAGTGTACGGAATAGCCTCCCAACTGGGGCCACTCTGGTGGCTTCCTCTCCATTTCATCCTGTTCGCCGGCCTGCCTCCTGGCTCTGCCTCCTGGGGAATGGCGATCAGGCCTGGAAGCCCTGACCACTGCGCTTTGGCCCGTCCTTGTGGACTCTGTGGGTGGAAAGAGATTGTCCGCCTTCAGCCCGTGGCCCAGTCCCTCCGGAGTTCCCAACAAATGGCCGCCCAGCCTGGCCAGCAGCCACCCCCTGGGCTCCTGCCCCAGCGGCCTGCCCCAGCGGTCACGCTGTGCCAGGGCTCCCTGCAGTGGAGTCTGTTCCCCTAGCCCTCCCTCTGGCCCAGGGTCTGCCCACTGGGAGTCTGTTCCCCCAGCCCTCTCTCTGGCCCAGGGTCTGCCCACTGGGAGTCTGTTCCCCCAGCCCTCACTCTGGCCCAGGGTCTGCCCACTGGGAGTCTGTTCCCCCAGCCCTCTTTCTGGCCCAGGGTCTGCCCACGGAACTGCCGGAATAAGCGGGATAAGCCGGTTCCCTCTGCCAGCAGCCAGGTTTCCGATCTTAGCAGCTTCTCAGCCTTGGTGCCTCCTCATCTCCACTGCAGTTGGTCAGTTTCCTCAGGCTTTTGTGGAAATGGGGGCCTAGAGACCAAGTCTTTATAACAGAAAGGGACTTTTAAAAATATTTCTTTACATTGGTTTCAGGGAGGAAGGGAGAGGGAGGGAGAGATGGAAACATCAGTGATGAAAGAGGACCATTGATTGGCTGCCTCCCGCAAGCCCCACACTGGGAATCCAGCCTGCAACCCAGGCCTGTGCCCTGACCTGGAATGGAACCGTGACCTCCTGGTTCACAGGTGGAGGCTCAACCACTGAGCCATGCCGGCCGGGCAGAAAGGGACTTTTTAAAAATATATATATTTTATTGATTTTTCACAGAGCGGAAGAGAGAGGGATAGAGAGTTAGAAACATCGATGAAAGAGAATCATCAATCAGCTGCCTCCTACACACCCCCTACTGAGGATGTGCCCGAAACCAAGGTACATGCCCTTGACCGGAATCGAACCTGGGACCTTTCAGTCCGCAGGCCGACGTTCTATTCACTGAGCCAAACCGGTTTCGGCAGAAAGGGACTTTTGAACGTAGGAACTCTCCTTACTTTAAGAGATGAGAAAACTGAGGGGTTAGGTCACTTGCTGGGCCTCCACCCGGTCTCCGATCCTCCCTGCCACCCACCGACTGCCGCCTGGCCACCTGTCTTGGTTGCCACATCTCTGTTATTGTCAAAGGTCACCTTAGCTTTTCGGGGGGCAGCCCCATCTCCCTGTTGATGTGTTGAATTTCAAGTCTACTAACACCCTAAATTGTTTTATAACTTTATTATCTTCTCATTGTAAAAATAATATATGCCATTGTAAAAAAAAATTAGAAGATATACGAAAAATATAAAGCATAACCCTTTATAGCACTTCCTGTTGTAGTTTTCCCGCCTTGCACTTGGTGGCCTTGTTTTTCGGTTTGAAAATAGAACTCTACCTTCATCCTCAGTCAGACCCTCTTGCTAGGGCCCAGGCAGCTCTCCTGCCTCTCAGAATCTTGTTTTGTTTCCAGTTCTTGTTGGCACCTGGGCAGGGCGCAAAAAACACCCGTGCTGTGGTTGACTGACCGATGGTGCAAGCATCCAGATTGTCGAAGGAAATACAGACATACCTCGTTTTATTGCACCCTGCTTTATTGCCCCTCATAGACGTTATGGGTTTTGTTGTTGTTTTTAATTATTTTTTTTATTTTAAATATATTTTTATTGATTTCAGAGAGGTAGAGAGAGAGAGAGAAACATCAATGATGAGAATCACTGAGTAACTGCCTCCTGCAGATCCCCTACTGGGGATTGAGTCCACAACCCGGGTATGTGCCCTTGACCGGAATTGAACCTGGGACCCGTCAGTCCACAGGCCAATGATCTAGCCACTGAGCCAAACCGGCTAGGGCCTGATCCCTAAAACACCTTCCCTTTTCTTTTGTTCTTTTCTGACCCTCCCAGTTTTCCCAGACCAGCTGGGTCCCACCTCTTCCAAGAAGTCTTCATTCTTTCAGATACAAAAGACTGTTTTGGGTCTCCTAGCATCTGTATGCAGCCATCCACTTGTCCTTATATGACCTGCACTAAGTTCCTCTCTCCTGGCTGGGCCTACTTCCGTCACTCTTGTTTCCCTCGTCATACCAAGTCGAGAGACCATGATGAACCCTCACAATGATCTGGCTGGGGGAAAAGTGACTGGCCTGAGCCTGCTAGGGAAGGGGTCCCAGCCTTGAGCTTCTCTGAGGAATGGGAGAGAAGAGCTCAGAGGGAGCCCCATCCCTGGCTTCCTGGAAGCCTGCCTGTCCTCAGCTCCTCCTCAGTTTACATAGCAGCTCATCACCTGGGCTCTGACAGTGGGCTCTGCTTGCCGTGCCACCTGCGGAAGGAGATCTGGTTGGTCTTTTGCGTGGGGGCCCTTGCGATAATGAGCTATTTAGAGACACAGGAGGGTTAGTGGCCCTTCCCAATCCTCGGGGCTTCCCACAGGGAGCCTTAGAGGTCAGATCAAGGTTTCCCTTCCTCCTCCCAGCACCAGAGCACGGACCCCTCCGCCCCACGCGGAGTATCACGCCAGGGCCCAGCCTGGCAGCTCGCCTCTCCTCCTCCTCGTCCCCCTGGCAGGGTGTGACGGGAGAATACTGACCTGGGACTCCGAGACCTGGGCCATGAGGTCTCCCCGATGATGCTGGGTGGTGAGGGGGAAGACCAGGCCATCTCTGGATTTGCTGTTACTTTGGATTTTCTTGAGTTGCCACGAGGCCTCCTGGTCTCTACAGGGCAGTGTGCACAGTGCCTGCAGGCAGAGACCTGGGCCGCTCCATTACAGGGTAGCTGGAGACTTGGGCGGCCACCTGACCTCTGCGGGTGGCAACAGCCTCCTCCCTCAGAGGGTGGCTGGAAGGTGCAGTGAGCTGATGTGTATAACACACGAGTGTGGCTGGCACAGGACAGGTGCTGTGAAGTGAGGCCCTCCCATCAGTGTCTGACCCGGAAGTGACATGGACTGTGTGCCTGTTGTTTGGGGACGTGGCTCTTCCTCCTGTGGTCCTGGCAGGCTGTTGGGAAGTGAGGCCAGACTGGACTGCATGATTGTACCGGCCCAATGGAAAGCCTGGGATCAGGATGTGAGAGCATCGGGCAGGCAGAGAGCCCTGGGCCAGGCCCTGCCAGGCTAGATAGAGTCTACAGGCACTGACTGCCGAGACTGAGGCTGGCCACCCAACCTGTCGGTCAGGCCCTTGTCTGCGCCCACTGGTGACCGTAAGAGGATAAGGCTTTTAATAGAACGCACCAATTGTTTGGATTAATTTTCCTGCAAGTGGAAATAGGCCTATAAAACAGAAAAAAGCAGAAGAAAGATTTTCTTTTATTTTAATAGTTGGAAAGTTATAAAATAAAATAGATAACACAGAGCTTTGTGACTTCCTCAGATTGGCAAGGAACACAGGGATACAGACATGTAAACAAACAGAGCTTCCAGATGTTATTGTCCTATAGAATGTCCAGAATACAGCAGCGCCCACTCTCAGCCAAGCTAAATAAGTCTCCACGCAGAGGGCAACGACAGCTCCTTGCCCGCAGCTGGCTGTGCGGGCGCTGCTCTCCCTGGGCACGTCTTCGGGCGGCCTGGGGGCTGTGTTCTGCGGACTGCTTTCAAGTGTGCCTTCTCCAGCCCCTGCCCAGCTCTCCCCTCTGACCCACACCCCGTGCCTGTTATTAGCAGGACACCTGCCACGCTAAGGGAGCCTGGCTGAGTCCCTCAGTTGGAGCCACTGGCTCGGGACCCAGCCTTGCTACTTGAAAAAGTCAGAAAAAAAGGCTACAAATATAACTTATTAGCTATCTAATACTGTCCTCCCGCTATAGGTTTCTGATGTGTCTGGTTATTATTCTGTCCCAATTTTTTGCTGTTGTTCTCAGGTTTTTTACTTAACCTTGCGGCCTGGCCTGGACTCTCCTGTGCTTCAGGCCACGGCTCCGGGCCTCTCAAAGATTCTCCTGCCTGGCTCACCCCTGAGGCTGGACCTGGACAAGCCCTCGACCTCCACAACCGTGAGCTGTTATGCACAAATCTGTTATCAGAAGGCCCTCGGTCGGCCAGGCTGCCTAGAAAGCAGTGGGAGGGAGGCAGAGCTGTGGGAGGGAAGAGCAGAGGGGATGTGCTGTCTCCATGACAGGGGACCAGAGGGCAGTGCATCCTCCAGGCAAGGCCAGAGGAAGGACACAGGAAGTAGGAAGCTCGGGGCGTCAGGGCAGCCACCCCAGAGCACAGCACAGAGGATGTGAAATGTCCAGGATAAATAGAACCGCATGGGAGAGAGATAAGCCAGCTTCATCCTCTCAAAAATAGTCGCCATCAGCACCAAAAATATATTAATATCTATACATTTGTCATCTTTTAAAAAAAGGAAATAAAACCTCCTTGGCACCTTGTCTTGGATTTTTTAAAATGAGGTGATACGTGGAAAGGCCTTCGTGTGTGCAGGCGTGCACATCCTCAGCTGCGCACGCGCCCCGCCGAGGGCATAACCCTGCAGCCCTGGGCGCCGGAAGCACTGCCAGGCGGGTCATCGCCAAGCGTCACCGCCGTCTCTCGCGATGCTTTGTGCCAGTGCTCCTGACCCTGCCATCCACGGGGGGCCAGCAGCCCCACCCTCTGCTCCAGGGGCAGAAAGTCACAGGACCACCTCCTCCGGGAAACAGTTCCTGGCTCTGCGGGGGTGCTGCTTCCTCAAAGGCAGTCCTGGCCTGGCCCTGCCCAGATGCACGCCCGTCTGCCCATAACACAGGTTTGGATCGGCCTCCGTCCAAAATACAAAAGGGCCGACGTGCGCAGAGGTCAGTGCGGGGCTCCAGTCCCATTGCCAGTGTTCCGGCAGGAGGCGGCCTGGCAGGCCGCAGGGGGCTGGCCCCGCCTGGCCGACGGCGCTCAGAGGTGGTGGTTGCTCTGCAGCAGGGAGGTGACGGTGTTCTGCAGGGCCACCGCCACCTTCTTGGAGGTCTTGCGCAGCAGCGGGCTGTCAGGGTGGTGCTCCTTCAGGTGCAGGATGTGGCCCTCCTGGCTCTCGGACGTGCAGCCGCACTCCTCGCACACGTACAGCTTGGCCCGCCGCTCCTTGTACGCGTACTTCTGCTGCACGCCGTGGATCTTCTTGAGGTGAGACTCCAGGGAGCAGCGCTGCGTGAAGGCCTTGTCACACAGGCTGCATTTGTAGGGCCTCACGCCTGCGAGGAGGACAGGGCGGGCGTCAGGACCCGGCGCAGGAAGGCCGGCCCTGCCTCTGGGGAAGAGGAAGGGACGGAGGCCTGTGCGCCCCTCCCCGCCCCCCGCCCCGGACAGCAGGCCTGCTGAGTGTCCCATGTGGCCTCAGCAGGTGCCAACCAAGGGCTCCTCACCAGTGTGGGTGCGGACGTGTCTCTTCAGGTCGAAGGTGTCGTTGAAGCCCTTCCCGCAGTAGGTGCAGAGGTGCCTCTTGACGTCATTGTGACACTTCATGTGGCGGTTCAGCATGCGCTGGTAGGTGAAGGCCTTCTGGCAGATGTGGCAGGTGAAGAGGTCTCCACTGGGGCTGTCGCCCAGGGTCACCTGTGGGCAAGGACAGTCTTTGTGACAGATACCCAGCAGCCAGGACTGCAGGTTGGCAGGTGCTTCCCAATTCCACTTTCCAGGCTGCCAGCCCGCCCCTTCTTTTCTGGAGATGGGCAGGGAACTCCCTATAGAAACAGCCCCATCCATCCTCAGCGACTCTAACTGCTAGAACATTCTCCCCTTCGCTGAGCCCAAATCTTCCCCGTCCTTTCTGTTCTCCATCCTCATTTATGCCTTGGGGACGGGGGAAATGTGCACAACACTGTCTCCTGCGCAGCCCTTCCCGGCTGAAGCCACCGCTGGGAGCCTGGGGCTCCTGGTCAGCCCAGCCCCTGGTTTTACTTGAGCCAGGCCCGGCATGATATGGTTTGGGTCCCTTAGCTACCTGATGACTTGCTTGCTTCTAAGCATTTTTCGTTTTGTTCTTTGTTATTGTGGAAAATCTCAAATCTATTCCCAAGTAGAGGCATATTCTGAGGCTGCCTGTCCTTGGTGGGTAGGTAGCCATCGCCGGCAACTCCTCCTGAGCTCCCGGTGCAGCTGCCACACCGCACCTCCTCCTTCTCTGTGCTCTGGCACTGGGCAAATGCTCCTTATTGCCAGCTAGTCAAGACCAGCACTCGCCCTGGCCAGTTTGGTTCAGTGGATAGAGTGTCGGCCTGTGGACTGAAGGGTTCAGGGTTCGAGTCCGGTCAAAGGCACATGCCCAGGTTGCAGGCTCAATTCCCAGGCAGCCGAGCAATGATTCTTTCTCATCATTAACGTTTGTATTTCTCTCTCCCTTCCTCTCTGAAATCAATAAAAAACATATTAAAATAAAATAAAATAAGACCAGGACTCATTCCAGCACCCGCTCTCCGGTGCGCTCTGCTTTCTAGGCATCCTCCCTATCCACTGGGGCCCAGGCTGGGAGGAAGGTGGTATGGGGATCAGGGGCCCGAGGTGCTGGCTCTCTGGCCAGCCCAGCACACATCTCGGTGGTTTCCCTTTCATTACAACACACGCTTGGCCTCCGCAGGAAACAGAGGGAAGATCAGGATTCCACTGCCAGTTTCTCCAATCTTTTGGCACATGGACGGCGCTTCAGGAACACTGCCACTAGATCAGTGCCGGCGGGTGCCTCCTGGCCTTGAGCTTCAGGAAGGCAGGCCCAGCCAGGGCAGCCCTGCCGCAGGGTGCTCCCCAAGCCCGGCACATGCACTGCTTCCACCGCTGAGTCCAGCAGGGGTCCCCCGCCCCCCCTCCGCCTGCCCTATGTGCAGGGCCTGGAGGGGCGCTGGGTGAGGTGGAGATTGCTGAGCATGTGCCTCAGCAGATAGCCACTGCCGGCGGATTCCAGGCCTCCCTCGCGTCGCTGCCTGGATGGGGCGCCAGGAGAAGGTGCTGAGCCGGCCTCACGTCTCCCTGATTTTCCTAGGATTTCGGTGTAAAGAGGTGGCTCCCCTTGAGGCCAGAAATGAAACTAAACCCCCAGAATGGACTCCACAGGCTTAAATGTCTTTTGAACCCTCTGCTTCTTCCCAGCATGGCAGCCTCACTTTAGAGCACTTTTCTTCTCTTCCAGCCCTGCCTTGCCCCAGCGAGGGCCACCTCTGCAGAAACCTGGGCCCAGCCCCCAGGCCGGTCTCCACAGGTCTCATTTGTGCCACATCTCCTGGCTGTTCCTCAGATAATGCGAGGTCAGTACCTTCATCTTGGTGCGCAGGAAGCCGTGGTCTCTGCTCTGGGGGTCTGCCAGGCGGCTCATATCTTCAGAGGGCAGCTGGGCCACCACGCAGGGTCCAGAGGTCATGCTATAGCCGGAGTTTCGAAGGCTCATGTCCAAAGCCAGCGGGCAAGAAGGGGGTTCAGCCACTGACGGCTCTGGCTCCGGGCGGGGCTGTGGTGGGTAGAAGCCCAGGCTGACTGCAGAGAAAAGAAGAACTATGAGCGGCTTAGTGGAGAAAGGGGGATTCAGGGGGACTTCAGAAAGATTCCCTGGCAATTAGCTGGCTGGAACTTGGAGCCTCCATCCCGCCCCTGGCAGGCATGTGGCAGAGCAGGGCTACCCCCAGCCCACTACACACTGCACCTCCCTCCTGCCCCATTAAGGTAATTACAGGTGACGCCAGCCAAGCGCCTCGACCCACAGGCCTGCCCGCTGAGTAATTTGTGTCTTAGCGGAACTGGGAGGACCGAACCTGCCTGCCAATTATCCTCCAGAGCAGTCTGCCTGCCCCACCTGGGCCCGTCCCTCTGGATTCCGGGCCTCATCCAAGCTCCTGCGAGGACAAAGGGCAGCCCGGAGGCCTGCGCCCAGGGACTCGGCCTGCCCCAGGAGACTTCCTGGTGGCCTGGGCCACCCTGGCCTCTCCTCCAGGCAGATAGCTGCTGGCCTTCGGGGACTGGGTGCTCCTAGCCCAGTGGTTGGCAAACTCATTAGTCACCAGAGCCAAATATCAACAAGACAACAATTGAAATTTCTTCGGAGAGCCAAATTTTTTTTAACTTAAACTTCTTCTAACACCACTTCTTCAAAATAGACTCGCCCAGGCTGTGGTATTTTGTGGAAGAGCCACACTCAAGGGGCCAGAGAGCCGTAGTTTGCCGACCACGGTCCTAGCCCCTTCCTCCTCCGACTGGCCAGTCCCTGCTGCTGCAGCCCAGTAGGGTTCCAGGGTCCCCACTCCCACAGGCCCAGCTTGGCAGGCAAACAGGCTAGGTGGGGTGGAGCAGGGAGGAGGTCAGGGAGCAGCAGGTGGATGCTGCGTAACAGTCTCCTGGGCACCTGCCCAGCTGTTACGCAACCCTCCCCCACAGCAAGGACCGCTCGCTGTACAGTGAGGCTGGCCCGCCCTCCTGGGCACCACCGCCCTCCTCGGCACCGATACCTGGCAGCCTTTGACATGACCGCTCCCCACACCGAACGGGCTGGGGAGTCTTGGCCCCGGGCCCCACTAGGGAGAAGGAAGAGTCCTGAGTGACACACAGGAAACCAGCCTCAGAGCTGGCGGCGGGCACGCAATCTAATGTTTCAGTTTAGTTGAGAATTTTCTTCCAAAAATGCAAAGCTCTGTACTTAAACGGCCCCATGCGTGAGGACCGTTTTCCCAGCCACAGAAGGGAAAACCCAGAGGGGCCAAGAAAGAAAGGACGAGTGAGCTTCAGGGGAGGGAGTCAGGAGGGTGAGTCGGGGTGTCGGGCCCATGACAAGGCCCACTGCCTACAGCCGGTGAGACAGAGGGACCCAGGCCACTGCAACAAGGTCCGGGTGGGCAGACGGACGTGGTGGGGGGGAGGGGAACGTACTGAGGGAGCGCGAATGTGAGAGAACCCAAGTTTCGGGAGAGGCCCCGGCTCTCGCCCCCTCAAAACACAACAAAGGTCTGACAGAGGAAGAATGCGCGGCCTGCCGCCCAAACCCGTTCTGCTGGCACTGGCGTCCGTCTGTCCGGGGACCTTTAATAAGCCACCTCATTCCGGGAGTTGATTCACCAGTGCCTGGCCCTGGCCCCTGAGATGGCGTGGCGCCTCCCCAGGCCCCGGAAGGCCGGCCAGCAAGCCCAAGGGGGGGGTCGGGGAGACACAACTCCTGCCTTGCTACAAGGGCGGCTGCCTACATTCACGGGCTGGGGGGTCTGGGGGGGCACAGGGGCATGTCTGAGTGTTGGCAGTTTAGCAGCTATTACAGATATTGGCCAAGAATTCAAAGCTGAATAACAATCTCCATTTCTCAGTCCAGGTGGAGACAAACCCGACTTCTCCCCGCTTCTGTCTTTTGGGGCAGGAGGGTGTGCGTGAGGCTCGGGAAAGTGGGAGCTGGGCCACATGTGCACATGGAGCAGCAGAGGGAGAAGGGAAGCAGGTGAGTTAGCTGGTGTGGCTCGCGGTTCCTTTTGACAGGTGGGCCCATGGGTAGCGTTCTAAGGACCCACGTTGGTTTGGGAGGAGACCCTGTGCCTGCCTCTCCCATCACACAGACACCTTGGCATGATAGAGCTAAGGACCTGGGCAAGTGTGCGCCCACCTGGCCTGGCCTCCTTGCCTCCTCTAGCTCCACCGAGGGGCAGCTCAGGGCTGCCAGGGTGGGGATGTTTGCCTCATCCCAGCCACCCTGCCAAACCTGCCTCCCCGCCTCCCCAAAGCGTGTCCCTGAGGCTGCCGCACGCACAGGGAAGGGAGTGCTCATCGGCGTGCCGCTCCTGTCACTGAGTGTCACTGAGTGGCAGGAGGCAGGAAGCAGAACTGGTTGGGCCCGCCTTGTGCACCTCTGTCCCCTAATTAGATGTTTCCGGCAAGGCGGTGGCCGCTGTGGCTACTCATTGCCCGCCCACGGCTGTGGCGTGTGGCAAGGCCAAGGCCAAACCAGCCTGGCCCTCTCCCGATTCCCTCAGGGGGTTTGCGGGTTCCCCTTCTGTTGCCCAACTTGCCTCCACCTGCATGACATCGAGGGCACGGGCCCAGAGCAGCCGCCCATCCGAGGCCTTCCCCTCCCTCCCTCCCCCTCAGCAAGTCCTGTCTTTCTTGGATTGAAAACTACTGGGTCCGTCCTGGCCAGTGTGGCTCAGTTGGTTGAAGTGTCGTCCCATATACCGGAAGGTTGTGGGTTCGATCCCTGGTCAGGACACATACAGAAGGCAACCAATCGATGTTGCCTCTCACATCAATTTTCCCTTCCTTCCCTCCCTCCCCTCTCTCTAAAATCAATAAGCAATTCCTCAGGCGAGGATTAAATCTTTCTTTTTTTTTAAAAATATATTTTATTGATTTTGTACAGAGGGGAAGGGAGAGAGATAGAGAGTTAGAAACATCGATGAGAGAGAGTCATCGATCAGCTGCCTCTTGCACACCCCCTACTGGGGATATGCCTGCAACCAAGGTACATGCCCTTGACCGGAATCGAACCTGGGACCCTTCAGTCCCCAAGCCGATGCTCTATCCATTGAGCCAAACCGGTCTCGGCAGATTAAATCTTTTTTTTAAGCTACTGGGCCAAATACTGGACAGAGTGCCAGGTCCTGCTCCGTCTAAGGCCTCAGGCCAGGGCTGGCAGGAGGTCTGGTCCCAGCTCTTGGGGTGGGGGGTTGGGGGGGTGGGGGGGAGGAGCAAGTGAAGCAGATGGGAGGATGCACAGCCTCTGACCACGGGGCTGGTGCTGGCATTGGTGCTGGCGCTGACCTGGGGGTGGGGATCCACTTGGCTCTAAATGGGGGGAGGACCCAAGTAGGTGTTAGGCAGCCTGACACCTTATCTGCAAGGGCAGGGGTCTTGTGCCCGTCTCCGGCCCCAGCAGGTCAGCCAGCAATGCCCGAAAGAAAGCCAGTGTCCACCTAGTGTGAGGGCTGAGAGCACAGTTTCAACTTCATTTCAAATGGTATGAAAAGTGGGTGGGGGGTGGGGAAAAGATACTGCCTGAGAGAAAAACAGGTGTTCACAGAATGAACACCAGCTGAAGGACAGACCCATGTATTTCCAGGGCTAAATGGGAACACCAGCCGAAGACCCTGTCCCATTCTGTGAACACCCCGTTTTCCTCTCAGGCGGAATCTTTTCCCCCTTCCCCACCCACTTTTCATCCATCTGTAATGAAGTTGAAACTGTGCCCTCAGTCCTCACTAGGTGGACAGCCCCGACCAGGAGCTATGCCCCGTTTGCATCCTTCCTACCCTCCATTCAGCAGGGGCTGGGCCCTGCAGGACTCCACACAAGACTTGTCAGAAGTGAACAGCGTTACAAAGAAACCCAGACATTAGCCAAGCCCAGGCTTCGCTCCTGTCCTCCCTGTGCCCAGAGGACTTGCCCTCACAGCTCTTTTTCTGGGACAAATGCTCTGGCAGGTTCTGCCTTGGGTCATCCAAGCTAGGAACAAACAGGTTGGCAGCCTGGGTGGTGGCACCCCAGAGGACAGGCAGGAGTCCCATCGAGCCCACTGCCCAGGCCCAAGTTGCTCTTCTGTCCCCATCCACTGCCTGCTGTCTGCTCGCCCAGCCTTGCTCCCTGGAGAGCCTGGTGACCAGTCGTTCACTGCCAACACTTCCCAGGAATTACAAGAGTAACCTTCACCAGCCTAGCTGGGTAGCTCAGTTGGTTAGAGCAGTGATCGGCAAACTGCTCTTGAGCCACACGCGGCTCTTTGGCCCCTTGAGTTTTTAGCAAAGGTCAGCTTAGGAGTACCCTAATTAAGTTAATAACAATGTACCTACCTATATAGTTTAAGTTTAAAAAATCTGGCTCTCAAAAGAAATTTCAACCAAACTGTTGATATTTGGCTCTGTTGACTAATGAGTTTGCCGACCACTGGGTTAGAGCATCGTCCCGATATGTTAAGCTTGTAGGTTCAACCCCCGTTTAGGGCACATACAAGAATCAACGGATCAATGCATAAATAAGTGGAACAACACACTGACGTCTCTCTCCCTCTCTCACTCAAATCACCACATTAAAAAAAATCATCCTCATCCTCATCCTCATGATCACCGGAGGCCTATTCTCTCCCCACCCCACACATATATTCTGGGACCCAAAGCTGACTTTCCTGGCCTTTCTAAGATACCGGCGCTGCCTTCGGGCCAGGTGCCTGCCTGCCTCCTGGGGTGGGCACGTGCTGAGGAACGGCAGAACAGGTAGCAGAGGCTCCAAGCAGAGGAGGGGGTGGCTGGGGGCCGCTCCCGTCATTCCAGCTACCTTCCAGAGCCCTCTGGCTTGCCAGATTGAGGCTGCACTTAACGCCCTGGAGGACGTGCTCTGAGCTTCCCCTTCAGCCCAGGAAATGGAATTCAGCCCCTGGGTACAAAGGGTGGGGGCATCCTAAGAAATGAGCATTACTCCCAGCACTAGAGTCAGCATTGCCATAACAAAGGAGAAACGCCAGGGGAGACCAGGGAGAGAGGGAGTGAAGGGCACCAGCAGGCAGCATCTCAACCTGAACTGCAACCCTTTCACCTCCCAGCGCGGTGTCCCCCTCCCCCTTCCTGGGCTTGTCCTTGGCTTTGGGAGGAGAGTGAGGCCCACGGGAAAGGTTCTGCCCTGGGGAGTGAGTTGGGGAACCTCTTGAACTGGGCTGGGCCTCAGGGAGAGCTGGAGTGCTGGTCGGACTGGGCCCAGTCGGTAAAAACACAACTCCTTCCACTGCGCTCTGTGCTTAAGGGTCGAGGGCCTGGCGGGAAGGTAGACCGCAAACACTCCCTGTCCCCAACCCTGCAGCGCCCCTGGGGGAAAGGACAGGGTCCATGCTTAGCTGGTCACAACGTGCCTAGCCTGTGAGGTGGGGTGATGGAAACGTGCCCAGCCGGCTCCTGGGGTCACAGTTGACTGGTGATGGATGGCCCCGCCAGGGGACAGGCCAGCCCCCCCCCCCCCACACACACACTCTCCAGCCCTCTGGGGCACCCGAGCGTGGCCCGAGAACATTCCATTTCTCATTTCCAAAAACTGTGGGAAAACTCCAATGTGCCACACGGCTTTTGAGGCAAAATTAAGTTTTTTAACTTCTTGACTTGACTCCACAGGGTTCTCCCTGCAGAGCGATGAGGGTGCATTCTCGCAGGCACCTCCGGATGAGACCCTCTGAGGCCGGGACCGTCCTGCAGGGCGGGGGCCCGCGGGCCTCCCTCCCTGGGTCCCAGCAGCAGGTGACGGACACCCAGGAGCCTCCGCTCACCCCCCGGGACAGCCCCGGGGTGCGGTCTCCTCAGCCGCCCCCTCGGGCCGCCAGGACTGTGGGGGGAAATCACTGGGCGAAGGAAGTCAATGATTCCAAAAAGCGGAATTTCTTTGTCCTTTGTAAAAGTCAGCACATGATCTGTTCCCGATGGGGATGCGAAATAAAATAAAAATAACAGCACGCCGAGCCTCCCGCGCGGCTCCCGGCTCACCTTTACCTCAGTCCAAGCTCGGTTATCAGATCCCGGGGCGCAGCTAGGCGGCAAGTCACACCCCGTGAGGGCGGCCGGGAGGCGCCGGCGCCGGGGAAGGGGACGGGGAGCGGGGCCGGTAAACACGCCGCCCGGGCCGGTGCCCCTCAGGGAGGCGGCCCCCTCCCGTCAGTTCCCCCGGAGAGCGGGGCCGGCGGCCCCCGGGTGCGGGGCCGAGGAGGGGCTGGGCTGAGAGGAGGCTGAGCTGAGAGACTTCCCGCCGGGCCGCGCCTTTACCACACAGGTAACCAGAGCGCCTTTTCCAGAAACTTCTGGAGAGAAACTGAGGCAAGAGCCCTCCCAGGGCCCCTCCGCCCTCCGTCTCCGCTTCCCTCCGCGGCCTGGGGCGGTGCCAGCGGCCAAGGGTCAAAGTCGGTTGGTTAATGGCCGCCTCCCCCCCGGAGGCGCTGCCGGGGTTTGGCACCTCCCGCCCCGGCCTGAGGAGGGGGCGCCCCGGCGGAGGCGGCTTCTCGGGGGAGACGGCGCGGGAGGGGCGCCCCGCACAGAGGTTCTGGGCTGAGGGAGGGGCGGCGGCGGGAAGCAGCGCGGGCTCCTCAGTCAGAGCGGCCCCGACGCCGCGGTCCCGGCGTCTCCACACAAACGGGGTGTCCGGCCCCCGGGCCTGTCCCTGGCCCCTGGCTGTGGGGTGGCCTCCTCAACCCCACTGTCAGCTCCACCGCGTCCCCCGCAAGGTGGGAGGCGCCTTTGTAACGGGGGAGCCCTGACCCACCTGTCTCCGGGGCGAGCGGGGTGCGGCCCAGCGCTGTCCCCTCAGGCCCTCAGCGCCCGCCCGGCCTCACCCCGACCTCCGGCCGCCGTGCAGGGGGAGCGGGACCAATGGAGGCGGCTCACACTCCGGGTCTCTCTCACGTTTTGCACAAATCTCAGCGCAAGTCCAGCCCGCTCCCTGCCCCCCGGAGAGGCATCGCTCCAGTGCCCCCTTCCCGCCTCATAAAGCCCGGCTTTCCGGATTTACGACGCGGGAGCGGGGGTCCCGGAGCGGGGGCACACCCGGCCGCCCCCTGCGCGGCTCGGCCGGTGAGGGGGGGGCGCCGCTCGGAGAGGGCGCCTCAGGCCGCCCGCCCCCGCCCGCCGCGGGGCCTGGGAACGGCTCTCCCCCCACGGCGCGGCCGCCCCCGCCCCCCCCCCCCCGGCTTCTCCTTCCGCTGCCCCCTCCCCTCCCCTCTCCTTCCCTCCCCTCCCCTCCCCCCGGCGCCGCCTAACGGGGCCGCGGCCGCTGGAACATTAAGTCGAGCGCCCGCGCGTCCACCGCCTCGACGGGGCCGGGGGAGGCGGCGGGCCGGGCCAGGGGGAGATGGCGGGCCGGGCGCTCACCGGGCACGTAGATCTCGCCGCGCTCCTCGTCGGGGAGCTCGCTCCAGTTCCGCTTGCACGTGGACACGCACGGCTTCTTCACCAGAAACGCGCGGGGCATTTTCGAACCCTGCTCGCCGGCACCGGCCGCTTCCGTAACCTAAGCCGGCGCCGTCCACCTTCCCGGGGGCTGAGGCGGCGGGGCAGGAGGCGGCGGGCTGAGGCGGTCGGGGAAGAAGTCGCCGAAGCGCCCGGCGTTCCTCAGAGCCCGTGGCCTGGACGCCGCGCGCCGGTCCCGCTCCTCCTCGGAAGGACGAACAGCCAGGTGCGGCGGCGGCGGCAGGTAAGCTCTCCCGCTCGGCTGGCGTCCCCGCGGCCGCTCGGCGAGTCCTCAAGTGCGGGCGGCGGCCGGGGCGCGCTTTATGGGCTCGCGGCGGCGTGCGGTGGCGGGGCGGGAGCGGGCGATCCGGGCTAATTAGCGTGCAGTGGCCCGGCGCACGGCGCATGCGTTGGGAAATAACGGTGACAACCCACCTATGCGGTACCTGTCGGACCGGTTCTCATTCCGCTGCGGGTGAGGTGGCCTGGCGGCCGGGGCGGGGTGGCGGCGGGGGCGGGGGCGGGCGCCGGGCACCCAGCTCCCGGCCGCCCAACCAGCCCAGCCGCCGCCGCCGCCGCCCAGACCTCCCGGACCGGGCGCCGCGTTCGCAGCGGAGTGGGGAGTTTCGGAGGGAGGAGGGAGGGGAGGCAGGGGAGGGAGGAGGCAACGTTATTTGCACCGGCGCTCGCACGCTCTGGGGTGATGAAATAAAACTCGCCCAACTGGGTCCGGCCCGGCGCGCCCCGGGCCTGGGGAGGCGCGAAACCGTCGGGCGGGAGCGGGCGGCCGGCCCACACTCGTTGAACCCGCCCGGGCCCGGGGAGCCCGGATCCCGGCGGCGGGCTGAGCAATCCGTTGATGTCTGCTGGGCGCGGGCTGCGTGCGGGAGGGCACGCGGGGCCCGGAGCGGGCAGACGGCGACCACGCGCGGGGCCGCAATGGAAAGCGGGGAGCGCTGGGTTCTGGCCGGGGCGTGCGGAGGGCTTCGTGGAGGAAGGGGGCGTTTAAACCGCTGAGTTCACCGGGATCCTGAAAGACGCCAGGGCCTTAATCATTGGGGCTTACACACGCGCAGGCACCCTCGTTTTTGTCCCAAATGGACGGAGAGCCGCGGACTCCATAGGAAGTCAGTCCCAGCCTGGCTGCAGCCCGGACAGGAAGCTCGTGTCGGCTTCCCCCTAGAGCCCACCCTTGGCCCAGGTTCTGCCTGGGACCTTCCCCAGCCATTCATCATTAGTCAATGTCATTTCTCCAGGATTTATCCAAAAAGATAAGTGCATAGTAGGTGCCACTGAGCGTTGGGGGGCTTCCATGAGGCTGGCCACTGGCCACTTTGGCCTCAGCTGAGTTTCTCTTACAGTCAGGGCAGGAATGGGACAGGACCCTCCTTTTTCGCTCTCTCCCTGCCCCATAATAAACATTTCAACCACACACACCTTCCTCACAAATTAAACGTTTCCCGGAACAGATTAAGAGGAAATGAGTCTGAAAAATGAATTCACAAGTCACATTGAACAAGGTTCAAAAGTCACAAGTGAAAAGAGGAGTCCTTTAGGGCATCCAGCTGGAGAGGACAGTTTTTCAAGGGATGGCTTCCGGAGGCCCTTTCCCTCCCCCAAGGGCGGCTGTGGAGCATCCTGCCTGGTGGGGAGAGGGTGGGCCTGGGGGTCAAATGAACCTCCTCCTCCACTCCTTCCCGGAACCTGTAAGTGTAGCTAAGGGGCTTTCCTTCCTTCCTGCTTCTTTGTCACCTGAGAATCCTATCACCTACCTCCCAGGGTCCCTGGGAGGGGGTGTGGACTTGGCAGTGGGGGTACTATTCACCCCACCCTTCCCTTTCCTTCCCAGGGATCTGCCTTCAGGCAGCCCATGTCTGCCTGTCAACCTTCCACTTTTATCCCAGACTTTCTTTCAACTGACCCCAAGTGAGCACCTACTATGTGCTTATCTTTTGGGATAAACCCCGAGGAACAATACTGACTAACAGTCTGCCTAGGAGAGGTGCACTTAGCTCATTCACTCAGTACGTATGGATTGAGCACTTTGCCGTGCCAGGCCTGAGGGGGCCGGTACACAGGCGAGGCTCGGTGAGCACCTGTGGCCGTCTTCAGGGGCGGCCCTGGGTACAAGAGGGGGTCTTTTTCATGGTCTGGGAAAGAGGCCCCTGCTGTCCGTGGCTCTCTTTATACCTCTATGTGCCTGGCGTGGTGGCTTAGCAATATAGATTGAATGAATGAATATCCTGTTTTTCTTGATTCATGTGGCCCATTCAGCCTTTCCTGTTCCAACTTTTGGTATACACATAGGTAAAGGGCAAAGTTCTTTGTTTGTGTTTTGTTGTTGCTGTTAACCCTCATCTGAGGATGTTTTTCCATTGATTTTTTAGAGAGAGTGGAGAGAGAGAGAGAGAGAGAGAGAGAGAGAGAGACTTCAATGATGAGAGAGAATCATAAATCTGCGGCCTCCTGCATGCATCCTACTGGGGATGGAGCCCAGGCATGTGCCTGACCGGGTTGATGCTCAACCACTGAACCACACTGGCCAGGCCAGAGCAAGATTTTTTATTACAAAGAGAACAATAGTGCATGCCGGGACCGGTTTGGCTCAATGGATAGAGCGTCGGCTTGGGGACTGAAGGGTCCCGGGTTCGATTCCGGTCAAGGGCATGTACCTTGGTTGCGGGCACATCCCCAGGAGGGGGTGTGCAAGAGGCAGCTGATTGATGACTCTCTCTCATTGATGTTTCTAACTCTCTATCTCTCTCCCTTCCTCCCTGTATAAAATCAATAAAATATATTTTTAAAAAAACAAACAAAAAAAAAAAACAAAGAGAACAATAGTGCAAATTCAGTGATAAGAGGCGACTGGCGCTGGCTGTCAGGGAGAGGCTGGAGACTTTGGAGAATGTGCTACCTACAGGGGCAGTGACAGTGACAGAGAAACCCAATGTGGCCACACCTGTCCTTTTCCAAGAGAAATAGAAACTCCAGGTTAGTATGTGGACGCAAAAAATTTTAAAACATAGAATGAGTTCAATAAAATGCCTACGTGGGTCAGATTTGTCTCAGGCTAATGGTGTGTGGCCTGTGGTTCCTGGGCAGCTCTGGAACCAGTGTGTCCGAACTTGGGTAAACACGGAAACTCAACTGTGAGCTCCGTGAAGACACTGTCCATGCATCCAGTTAGATATCATTCATGCATTCCTTAATTATCAACAAGTACTTATTGAACATCAACTGTACAGTAGGCACATAACCTGTAAAGGTAAACAAAAAGCTAAGGAAACTATTGCTGTGACACAGGACTTTAGTGATGGATGGTGACAGGCAGGGTGCTGAGGTCTGAAGGAGAGGCAGGAGCCAGCTGTGTGGAGCCGGGAAGAGCAGACCTGCAGGAGGAACAGGCTGGTGCGAAGCCTCCAGAGCGGGAGTGAGCCTCGTGTGTGCGGTGAACCGAAGGGAGAGGCGGCCGGATTGGGAGGGGAGGGGCGGGGAGGTGTGGGAACGGGGCTAGCAGAGGCAGGTGGGCCACATGGTGTGAGGGTCAGTGTGGTGGGGCTCCGGGTCAGGGAACGGGATGGAGTGTGTTCGGAGGAGGGGTGTGTGTGAGGGTGGCTGTAGGGAGACCAGGAAGGAGGCTGCTGTTACAGTTGGAGCAGGAGGTGGCAGGGGCCTGGGTCAGTCCAGCAGCCATGAGCGTGGACTCTGGATGTTGTGGGTGAACGCCTCTCGTAGGCATAGTGGACCGGGGTGTGAAGGAGGCGGAACCCAGCAGGCTAGGGAGGACCATGCCCCTCGGAGTGCGTGGCTGCCATCCAGAGCAGCCCAGAACAGCGAGGACAGGAGCGGGTGGAGGGAGAAGGTTTGCAACCAGCCTTCCTGTTCTCAGGGAAGGCTTCCAGAGGAGCCCGGACGGTGTGCAGGCTGCAGCCTCAGGCCAGGGGGCTTCCGGAAGCTGAGACGTGCTGAGAGGACAAGCAGTAGAGAGCACTTGGCCAGTCGGGTCCCCCAGACTCATCTTGGGGCCTCAGTTTACACATCTGTGAAGTGGGGCTCCTCGTTCCTGCTCTGCTCCTCAGAGCTGTCAAATGATGCTATCAGTTTCTTTTTGCCGGAAGGCCAGCAGCCCTGGAAAATGAACTCAGCCTCAAAGCGGCCAGTGTGCCCTGGCCCCGAGGCCTCTGTCCAGCCTGTCTGGCAGCTGTGGGGGGGCTGCAAAGCCCCGAACAGAGTGGAGTGCTGGGGGGACTGATTCCTTCATCTCTTGCTGAGTTCCTGCCATGGGCCTCTCAACCAACTGCCAGGGGGGGCCAGGGCCGCTTGGGGCTGGCAGGGAGCGGGCTGCACGTGGGTAGGAAGCTCCTGAGATGGTGCTGGGGGCCGTGGGCAGAGGAGCGGGCTCCCTGGACCAGCTCTAGAGCCTCGAGAACGCCGAGGGAAGCCATGGGTCACTGTTGGAAGAGGCCAACGCCTGGTGAGGCTCACCACTGTGGCCACGTGTCTGACCTGCCAGACTTTATTTCTTTTTTTAAAAAAAGTCTTTTATTGATTTTTTTACAGAGAGGAAGAGAGGGACAGAGAGCTAGAAACATCGATGAGAGAGATACATCAATCAGCTGCCCACTGCACACCCCCCACTGAGGATGTGCCCGCAACCAATGTACATGCCCCAGACTGGAATCGAACCCGGGACCCTTCAGTCCGCAGGCCGACACTCTATCCACTGAGCCAAACCGGTTTCGGCAACCTGGAACACCTTTTGCTACTTGATGGCTGACTGCCTCTCATCACTCAGGTCTCAGCCAAAGGTTCCCTTTCCTGAGAACTGACCCCCCAGCTAGAACCGCTGCAGCTGCTAGTGACCTGCCACGCTCCACACCAACCCCTGGTGATCAGTGCATGTCATAGCGAGCGATCGAGCTCCCGGTCCCCAGGCCAGCCCCGCTGCCCTGCCTGTGTCTACTCCAGGGCTGCCCAAGCCAGAGCAGTCTGTCTATGTCTGTGCGCGCGACCTCCTCTGTCCCGTCGTGACCTGTTAGGATTACAGTGTTCCAGTCTAATTTGCATATTACCTCTTTATATATAGATAATCCGTATATCAGAAAACCTACCCTTTTAAAGTATACAGTTCCATGGTTTTTAATGTCTTCACCATGTGCAACCATCACCCCAAATGAAACCCAGTTCCCATTAGTAGTCACTCCCCACTCCTCTCAACCTCTGGCACCCACTTCTCTGCTTTCTCTCAGGCATGTTCTTTTCAAACATCTCCTGTCACCCCCGTACGTTTAACTAAGCCAGTGTGGCGCAGTTGGTTGAGTGTCATCCCATGCAACAGGGGGTCACAGTTCCATTCCCGGTCAGACACATGCCTGGATTTGGGGCTCAGTCCCCAGGGCGTGAGAGAGAGTGGTCATGTGGGAGGCAGCCACGTGATGCTTCTCTCTCATCGGTGTTTCTTTTGTTTTGTTGTTTCTCATCGATGCTTCTTTTTTTATTATGATTATTCTATTGATTTTTTACAGAGAGGAAGGGAGAGAGATAGTTAGAAACATCGATGAGTCATCGATCAGCTGCCTCTTGCACGCCCCCTACTGGGGATGTGCTCTCAACCAAGGTACATGCCCTTGACCGGAATCGAACCCAGGACCTTTGAGTCCTCAGGCCGACGCTCTATCCACTGAGCCAAACCGGTTTTGGCTCTCATCGATGTTTCTATAGCTCTCTCCATCTCTCTGAAATCAATAAAAACATACAGAAATAATAATAAAATGAAACACCCCTGAACCCCTAGTGCCCAGTGCTGTGAGGAAAGATTGATCGCATCCCTCACTTTATAGGTGAGAAGGCGGCTCAGGACCCCTCAGGAAATTGGTTTTCCCTGGTCCAAGCCTGTGTTTATCCCCTCCCCAGAGCCAGGTTGCACTGAGTGGAAGGAAGAGGAGCAGGGAGGTGTGGGCGTCGAGGGGGGAGTTCCCTCCCTGGCTACCTGGCCGCGGCCCACACCGGGCGTCCCTGGGAGGTCACCGTCAGAGGCAGGTCTGTGGCTGCAGACTGAGGAACATTCATGCCCTCACTGCTGGTGAGCCGAGTTCAGCTCTGTGCCTGTCCTGTGCCAGGGACCGACCAGCACCACCCGCCCACCGGGGAGCAGGGCAAGCAGCGGAGGGCAGGGCCCAGCCGAGGATCTGGACAGCCAGGAGGGCTGAGGGCAGCTGGTATGGGAGGAGGCCACGTCAGGGCAGCGAGGGGCAGCGCTTAAGTCCGGGCTCCACTTCTCGGGAGCTCTGGGACTCTGGGCCTCCTTCCCCACCTGTGCACGGCGCCCCTCCGAGGGCCCCGCAGGTGCTGTGGGCCGAGTCCACGTGGATGAGCCACTACAGCATCGGGCCCGGGCCATAGGAGCCCAGGCTCAGAGAGGCTGGCGGCTGTCCGCGGCCGAGTGGGGGCCAGAGCAGCGTCAGATTCGGACCCTTTGAAGCCTGTCCCCTCCGCTGTAAAAGGGTTTAATAACCAGCGCTCCCTCCTGTGGGTGCTGAGGGCTGGGGTGTCAGTTATCAGCACCCTCTGGGCCTCAGACAGGGAAACCAGACAAGCTCCCTCCCCGGCTGCTCTCATCCTGGCTCTTTCATCTTCAGCTAATGAGCCAGGCCGCCCACCCCACCCTCTTTCAGGGGGTATCACTCCCATTTTATAGATGGAGAAACGGAGGCACCTCCAGGGCAGTGGTTTGGGGCTGCCGCCTGTGAGTCAACTGTGGAGCCAGGACCGTGGAGCCGGGACAGGCTTTCCAGTCGGACCTGTCCTGGGGAGGATCCTTGTCTCCATCCACCACCACCACCTCCCCGCCCCCCAAACCCTCTCTTCCAGCTACCCTATCACTCCTGCCTCTGGAAGGCAGCAGGTTGGGGGAGGGAGGGACCTGTGAAGCCTGGAGGAGAGAGAAACTAGTCAGCAGCTGCTAGTGCGGGGCTCAGGCCTGTTTCATCTTCAAAGCGGCTGATGAGAGCCGCAGGTGGCAGGCCAGCGGGCGTGGGGTCCGCCGCCTGCAGTTCTGGGCCTTGGGAACCTGCATCATGGGGGCATCAGCAGCCTTGGTCCCGGCCCAGGACCAGCTCCTAGGAAACCCCTGCCCAGCTCCCTTGGTGGCCCCAAAAGCCTTGACCCAGCCTCTGTGGACCCCGCACTCTTGGCCCCAGGTCTTCCCGCAAAGCCTAGGTTTCCGGTCGGTGCCAGGCATGCGGTGCCATGACCCCGTGACAGGCCAGGCTCTGCAGCCCGCACTCCGCATCCCGTTGTTTTGCTTCATCCCGGTTTATGGTCTGTCCCCAGCTTTACGCCGGCCGGCAGCCGCGACCATGGCCGGCCGCCGGCGCCGCCGCTGGCACAAGCCAGCAGCTTCCTCCGCCGTGACCCGCGCCGGCTCCGCGCCCCCACGCCGAGCGGGCGGGGGCTCCCCGGGCGGCGTCGGGGAAGCGAAGCCAAGCCCCGGGGCGCCGGCCCGACCGGTTCAGCCGGGCCGCGGCCGCTTCCTGCGGGAGCCCGGGCCGCACCCCGCGCCCGCAGCGGCCCCTGCGCCGCCCCCTCCCCGGGGTGCGGTGCGCCCGGGCGCCGGCGGGGGGCGCAGGCTTCCACCGCCGCCCCGGGGCGCTGTCCCCCAGGCCCCGGGACCGCAGCTCGCGCCAGGGCACCGGCGTCTGGGAGCGCCCCCGCCCCCACCCCTGCGGCCCGCGGCGGTTTCGGGGGAGGGGGCTGCGCGCAGCGGGACAGTTACTCAGCCGGCGAAACCGGCGAGTCGGCACCTGCCGGCCGGTGGGCGGGGAAGGCGGCGGCCCCGTTACGGCCTCGCCCCGCCCGGCCGGCCGCCCACGCGCCGCCCCGCCCCGCGCCGCGCGCCCCGCCCGCCGCCGCCCGGAAGGAGCGGCCCGCAGCGCCGGCGGCGGTGAGTCAGGAGGCGAGCGGCCGCCGTTACCGGGCGCCGCGCCGGGCGGCGCTGTGGTTTCGGTGCCGCCGCGGGCGGAGGGCGGGCTGATGAGCTCCCGGCACGCACCCCGCGCCCGCGCCCCGCCGGCACCCGCCCCCGCCCCCGCGGGTCTCCCCGCAGAGATCCGGCGGCCCGCCCAGCGGCGCCCTGAAGCCGGCTGGGGTCCCCCTGGCGTTGGCGTGTAGTCAGGGTGGCTGAGGGCTGCAAGGGCTGCGGGGTGACGCTGCCTCCCTCCTTCGGGGTGGCGGCGCCGGCCTGATCCCCCCTCTCCCTGCAGAGACCCACGTGCCGGCCATGGGGCCCCTGAGCCGGGAGGCCTGGGCCCAGCTCCTGGGCGCCTTCCGGGCCAGTCCGTCCGCCTTCATGGCAGCTCCTGAGGGTGAGGATCTGGGTCGTGACCTGCTGAGCGACCTGAGGAGTGAGAAGCTGAGCGAACCGACCAAGGTAGGCCCTGACCGCCCGCCCCTGCCCGGGCCCGTATGGTCTCCCCAACCCACCGCGCTCTGAACTCCATCCTCCAAATCTCCCACCCCAGGTTTCCATGCTGGCCCTGAGCTTGGAGTACCCAGCCCAGTTGTGGCCGGATGCCCCTGCAGCCGAGGCAGCCGCCACCTCCCTGTTGGATACCCTAGTCCTTCTACCCCCACGGCCGTCAGCTCTGCGGAGGCCCCTGTTGCTGGCAGCAACCACAGCCCTGGTGACCGGAGGTGCGCTCGGCCCCACCTCCGGGGCCTCCCTGCGGCTTCTGCCCCTGCTGCTGGGCTTGGCTTCAGGTGGCGATCTGGGGCGAGGCTTTGGCCCCGCCTCGGAGCAGCGACCCCTGCAGGCCACTGCGTGCGAGTGCCTGCGGGAGCTGGAGAGCTGCCAGCCTGGGCTGCTGGGGGGCTGCCTGGGGCTTCTCCGTGGCCTGTTGGGACAAGAGGGCCCCGTGGCCCCTGTCCAGCCGCTCAGCCTGCTGCTGGCGCTGGCCCTGCGGAACACCTTGGTGATACAGGCGAGGGCCGGGGCCAGCCTGCAGGGCCTGCTCACAGTCAGGGCTTCTCCCCCTGGGGGTGGCCCCTGGAACTGGACACTGGCTCAAGCGGGCGAAGCCCACCTTCAGCCCCAAGCGCCCAGCTGGCCTGCCGCTGAGGAGGAGTGCCGCCTTTCCGCGCTAGAGCCCAGCCCCGAGGAGGCCCGGGAGCTGCGGGCTGCGGTGGCCCAGCTGCTGGACACCTCGTACCTGCTCACACCTGTGGCCCAGGCCCAGCTCCTGTGGCTGCTGGGCTGGGCCCTGCGGGGTCTGCGGGGACAGCCTCCGGTGCTCTTCAAGCCGCAGCTGGTCCGGCTGCTGAGCACAGCCCAGCTGACCCTGCTGCACGCCGTGCTGGCGCTGAAGGCGGCCTTCGGCGAGGCACTGTTCACGGCTCAGGACGAGGCCCTGCTGCTCCGCCGGCTCACCCTGGCCGCGCAGCACCCAGCCCTGCCCCTGCCCGCCCACCTCTTCCACCTGCACTGCCTCCTGAGCTTCCCGGAGAACTGCCCGCTGGGCCCCGCGGGCGAAGAGGCTGCCCCCCTGCTGCTGGAGCCGCAGCTCTGCCGTGGCCTCCTGCCCCACCTCCTTCTCGACCCCATGGCCCTCCTGGCCCGCCTGCACCTGCTGTGCCTTCTCTGTGCCGAGGACGAGCAAGAGGAGAAAGGACAGGCGCAGAGCCCCTGCCACTACTTGCAGGAGCTCCTGGCTGGCCTGCAGCAGAGGGCGGCCCTTCCGGGAAGCCCCCGGGCCTTGGCTACCCTCTGCTTCCGGGCTTCATACCTCGTCGCCCGCTGCCTGGCCGGGCGCCATGCAGTGCTGACACCCCTGACCCACGGACTGGCCCAGCTCTACCGAGCCCGGCCTGCGCTGGCTCCCCATTTTGTTGACCTCTTGGATCGAGTGGCCCCTGAGCTGGGGGAGCTCCTGAGGGTGGTGTTGAGGCAAGAGGTGGTATCCAGGCCAGGTGGGGGTGAGGCCCTTCGTTGGCACCTGCAGATGCTGGCAAGGGTGGCAGACAGGGATGCTCAGAGTGCCACCCTCGCTTTCCTGCAGGCGGCAGCTGTCCATTGCTCTGACTGGGGCCTCCAGCAGGCCTTGCTGCGAGTCTGCCGGGCCCTGCTGCGGGCGGGTGTCGGGGGAGGCCTGGCAGACTTGCTGCAGGCGTTGGCCAGGCAGTTGGAGGACCCGGATGGGCGGGACCACGCCCGCCTCTACTACATCCTCCTGAGCCACCTGTCGGGGCCCAAGCTGGGCGTGGCCCTGGGCCCCTCCCTTGCTGCACCTGCACTGACCTCCCTGGTGGCGGAGAACCAGGGCTTTGCCACGGCACTGATGGTGCAGGAGGCCCCAGCCCCGATTCGGCTGAGCGTGGGAACCCAGAGGGCTGAGGGCCCGGTGCCCGTGCTGCAGCTCCAGGTAGAGGTGCTGGAGCCAGTGTACTCTCTGGAGCTGCGCTTCCGAGTGGAAGGACACGTCTATGCGCCCCTGGGGGCTGTCCACGTGCCCTGCCTGTGCCCTGGCCGCCCGGCCCGCCCTCTGCTCCTGCCCCTGCAGCCGCGGCGCCCAGCCCCCACACAGCTGGACATCCGTGCTCTTTACACCAGGTCCACTGGCCTCACGTGCTACACCCGCCTGCCCCCACTGCCTGTGAAGTTCGCCGACCTCTTCCTGCCTTTCCCGAAGCCCCCTGGGGGTGCCAGCTCAGGCTTCTTCGAGGAGCTGTGGGACTCCTGCCTGCCAAAGGGCGCCGAGAGTCGCCTGTGGTGCCCTCTTGGGCCACACGGTCTGGAGGCCTTGGTGTCACGCCACCTGGAGCCCTTTGTAGTGGTGGCCCAGCCCCCCACCAGCTACCACGTAGCCATCCGCCTGCCTCCGGACTCAGCACTGCTGCTGCGGCTGGAGGCGGCCCAGGCGGACGGCGTGCCCGTGGTCCTGCGGACGGATGACTGGGCGGTGCTGCCCCTGGCGGGCGACTACCTCCGAGGGCTGTCCGCTGCGGGCTGAGCCGGCTGGGCTGGGCCGGGCCGGGGGGACAGGACTGTGGCCCTTACAGGGTCTTGTCTCAGAGGGGCAGCCGCACAGCAGGACATGGTCCAATGGACCCTTTTTAAAAACCCGTTCACCAGTGACCCTCGTTTGTGTCCTTCTGGGCCCTCCTCGGGAGCAGATCCCTGGGATGGGGCAGAGGCTCCCAGAAAGCTTCTAGAGTCGGACCCCCAGACTGCGGGCTCCAGAGGCCCTTCCTGCCCCAATAGGCTGGGATTCCCCAGGATCTGCCCCGGGCAGTGGGGGGAGGAGAAAAGCCGCCTCTGCTTCCCGGAGGGCCCGGTCTTGCCCAAAGCCACCCAGCAGTGAGGAGCGGGTGCCTGACCTGTGCCCCACGCGCTCCAACTCCTGAGGTTTCAGGGTCCCTGGCCCCGGAGCTTGGGCTCGAAACAGTTGAGACTGTAGTGGCCGCTTCCCTGGAGAGGGCTCCCAGGCTGAGGGCTGGAGCCAGCTCCAGGAAGGCCTGCTAGCACCGTTTCCGGGCCGAGGGGGCCCATGGTCTGGGCCAAAAGGAAGCTGGGTTTTCCTTACCCATCAGTGTCCCCCAAGGAGATATATATATATATTTTTTTTTGGGGGGGGGGAAGAGAAATATCAATCGGTTGCCTCTTTAATGCTCTGACTAGGCATCGAACCCGAAACCTTTTGGTGTATGGGATGATACTCCAACCAACCGAGCCACCTGGCCAGGGCCGAATTACTCTGAAGATAGAGGACAGCTGTGACTTGGGGCCATGGTACCCGGCAGACTGCAGGCTTCCTCTCTCCACCCTCGGGTTTTGTCTCTCCCTGTCATCTCTTGCAAGGGGAGGGGCTGGGGGCGGAGTAGGAGGACAGGTAGAGTGTAGTCAACCCAGCACTGGATGGTGGGGAGCTCACTGAGCGGGACCTGCACGGGTGTGAGTGCTGTTGGCACCTGGACTAGTCTGGTGTCTTCACTGTTGTCCATCTTTCTGTGTTGCTGCCATGGCTGGGACCTGAGTCGCAGCTGTATACCTTACGTCACACCCTGGGCATTTTGGGGCTGTACAGCTACTATAATCCATCTGTGGTCTCAACCCCTGGTGCTGCAGGAGTTTCGGTGCCCAGATCACAGCCTACAGCCCTTGACCTGTGGAGGCATGAATGGGTTCTGATGGATGGAAGGATGGCTGGTGAGTCCTTGCATAGGCCAATTACCTTAATCTTGGGCAAAGGATTAATGACATCTTCTGCATCTGAAGTCAAAAAAGCAAGTGTGTTTTCCGGACTCCTACGGTACCTGGGAAACATGCTGTGGCAAAATGTTTAAATATCAAAGAACTTCCGACACACTATCACAGGTCTCCCAAGCAACTCTTCCGGGAGGAGGCCCTGTCGGTTATAAACAGGTCTGCCAGCCTCAGTGGAGCCGTAGAACAAAGTCACAGAAACCCGGGATCACAGATCCAACTTTTAAAGGCCCACAGGACCTGGTTCAGGACAGGCAAGACACACAAACCACCTACTCTTTCAGGCTCAACTGCAAAAACGCTCCGCCCCCTCCCACCATGGGAGCTGGGATCCCACACCCAGAACCCTCCTGGCCTCAGACTCGCAGACTCTGACACCTGAAATTAGGCGAGGAGGGACTGAATACCTAAGCCCCATCGCAGCGTCTGGACACACTGCGGGTAACATGAAAACAACTTCTGCAAAGAAGGCGGGGCCTCTTTGGTCCAAGACAGCACCGGAAAGACAGTCCCTGTAAGTCTGGAAATGTTAAATGCCTGGGGGTTAGGCCTGGGACTGCAGGGAAGGGGTTTGTAAGTGTGTGTACCACTTGAAGGGGCAGCCTTTGAAACACGTAATCTCTGGGGGAGCAAAACACACAAAAAGGGCCGAAACCGGTTTGGTTCAGTGGTAGAGCGTCGGTCTGCGTACTGAAGGGTCCCAGGTTTGATCCCGGTCAGGGGCATGTACATTGGTTGCGGGCACATCCCCAGTAGGGGGTGTGCAAGAGGCAGCTGGTCAATGTTTCTCTCTCATCGGTGTTTCTAGCTCTCTATCCCTCTCTTTTCCTCTCTGTAAAAAATCAATAAAAATATATTTTAAAAAAAGAAAATGGGTCTCATCTCCCCAAGTAGTCCACACACACCCCTGGACAGGCAGCCTGGAAACAGAAGAAAGCTGTCATACACTAGAGCAGTGTTTTTTCAACCTTTTTTGGGCAAAGGCACACTTGTTTCATGAAAAAAATCACGAGGCACACCACCATTAGAAAATGTTAAAAAATTTAACTCTGTGCCTATATTGACTATATATAAAGTAATTCTCTTGAATAGGAATCAAATAAACACAAAGAAAGTATTTTATAATTACTTTATTATGAAATAATAAGTAAACAAAATAGTGAAAAATTATAAAATTCTTGTCTTGTCTGCACCTACGGCACACCAGGCAACATCTCAGTGTGCCGCGCGGAACAGCGGTTGAAAAACGCTGCACTAGAGAGCATGTGCCTGGGTTGCCGCTCGATCCCCAGTAGGGGGCGTGCAGGAGGCAGCTGGTCAATGATTCTCATCAGAGAGATGTTTCTAGCTCTTCCTCTCTCTCTCTGAAATCAATAAAAATATATTTTTTAAAAGAAACACAAAAGTATCTGGAAATAAAGATTCCATTACAAGATGCCCAAAGAAGAATAGACTCAAAATATAATAAGGGGCATTGAAGAAATACAAAAACAAGAGAATGAAAGTGAGACGAAGGAGTCTCAAGGGATCATAAGAAAATCATGAAAACAGAAGATAGTCAAAGAAGGAGTCACATTTGCATTTAGGGTCCCTGAAGAAAAGCTAACCGCTGAACCACAGCGGTATTTACCGCTGCATTCTAAAAAACTCTCCAAGGAAGAAGAATCTGCACATTCAAGGGGCCCGCTGGGAACCTTGGAAAATTAACTCAGAACAGTCAACTTTGAGGCATCCTCATAAAACTATTAGTTTTCAATTTTTTTTCCAACAAAAATACCCAAGATCTCCAAGCAGGAAGATCAAATAACTTAGAAAGGCAAAATGGCACATACAAAGTAACATGGCGTTTGGAGCAGCATCTTCTAAACATTTAAGGGTAAACCAAGGTTTTTATATTCGCAGGGATTGTCCTTCCAAGTGTCAAGGCTTTAGGAAACAGTTTTGTGTTTTTCAGCAAGTATTTATGCACCCATAAGGGAATGTGATAGAGAATGCACTTCATCCAACCAAGAGATATGAGCATGTGTGTGCGTGTGTTGATCTAAACATATGATCTAGCAACCGAAGGACTTGTATACATGCATATAAGTACAACCAATGGACACAAAACTCTGGGGAGGGAGGGTATGTATGGGGGGGCAATGTTAAAATATGTACACAGATAATATTGATAATTTAATTTAAAAAAGCAACCTTAAAAAAATAAAAAAACTAGGAAATAAATAAACATATGATATAGGACTAAAAGAAAGGTGGGCGTGAGGGTAAATAAATAGGTCATATATCATTGTGAAGTAGTAACAATATCACTAAAAACATGGGAGACCCAGTGGATGTGGCTCATGGTTGAGCATTGGCCCATGACCCAGGGCACCTGCCTGAGTTGCAGGCTCAGTTCACAGTAGGGAGTGTGCAGGAGGCAGCCGAACAAAGATTCTCTTCATTAATGTTTCTCTTTCCCTCACCCTCTCTGAAGTAAATTAAAAAATAGTTTTAAGAAAAGCATGAGAGCCCTAACCAGTTTGGCCCAGTGGATAGAGCGTCAGCCTGCGGACTGCAGGGTCCCGGGTTCGGTTCCGGTCAAGGGCATGTACCTTGGTTGTGGGCACATCACCAGTGGGGAGTGTGCAGGAGGCAGCTGGTCGATGTTTCTCTCTCATCCATGCTTTTGGCTCTATCCCGTTCCCTTCCTTTCTGAAAAAATTCAATAAAATATATATTTTTTAAAAAGCATGAGGGAAGGGAGAGGGAAATATGAAAGTAAGATAAGCTGACTGGTGGCTGAGTAGTTGCCTCTCAGCTCCAAATTCATTCCTTATTGCCTACTCTGAAAATGGGCCTGGACCCTTTATGTTCGTCAGCTGGCGCATTACTCAGCTTTGTCGGTAGAGGGCGCAGGGGAGCCATCGCAGAAGGGCTTTTTCAAACTTCCTCCTGTGTGCTGACTAGACAACGTCTTCAAGCTTGTCTGGTACCCAAGGTCCTCCAGCAGCAGCCATGTCCGTGCTCTCTCATCATTGATGTTTCTAGCTCTCTTTCTCTCTTCCTCTCTGAAATCAATAAAAATATACTAAAATAGTTTTTAAAATTTTAATGTATTGATTTGAGAGATAGAGGAAGGGAGAGAGAGACAAACATCGATATGTTGTTCCACTCAATGTATTTATTGGCCACTTTTTTGTTTTTCATTTGTATATCATTTTAGTAGCAGAATATTTATTTTATAGGTTTAAGAAGATGCATCTTGTTCTTCATTCTGTGTGTCATGTTTAAATGATATGTGTGTGGGGCTTACATTGGCTAGGAAAGACCTTGGTTACTTCTTGCATGTGCCCTGTCTGGAGATTGAACCGCAACCTTGGAGTATTGGGACAATGCTCTAACTAACTGAGCTACCTGGCCAGCACCTCCCATTACAGCCTTTTCATGAGCTTTTGGGCAAGGATAGGCATGATTTGGGAAGGAAATGATGCCTTCTACCTGCAGAAGGTGCTCTTTGGTGAATATTCACAGGACAGTTATTCCACTCTGGACCCATTCCAAGAAGCCTACTGATACCAGAAATGAAAGACGGGTCATCACTAGTGATCCCATGGACATTAAAAGGACAATGAAATAGCCCTAACCGGTTTGGCTCAGTGGATAGAGTGTTGGTCTGCAGACTGAAAGGTCCCAGGTTGATTCCGGTCAGGGGCATGTACCTTGGTTGTGGGCATATCCCCTGTGGGGAGCGGGCAGGAGGCAGCTGATTGATGTTTTTCTCTCATTAATGTTTCTAACACTCTATCCTCACTTCCTCTCTGTAAAAAAAATCAATAAAATATATTTTTTTAAAAACCAAAAGGATAATGAAGTATTATGAACTACTCTATGCCTCCAATCTGATAAATGGACAAGTTCTTTGAGTGACACGAAATAAGGCAACCTTGACTATATTGGGGTTTGGTTCCAGACCACCGCAATCAAGTGAATATTGCAATAAAGTGAGTCACCCAAATGCTTTGGTTTCCCGCTGCTGGATTTTGCAAATAAAGTTTTATTGGGTCCTAGCTGGTTTGGCTGTGGATAGAGCGTCAGCCTGCGGATTGAAGTGTCCTGGGTTCGATTCCAATCAAGGGCACATGCCCGGTCTCCATTAGGGTGTGTGCAGGAGACAGCCAACCAATGATTCTCATCATTGATGTTTCTATCTCTCCCTCTCCTTTCCTCTCTGAAATCAATAAAAAAATATTTTTAAAAAAGTTTTATTGGAACACAGCCATGCCCATTCATTTACATATTGTCTATAGCTGTTTTTATGACAAAGTTGAGCAATTGTGACAGAGATCATATGTGAGGTCTGCCAACCTGTCCTATGTATGTAAATAATCAGAAGGTAAAATGGAAAAAAAGATCTGGGAATACACTTTAAAATATAGCCGGGACCAGTTTGGCTCAATGGATAGAGCGTCGGCTTGGGGACTGAAGGGTTCCGGGTTCGATTCCTGTCAAGGGCATGTACGTTGGTTGCGGGCATATCCCCAGTAGGGGGTGTGCAAGAGGCAGCTGATCGATGACACTCTCTCATCGATGTTTCTGGCTCTCTATCTCTCTCCCTTCCTCTCTGTACAAAATCAATAAAATATATTTAAAATATATATATATATATAACTATTGCCCAGCCGATGTAGCTCAGCAGCTGAGCATCAAGCCAGGAACCAAGAGGTTGCTGGTTTGATTCCTGGTCAGGGCACGTGCCGGAGTTGCAGGCTCCGTCCCCTGTGCAGAGCTTGCAGGAAGCAGCCTATTGATGATGTTTCTCTCTCGTTGATATTTCCATCTCTCTATTCCTCTTCCTTCCTCTCTTTGTAAAAATCAATTAAAACACTTTAAAAAAATAAAAGCTATTTTGTATTAAGAAAACCTCAATTGTACAGACATAAAAGTTGTAATTGGTACTTTGTATCTTATTTTTAAACTTTTTAAAATGGATTTTACCAATGGACACAAAATTCTGGGGAGGGAGGGGATTTGTGGAAGGGAGAGGGGGGCAAAAAAAATCAATAAAATATATTTTAAAAAAAATAATAAAATAAAATGGATTTTAGAGAGATGGAGGGAGAGAAACATCATTTGGCTGCCTCCTCCTGCACATCCCCGGCTGGGGAGTAAGCCCATACCCCAGGCATGTGCCCTGACCAGGAATTGAACTGGCAGCCTTTTGGTGCATGGAATGACGCTCAACCAACTGAGCCACACCAGCCAGGGTTATGTATCTTATTCTTGATAGAAAACTAAAAAAGATTCTCTAAATTAATCTGTCAATACTCTCCAGCCAAAGACCACCAGGAACACGTCTGTAGCTGAATGAATGGGTTTATTACTCTTACACTGTGGGGCATCTCAATAAGGGGGCGTTAGAAGGATTTTTAGGGTCTGTGCATGTGTTAGGTGATTTGGGGGAGGGTTTAAGGAAGCTTTTCTCTGGATTGGATGCTGTTAGGAGTGGAAGTATTTCTATGAGATAGTAATGTTGACATCTTCACTAAATGGCGGCTAACGCTATAATTGGTAAAGAAGCAAATCACATATAATCCACAATAGAGGGATGTTTCGTCATTTTTGTGGTTTGGACAATGCTTGCCTTTGTCCATGTTCACGTGATTACAGAGCGACCTTGTTTTTCTTTTGGTCCCTCATGACCTTGTCTGATAATCTATGGAATTATTCATGTTCACAGAACACCAAGGCCAGCTCCCGATGTCTGGGGATGTTTTTTTCTCTCTCAAATCAATGAATTAAATGCAATTTTAATCTTGATCATCAGCTCATATGTGTTTGTTTTTTGAGAGAACTTGACAGAACTTAGCTATACAAATAAATATTAGAGAAGAGTTAAGAAACCCAAAAAGTATTGTGAAAACTAAAAGACCTAGAAATAAAAGATTGGTAGATTGGTAAATTTGACTGTACAAAATAAATTCATCTGTGTAATAAAAATAAAAATACACAGGTTTGGAAGACAAACCACAAATTAATATAAAATATCTTCAATTAATTTGAGGAAGAGCTGATATCCCTAGTAAAATTTAAAAGAACCTCCCTATCAATATAAAAAATATATTTTTGGAATAACTTTAATTTTTTTAAAAATAAGAATGTACCATTCTACACCTAAAACTAATATCGTATGTTAACTGTAATAGAAAACAAATTTTTATCAAAATAAAAATACACCATTGAAAAAATTTTCAAGGCCCTGTCCCGGTATGTTAGTTGGTAGAGCATAGTCCTTATACACCAAGGTTGCCAAGGTTTTGTTTGAGTCAGGGCACATACAAGAATCAACCAATAGATGCATAAATGGGTGGAGCGACAAGTTGTTGTTATTGTTGTTTTCTCTTTTCCTCTCTAAAATAATTTTATTTTTAAATTTATTTTATTTTTTATAAGTAAATAATTTTTAAAAAACGATTCTATTGATTTCAATGATGAGAATCATAGTGGGCACCTCCTGCACGGCCCCTACTGAGGACTGAGCCCGGAACTCCAGAATGTCCTGGCGCTGGGAATGGAACTGTGACCTGGTTCATAGGTCAAAGCTCAACCACTGAATCACACCAGATGGGCAATAAATGTTTTAAAAAGAGAAGAAATAATTTTCAAGAAGAAAAACAAAACTGGGACTTAAACTGAGGGAGATGGGACTTGCAAAAGTCAGGAAAGACTACGCTTCCCAGGAGGCTCTGCGCTGACTGTCCAAGGGTTCCCGACAGGCTTCGCGCACTTTACGCGCCAGCTCTGGCCACGGAAACCCGGCAGAGGATGGACAGCGGCGACGAGATAGACGTGGAGAAGCACCGCATCCACCTGCGCCCCATCACTCTGCGCGACGCCGCGCCTGCCACGCTGCACCTTCTGCCCTGTGAAGTCGGGGTTAGCCGGCCGGCCCCCGTGGAGCGCTTTTTCACGCCGGCCATCCGTCAGGGTCCCGACGGTGAGCGCTCGCGGCTGGACTACGGCTCCCGGTAGCCCCCGCGCCGGCGCCGCGCTCTCCTCGGCGAGGACGGGCGCGAGGGCTCCTGGGAACCGTGGTCCACCGGAGGCGGCGGGAGAGCCGCCACCGGGGCTGCCCTGCGGGGCATGGACCAGGCCCTCACCGAGGCCCGACCACCTCCTTCAGGACTCCAAGTGTCGTTTCGGGGCCGCAGTCTACGGGGCGAGGAGGTGGAGGTGCCGCCCGGCCTGCTGGGCTACGTGATGGTGATGGAGGAGAAGCCGGTGGGGAAGCAGGACTTCTCCGCGGGATCAGACCGTGAGGAGCAGGAGCTGGTGGAGCCCCCGGAGGCGCTGGAGCGGGACTTCGTGAGCACAGGGGCCGCGGGGGTGCGGGGGTGCGGGCGGGAGCGGCGGCCCCATGCTGAGCCCGGCCTCCCCCAGGACCGCTTCATTGGCGCCTCCGCCAGTTTCAGCCGCTTCACCCTGTGGGGCCTGGAGACCACCCCCGGCCCGGATGCCAAAGTGCGTGCGGCCCTGGCCTGGCCCGGCCTCGCGGAAGCGGTGAGTAGACATACGGGCCCGCTTCTTCCCAGGCCCATCCATTCCCGTCTCAGGCTTCCGTGTATTCACTGGGCTGCCTAGAATCCTGCCCCTCGGTGGCCTTGGGCTTTAGGGCTGCTGGAGCCTGGCTCTAAGTGGAAGGTTAGACTGGGTCAGGGCTGTGTGGCTCCCCCACCACCCCTCTCTGTCCTGCGTGGAAGGGGCCATCATTCTGAGGAGCTGGGTCCCTCCAGAGTACTGCACCACCCAGCCCTCCACCTCAGAAGCCCGGTGGTGAAAGGGGCTCCTGTTGCAGATCCATGCCCAGGTGCCGCAGGACTGAGAACCAGAGCGGGAAACTGGAAACCACTGATCCCGTCACCCAATACACCAGCTCTCCACCTTGGATCCACCGAGTCCACCACCCCAATAAAAGCTCGCACAGCATCCGTGTTTGCCCACACTTTGGAGCTGCTCTTTCTCCCACAAGAACATTTCATGGCTCTGGCCCATAGAAACAGTTTATTACAGGGGGAAGGGGACGCGGGGGTGTGTGTGTGCGTGTGTGACGATACAGGGACCGGACGGGTACTGGGGCGAGAGGCCAGAATTTTGTAACCAATACCCACCCCACCCCCACTCCTACTTTACAAATTTTTTACAGCCACCAACCTCTGTACAGAGTGCCCCACTCCCCTCTCACTGCGCACGTCTGCCTGGCTCCCTCTGGCCCCTGGTTCACAGCCAGCCTGGGCGCAGAGGGGGCCTGAGCCCTGAGCTCACTTTGGTGCTGGGCACCAACCAGCCCCTGCCAGGCCGGCCCTCTCCTGTGGAACTGTCCTCAGCCTGGTCTGTCCCCCAGGGAGCCCTGTGGGCGGGAGGGACCGTCAGCTCCAGTCCTGCCGTGCTGTGGGCGCTCCCACGGCTGAGCCTGGTCACCACTTGCCCCGCTTGCTCCAGTCCTTGGGAGTGAAGTGCAGACACTTGGAGTCGATGCGGAGGAGGCGCTTGAGCATGGCCCGCTCGTGTCCATCCACAATGTCCTCCGACAGCGTGAGGATGTACTGGCCCTGGCGGGAAGGGACAGCCGGTCAGCGCGCGGGGCGAGCCCTCTGCACCTCCAGCGCCTGTCCCTGACACCCCCTACCTTGTAGTAGTTGATGAGGTTGAGGTACTGGAGGGTGGAGATGACGTCCTCCTTCTTGATGCTGGTGATCTCGCTGATCTCGCTGCGGGAGGACAAAGGTCAGGTCCCGCGCCCTTCTCTGCCCCAGGGGCTCAGGGGGAGAGAGGCTGGGAGCACCCAGGCCAGGCCATGCACCCCCGTAGGTGGGCCAGGCTCACTTGATGGTAATCTGTGGCCTCTCCCCGCTCTCAGACTTCAGTCCCATCAGGATCTCCAGGATGGTCTGGGACCAGTAGCTTCGGTAGGACAGGAGGCCAAGGTCCGAGAGGGGCTTCTCAGGGGTCCCCGTCTTCCCTTCCACTTTGGAGAGCTCATAACCTAAAGCATCGGGGAGGGAGAGAATGAGCACAGGGCCACAGCTTCATATAACCACGCTGAGGCAGAGTGCCCGCTTCCCATTCAGGCCCTGCTGTGGGGTGGTCTGGGACAGGGCGGGGCTTGTCTGCTCTGCCTGTTTCCTCATGAAGGACCATGACCTGTGTGCCAAGCACAGTGGCGGGTACTGGAGGCACTAAGCGGGAGGGTGGTGGGGTTAGGGTAAGAGTGTAGAGGTGGAGTGCGGGGAGGCAGAGAAAACGGCTTCTAGAAAGAAGAGTCTCCGATTTCCGTGTCGCTCCACACTCCCCCTGTACTTGGGTGTGCGAAGAGGGAAGCAGAGCGACCCCACCTGTGGGCCAGGCCGGAGGCGCGCTCCCGAGCTGTGACCTGAGCCGCAGCAGCTCGGAGACTGGGCTGACCAGGTGGCTGTGAGGGTGCAAGGAGCACCAAAGCGCTTCCCACTCAGGGAAGACAGTCCTCCCTCTTGGAGCTCCCTCCCACTCGACTGCTCTGCCCTCTGGCCTGCTGAGCTGGCACTGGCGGTTCCTGGTGAGAACTCAGACCTGCAAAGCCCTGCACGGCCTCACGTCTCTTGGGCAGTCTTCATCACTCTTCCTCATCCTCAGTCATAAGCACTTTGTGTTCCCTGCTCTCGGTTCATCTTTGTCAGCCAGTCTGGCCCTCTTGCCCAACCGCACGACTTCCACCAAGGAAGCCGGTGTGGAGGGCAGATAGGGTCGTGTTTGGAGAGAGAGCACGGAGGACGGAACACACCGGGCTCCTACTTAACCTTGCTGGGTCATGGTGCGTGTCAAGTCCTGACAGGTCCACTGGCCTCACACCCTCCCACCCTGACTGCCAAACTGAGCACCCTCCTTGGTAGCCCTGCCTGCACCCCTCTCCATTGAGGCCTGTCCTCCAGGGCTTCGTTAAGCATCACCTGTTACCAGGCTGAGGGCTTCTAAAGATGGGGCCCCATCGCATCATTCTACCAATAACATTTCCCAAGCGGGCCACGACCTGGTCAAGTCCAGCCTGGTTTCCCGAACAGCTAAGGCCCCCTCCCCACCTTCCAGCTCAGTGAATGGCGAGTGAACAGACGGGAGAGGGAGGCTGGGCAGCAGAAGGGAGACTTGGGATCGGAGGGGACACTGAAGAGTTCATGAGGGATGAGGGCAGAGTCCCTTCTGGGCTTAAGACACTGGACAGGGCCATAACCATGCAACCAGTTTCCATCTCTGCTGAATGAGCAGCACTTTGAACATCTGTCTACCAAGCTCCGAAAACAGCTGGCCCTCATCCCGGAACTTGCAGGACAACACCGAGGCAGAGGGATGAGCAGCAGTGGCTCACTCGGCTTCAGCTCATGGCCCTGGGCAGAATGTGAGTCAAATTTGGGGAGAGGTGGGTGATGCTTAGAGCCTTGGTCAAGGAGCAGTGAGGGGCTGAGAACCTAATCCTGAGATGCCACCCCAGCTGACCGTGGCAGTGAACCTGAGAATGAAAGAATCTTGGAAGAGTCCCATCTTGATTTCTGGCCGAGGTGCCGGGCTGGCCCAGCCCCGGCCGTGAGCTGAGGTACTCACTGAACTCAATCAGCAGCTTGCCGTAGCCCCGGCGCTGGTAGGGAGGCAGGGTCAGGATGCAGGCCACGTTGTAGTCTTCTGTGGACTCCTTCTCCTGGGGAGCGGCAGTGGGTGTGAGGGCGGGACCGGCCCAGGCAGGCGGGCGGAGGGGCGGGCGGTGCTCACCTTGGAGAAGTAGCCCACGATGTGGAAGCCTTTGCAGTCATACTCCGTCATGACGTAGAAGAGGAAAGGGTCTGTGTCGTAGTACAAGGTCTTGTGGTCGAGGAAGCACTTGGCCAGAAGACACAGGTTCTGGGAGTAACTCTGCGAAGGGAAAGGCCTGTCAGGGCTCCGGGCACCCTGATCCCAGCATGGCCACCGGGGCTGCTTTGTGGCCCAGCTGACGGGTGGCACGCCTTCCTCCCTGAGGCCCGACTCCATCGGGCAGGGCCACTCTGCAGTGTGAAGCCCATGGACCAGCCCCGGACAGCCTCCACCGAGTCAGCCCTGGGGGCCGCACTGCCCGGTGCTGTAGTCAGCAGCCAACAGGCTGACGCGCACCCAGGAAGGCTGACGAGGCTTATGAGAGAAGCCCTGCCCACGTGACAGGAGTCTGGCTGTCAAAAATACAACTCTTCTGCCTACAGTCACACCTCTTGGGAACTGACTCAGTCTAAACTGAGGTAAGGCATTCTAGAACTTAAAAAATAGCCTTAGGAGCCCCCTGCCCAAAAAACTTATTGCTTTTGCTCTTTTACCTCTGTACACAATTATTCTGCACTTCAGACATAGCTTTTAGCTACATGCTGGGCACTGCCACCTGGATGCCATGTTCACCCTTAACACAGAACAGAGGTAAAGCGGCTCTTCCTCTCAAGCTCCCCACTGCCAGGCAAGGTGCCTGCCTCCCTCACCACCTTCTGGGCCCCAGAAACAGGGGAGTCTCTCAACGGTGCCTCTCTTCCTCCCCACAACCAGACTAAAGCAGGCTGGAAGCTTTAGTCCCCAACTCTCCCCCCTGCCTCACTCCCACCTCCGGAGCTCTGTCCCTGTAACAGCTTCCCCTCATCCTCTGCCCTTCACACCTACCCTCACATGCCTGCCCCTCAGAACTCCACAGCTTGGGGGTCCCTTACCACCTCGTCCTTCATGTCAAGGCTCAAAAGTCACCTCTTCTGGGAAGCTTTGGTACTGCCTCCTCTGGGTCCTAATAATGCACCCTCTGCTTCAGGACACCTAACAGCCGGGGAGATCTAAAGTGGCCACTGGGCCCTGGCCGGTTTGGCTCAGTAGACAGAGCATTGGGTTCGATTCTGGTCAAGGGCACATACCTCAGATGTATGCTCCTCCCTGACCCAGCCCCAGTCAATATGTGTGCAGGAGGCAACCAATCAAATGTGTTTCTCTCACATCGATATTTCTCTGTCTTTCCCTCTCTTCTACTCTCTCTAAAAATCAATGGAAAAAATATGTACTCGGATGAACATTGAAAAAAAGGGGGGAGTGGGCGCCAAAACCGGTTTGGCTCAGTGGATAGAGCGTTGGTCTGCGGACTGAAAAGTCCCGGGTTCGATTCAGGCCAAGGGCATGTACCTTGGTTGCGGGCACATCCCCGGTGGGGGGTGTGCAGGAGGCAGCTGGTCGATGATTCTCTCTCATCAATGTTTCTAGCTCTCTATCCCTCTCCCTTCCTCTCTGTGAAAAATCAATAAAATATATATTAAAAAAAAAAAAAGTGGCAATCAGTGTGTCTGCTTTCTCCATGGACTGAGCTCTAAGCAGATTTCTGTCTAATTCCTGGTCATGTTTTTATCTCCCAGCTCCTGCCCTTCAGGGAGAGGCAGGATGGGAACTCAATAAAAATGGCGTGAGCCAACTTGTTGGCCGGACTGGTCAGTGTTTTCCTAAGCATTTGACTTCCCCAGACTCCCAAGTTCCCAGGACTCCGCACCGAGCCTCGGTCACTGACCTTATTCTTGCGTCCGTCGATCTCAAAGAAGGAGATGGTGCCTTTGCGGTAAATCTCGTTGCCTGGGGGATGGCGCAGGTCACACTTGGTCTGAGGGAGAGAGGCGGGTCAGGGTGGCGAAGGATGGGGGTGCTGTAGGGCAGTACCTGGCCCCTTCATACCAAGTGACGCTGCAGACACTTGAGGCTGCGGCCATACTTGAGGCAGAACTCGCAGAGGTAGAGGACGGGCAGTGTGGTGAGCTCCTGTGGGTACGGGGAGAAGTACCACGGCTTGAGACGGTGGCGGCCCAGCTCGATGCACTCGATGTTCTTCATCCGGGTGACGATGTCGTCGTGGCTGCGGTCGGACACCAGGCTCCCCGTCATGCGCGGAGCTGATGGGATTCCATCTGAGCTGTCCTGGGAGTCCTGCCCGGGGCCCGGGGAAGACACTGCGTTACAGGAGACCACAGCTCACAGCACTGCTCCCCCTGCCCCCCGCCGCCCAGGTTCCCTTGTTCAAGCCTAACAGCAGCCTGGTGGGGGAGTTACTACATCAGTGGTCGGCAAACTGCGGCTCAAGAGCCACATGGGGCTCTTTGGCCCCTTGAGTGTGGCCCTTCCACAAAATACCACGTGCAGGCGCGCACATACAGTGCAATTGAAATTTCGTGGCCCATTCACGGAAGTCGGTTTTCAGCTCTCAAAAGAAATTTCAATCGTTGTGCTGTTGACATGTGGCTCTGTTGACTAATGAGTTTGCCAACCGCTATACTACATAATCCCCACTCTCCAGATAAAGAAACCAAGACCACTGGTTTATTTTTAAACTAGCCACTGAACTCCACCTGTCTATGTCCCTTCCTTTTTACTCAGCCTCCCTCTTCCCGAGACCCACCTCATCAGTGCCCAAGCAATTGGATTTTCGCTTCCGTCCTGGCTGAGCTGCCACCGCCCTGCGGGCTGACCCATTCTGTAGGTGAGATGACAGGAACAGCAGTGGCTGTGAGATGCGTTTGAAAGGGGCTCCCAGAAGGCAGGAGAAGGAAGGAAAAGAAAAGTGGTCTGGAGGGCTCACCTGGGGAAAAACTGAGGCGGGGGCTGTCTCACTGGGCACTGGAGTTGCTGGTGAAACCACCTCCACCTTTCGTTTCTGCAGAGAGAAACCAAGAAAGGTGGGTCAGAGGGTAGAGAAGGCGGGACCTGAGAGGAAAGCAAGGTCCCTGGAATTGCTGAGGGTACCGTGGAGCGGTGGTTGGGCTGCAGACAGGAGCTGGAGGAGAGCGGCTGGTCGGGCTCACCGCCGGGAATGGCCTCCCGCTCCTTGGGCAGGTTGAAGCGGAGCGTGATCTGGACCGGGATTGGCAAGGTCTTCCCGCTGGCCTGTGCGGAGGCCGGCTGTAGAGATAGGTCCAGGGTCTTCCTCTGGGGGGGGATGGTGGTGGGATGGGGCAGGGCAGTGGAATCATCAAACCCCACCCTCTCAAGGACACAGGAATAGCCTTTGGACTCGGGAAGCTACATCTGCGATTTGGTCCCCATCCTTTGTAAGCAGAAACCAGGATGGGAGGGTGCTGCCTCCAGCCCATCCAGGAACCACTGAAGCCGAGAGAGGAGAGGAGGCGGCGGCAGGAGAGGAGGTGAAGCAGGGGACCTACTCACCACCTCTCTCTCGGGAGAGCCAGGGCGGGACCCAGGGAGCCCGTTCTTGGTGGGGGTCTTGGCCTCCTTCTTAGGGAACTGAATCTTCTTCAGGTCCAGCCGCTCGTGGGTCACCCATTCATCCAGGCGTTTGTTGACTGCAGCGGTGGGGGCGGCTCAGGAAGGAGTGCCAGAGACCATCCCCCCTCTGCCCCGCGGCCCTCCAACCCCAGCCCGCCACTCACAGTCAATGTAATGAACGTAGAAAAGCTTCCTGCCACTGATGTCCTTCACGCTCAGGATCTCGGCCAGGGCTGCGGAACAGCACAGGGGCCACAGAGGGTCAGGCCATGAGCCTCCACCCTCCTCCCCCGAACCACACTCCCGAGCCGATCTCTACGCCCCGGCACCAGGCAGCCCCCGGGCACCCAGAGCCACCCCCTCTGCAAGCCCCGCCCTGCCCATCGCGGAGCCGCACAGGCCACGCCCTCCTGGGGACCGGCCCCGCCCGCCCCAGAATCCTCCTCCTCCCGAGGGTTCGGTTGACTCCCGCCCGCCCCTCGCCCTCGGGTCGCTTGGCCCCGCCCCCCGACGTCACTCACGCCACTCATCCTCGTTGTCCTGGTTCCGCCGCAGCACCGGCAGGCGGCAGCCTTCGATGATCTCCCCCTGGGGAGACAGCGCGGCGCCAGGGTCGGCTACTGGGGGTCCTCGGGCTCTACCCACCTCCCCTGGCTCCCTCCGCCCCGCCCCGGGCACCGGACTCACCACCTCCGCCATCTTCCCTCCCTCCACTGCCACTTCCGGCCCCTCTGGGAGACGTCACTTCCGGGTCTGAGCGCGTTACAGGCCCGGGCTTCCCGGTGCCGCTCCGGACGAGGACCCGTGAGAGGCCCCGCTGCCCCGCTGGGGGCGGGAGGACGGCCCGTCCGGCCGGCAGGACAATGGGGCGTTTTACATCGCGGCCCGGGTCCTGGGTGGAATCTCCACAACGTACACAACGATTGGAGGAAAGCTGAGTCCGTCACGTGACGCTCACCGGGTGCGACGCCAGTCACGTGGGCGCAGCGCGGGTGACTGTGTTTGTGCTTTGGGGGTGGCTGGCCTCAGTCCCAGGGGCTGTGGGAGGCGTCGATGGGCGTGAACTGCGCATGCTCCGCGGGGGCGGGTGTGTGTGTGTGTGAGTGTGTGTGTGTGTGTGTGTCAGGCCTGGGAGGTTTGGGAGTCCGGGTGGGGCTGTGAAGGGACTACTTTTGGGGACTGAAGATAGTTCTAGATCGTCTTGTACGTGAAGTTTATGTGTTGTCAGAACAACACAACATTATTCATTCAGACATTCCACAAACGTTTAACAGTCTCCTACCATGTGCCAGGCACTATTCCTGGAGTGTGGAATGCATCAGTAAGTAAAGAACCTTGCCCTCATGGAGCTTACATTCTTGAGGTTGGGAGGAAAAAGATGTATGTAAGAAACAGTAGCTATAAAATAAAGTAAATTATTCAGTATATTAAAGAGAGGTAAGTGGGGAAACCAAAAAGAATGCACCAGGGGAAGGAGATGGGCAGGTAGGTTGCCATTTTATTTTATTTTTATTTTTATTTTATTTTTTTTGCGGGCGCCAGGACCAATGATCACCAGCTGCCCAGGTACCAAAAAATTATGCTTCCGAAATCTCTTGATGTCGATTCCGCACGTAGAGCAATCAGGCTGCTCTAAATGTGCCACTCACGACAGAAGCCCTGGTAGGTTGCCATTTTAAATAGGGTCAGGGCAGGCCTGGCTGGAAGTGTATCAGTTGAGAAAAGACTTAGAGGAGGGGTAGGGAACCTCTTTTCTGCCAAGGGCCATTAGGATTTTTACCAGCACAAATGGGTTTACTAGGGAAGTGCCGAGAATAGTAATTCAGGACAAGCAAGCTATAGCAAAAGCCACAAGCAAATAGGCAAATTGAGAAACAAAAGAGAGGAACATTGTTTTATGGAGAGAAAAAGAGGAAGTTGGGAGGAGTTGTTTTAACAAAAATCCATTGGAGAAAGGCAAGAAGCGTTCAGGGAACTGAAAGTTCTCATTCCCTGAGTAGCTGGGGTGGTGCAGTTCCTGTAGGAGCTGCAATGTACATCTTTTCTGTTGGGGTCTGTAAATGACCATTATTGTCCTTAGCGACAGTGGTACTGAGTGAGAGCTCCCCCTACTGGCCTTCTGACCCCTTTTTTAGTGATGTTTCCCTTTATTTTCACAACGTCTTCAAGGTTCATCCACCATATAGAGAGTGTCAAAAACACATTCATTTTTGCTGAAACCGGTTTGGCTCAGTGGATAGAGCGTCGGCGTGCGGACTGAAAGGTCCCAGGTTCGATTCCGGTCAAGGGCATGTACCTTGGTTGCTGGCACATCCCCAGTAGGGGGTGTGCAAGAGGCAGCTGATGGATGATTCTCTCTCATCGATGTTTCTAACTCTCTATCCCTCTCTCTCCCTCTCTGTAAAAATAAATCAATAAAATATATATATTTTTAAAAATCTCAGTAGATTTTATTGATAGAAATTGACAAGCTGATGCTAAAATATATAGAGAAATTCAAAGGACCCAGAATAGCCAATACAGTTTTGAAAAAGAATGAGATCAGAGGCCACACAGTGTAATACTAGCATAATAGAAACATATCAAAACAGATATATGGAACAGAATAAAATCCAGAAATAGATCCACACATATATAGTCAATTGTTTCGTGACAAAGTGAAGAGAATTCAAGTGAAGAAAAAGTAGGCTTTTTAACAAATAAAGCTGGGATAGCCAGACACATCCATATGGGGGGGAAATGAGCTTTGATTCTTCGTAGCCTATATGTAATTAAATATTGATTCTAAACCTAACTGTAAAACAAAAACCATTAAACTATAACAATAAAACTTAATGAAAATGCAGGAGAAAAAAATTTGTGACCTAAGGGTCAGCAGAGATTTCTTTTGATAAGACGTAAGCATGAGCCATCAAAGGAAAAAAAGTGTGAAATAGCCCTAGCTGTTTTGCTCAGTGGATAGAATGTCAGCCTGTGGGCTTGTTATAAGTGTGTGATTTAAACTTAAGTGGAAGTGTTTACCGTGTATGATTTAAACCTAGCATAACTAACCCCATTCTGAAACTTAAGAGTGCATATTTTGAAGTTGTAACCCTGAGTGTATGTGAATGCCCTAACAGGTGCTAATCTTTAAAATTGTAGACAAGTTTACCCCAAGTGTGAACGCCCTAACATGTGTTAATCTCTAAAGTTGTAAACAAGTAAAAATGTGCCAGGGAATGCTGTCTGTGAGACCCCCGATAACACACACTGAAGACCCATTGGTTACACCCAGAAGGAACAGGGAACACCCAGAATGGCCATAAAAGAAGGAACCTAGAGGCACCTGATGCTCCTCCACTGACGGTGACTCTCGCTCCCTTCCTGTTCCTGTTCGAAATACCGCGTGAAGCTCTGCCCGAGCACGCTGTCATTCTGCCCGGAGCCAAACCTCTGAGGCCTCCACTGTGGCCGAAGCACTGCCGGCATCGTTCCTGTCCAGTGAGTGTCTGTCGGCGCGGATCTCCAGGTGACCTGCCTAGGCTTCTGGAAACCACCAGGACTCTGGTAAATAAACCGTGTGATTCGTGCATCTTCAATGTTTGTCTCTTGTTTTTAGTTTATGCTCAGTCAAATTTAGTAAGAACTGTGGGCAACCCGTATAAGTCCAGTTTCTGGCTGAGGAACCCCAGTCACCTGTGCATACCTTCCCACCTGAGGCTGAGTTGGAACAGGACTGAAAAGTCCAGGGTTCAATTCTGGTCAAGGGCATATGCCCAGTTGCAGGCTCAATCCCCAGTGTGGGGCGTATAGGAGACATCCAATCAATGATTCTCATCATTGATGTTTCTCTCTCTCTCCTTCCTTCCTCTTTGAAATCAATAGACATATTTTTAAAAGTGTGAAATAAAGCCGAGACCGGTTTGGCTCAATGGATAGAGCATCAGCTTGGGGACCGAAGGAACCCAGGTTCGATTCTGGTCAAGGGCATGTACCTTGGTTTCGGGCATATCCCCAGTAGGGGGTGTGCAAGAGGCAGCTGATCGATGACTCTCTCTCATCGATGTTTCTAGCTTTCTATCTCTCTCCCTCTCTGTGCAAAATCAATAAAATATATATTTAATTAAAAAAAAAGTGTGAAATAAATACAAATCTATTCTTAGAAAGACATAATTAGCTAAATGAAAAGGTGAACCACAAACTGGAAGAAACTATTTGCAGTACATGTTTCAAATTTGAGACTGGCATCCAGATGTATGAAGGACTCTAAAACCTCAATCATAGGACAAAACAGCAAACACTTTGACTGGAAACTTCACAATAAATGACATATGAAGCCAGACATAAAAGAGTACATATTGTATGATTCCATTTTTATGACATTCTAGGTAAGACGAATTGAATTAATAGAATCAGAAAACGAATCACGGATTGCTTGGGGCATGGGACGGGCGTGGGGATTGGCTGGGAAGAGCGTTTTGGGTGGTGGAAACGTTCAATATCTTGATTGTGGTGATAGATACGTGGATGTAAACATTGCTAAACTCATTGAACTGCACACTCAAAACACATGCACCTACTGTATGCAAATGGGCCTTAGTGACGCGGGTTTTTTAAAGCAAGTGAAACACCTGCCCTGCCACTTCAGTGCTGATTCCTTGAGTGAGTGTCTTCCCTTCTCAATTCGCTCACCTGCAAAATGGAAGGATAGACCTCACCAGGTGGTTCTGAGATTTAAATGAGATTCATTCACCTGAAGGGTCCTGTTGGGAGCCCTCCGCAAAGGCTAGATGTTACTGCTGGGGGAGGGGTGTCTGGTCTCTCCTCTGGCCCCTCGTGGCACCCAGGGGAAGTCCGCCTGGTCCCTTCAGTTGCATCTTGTGCCTCCTCATCCCGAAGGCAGAGCCACTCCAGGCCTGCCAGCTCTTTTTAAAAAATGCCACTTCAGCCGAGACCGGTTTGGCTCAATGGATAGAGCGACGGCTTGGGGACTGAAAGGTCCCGGGTTCAATTCCGGTCAAGGGCATGTACCTTGGTTGCGGGCATATCCCCAGTAGGGGGTGTGCAAGAGGCGGCTAATCGATGACTCTTTCATCGATGTTTCTAACTATCTCTCCCCCTTCCTCTCTGTACAAAATCAATAAAATATATTTTTAAAAAAATGCCACTTCACAGAGAAACATCGATCAGACCATCAAACGTCAAGGGAAGTTTGGGGAGGGTGGGGGAAGGGGAGAGATCAACCAGAGGACTTGTATGCATGCATATGGGCCTAACCAGCGGACACAGACAACAGGGGGGTGAGGGCATGAGTGGGGGGGATGGGGAGGTAATGGAGGGATAAGGACACATATGTAACACCTTAATCAATAAAGAAATTTTTTAAATAAAAAATAAAATACTCCCAAGTTTATATTTTCACTCCCCAAAAATAAAAAATAAAAAATAAAAATGCCACTTCAAGGCCTTTGCACTTGTTGCTTTCTGCCCCTCCCCCAACTTCCCTAACCACCCCCCTTTGGCAACCATCAGCTTATTCTCTATATCTATGGGTCTTACTGTTTTGTTTATTCATTTGTTTTTTCATTTCATTTATTTTCATTTTTTTATTAAGGTATTATATGTGTACATATCTTACTATTGCCCCCACACACACATGCCCTCACCCCCCAGATATTTATTTATTTTTTAAATATTTTTATTGATTTCAGAGAGGAAAGGAGAGGGTGAAAGAGAGTGAAACGCCAATGATGAGATTGGCTGCCTCTTGCACGCCCCTCCTGGGAATCGAGCCTGCAACCCACGCATGTGCCCTTGACCGAAATTGAACCTGGGATCTTTCAGTCTGCATGCAACGCTCTATCCACTGAGCCAAACCAGCTAGAGCTGTTCTGTTTTTTTTTAGATGCCACTTCGAAAGTGAAATCATATGGTACTTGTCTTTGTCTGATTTATCTCACTTAGCATAATACCCTCTAGATCTATCCACGTGGTTGCAAATGACAAGCT